TTTGTCACAGGTGTTTCCCTCTGTTTACAAAGGCAATTTCATCATTTGTGCCATTGGACAGTTTTGTTTTGGCATCCCAAGTTTTGCTTCATTGCTGCTATTACTGTGTATAACAATAGATCGCTACATTGCAATATTTCGACCACTTCAATACAAAACTATTGTCACCAAGAAGAGAGCTAGGATTGCAGTTCTGGCCGTTTGGATTGGTGTGATTACAGTCACAACTGTTTCAATCATTGACTGGTATTTTGTTCTACAGCAGAGCAAAGAAAAACAAGACTGTATATATAGTGCAAACTTGGAGGAAGACTCAAGAATATTGGGTTTCTTGTATGGTCCAATGTTTTCATAAGTATTTCAATTATGTACATGAGAATACTTAAAGTGGCTAGAAAACAGTTGACCAAAAAAGCCAACAGGAATACGAATATTGAACAATCAGATGGAACATCCCTGAAAAACAACCTTAGAGTACTGAAAACAGCCTGCATTGTAATTGGACTGTTTTTCCTTTGTTGGGGTCCATTTATAATTATGGTCAGTAGTGAGATATGGGGAAAAACCTTTCAACACTCAAAAGTCAAGACTTCTTTATTCGATGATACCACTTATTTGACTATATACTATATTTCCTGTTTATTAGTGCTGGTCAATAGTTGCATGAATCCCATAATCTATGCAGTGAGGTTAAATGAATTTAAAATTGCCTTCAAGAAAATCGTATGTAGAGACAATGACAATCCACATGAAAGTGAACCTTCAACAAGATAACACTTCCCTCAGAACTTTGAAGTACATAATACTCACACAATAATATTAAATTAACCCCTGTGAGCGAAACACCTCCCAAGTGAAACATTTTTAGATGTACCAAAGCTGTTCCACTGTCTATAACTGTTTTGATAGGTATTCTAATTACAATGTATGTACATAAGAATACTTCATGTGGCTAGAAATATATATCTTTTATATATATATATCTTTTATTGACTCTCTGATGTCATTACAATGACATATTAGTCACTAAAAACTACAATCTACAAAACTGACCTAAGACTAAACTAACTACTGAATACAAAAATAAAGTTGTTATAAAATACAATTCTAATTATATCATCAAATGTAGAATACAAAATACAAGATAATTGTAAAATACAGATACGACTTGACAGAAATTTAAATATCAGTGTGATGCATCGTTGACACATTAATCCAGTTTTTTGAGTGAATGATAGATGAACTTTGATAAATGTAAAATTACATAAGAATTTTTGTGAAACATCAGTTTTTCAAAAATAATGTCAGGGCTGCCAACAAAATTAAATTGTGTAAGGGTGTCAAACAAACGTTTTCTTTCTGTAGTGTTTTTCTTACAAATCATGATGAAGTGTTGTTCATCTTCTAAAATACCACAAATATTACATAAACGTTCATCTACAGGTTTTGGCTTTGGCTTCAAATGACGACCAAGTTCTATTTGTAACTTGTTGGAACTAAGCCTAAATCTACAAATTGCTTGCCTGTAATTTCTATTTTGGATATTTAAATAACTCTCTCTTTCAAAGACATTTCTCAAGACAGGGTTATTTAATATATCTTTCTTTTTTATAATTCTGATACAGTGTTTTTGTTATTGTCTTGATAAAAATATTGTCATCATCAATCTTTTGAGTATCCCAATAAGATAATAAATCACACTTTTTTAATATATCAATGACTTTGTTTGACCAAGTGCCTTTAAAACCAAATTGACTCATTTCACGGTCATATATTTATGTTTTATGAAGAATGTTTCACGGTGATAGATGAAGTAAACGGAGCCAATATTTAATTAATTTGATTTCAAAGCGTATTTTTAATGGGTAGCGTCCCAATTCTCCATAAATTGCTGGTGTTGCTGTTGATTTTTTAACACCCAACAGGCATTTAAGAAAAGATAGGTGCATTGTCTCAATTGTCTTCAGATGTTTTTCATTGATCCACACCTCTGAGGCATAAGTTAAAATAGGTTCAACTAAGGAATCGAAAAGGTGCAATGCAACATCATTTGGAATGTCATTAAATTTTTTATATTGCTTTAAACAAAGCCTTTCTTGCTTGCTCTTTCAAGTAAAATACATGCTGGTCAAAATTCTTTGTTTTACTGAATACACATCCAAGATATTTGTACAGCTCAACATTCTCTAATGTGAAAACAGCATCAATTTTTGAGTTGAAAACAATTGCTTTTGTCTTCATTGTGTTAACTATGAGATGATATCTCTTACAAAAATCAAAAAAGGCAATTGAGCAAAGTTTGGGCACCATCTTTACTATTTGACATCAAGATAAGATCATCGGCCCAAAGTGGTTTAACATATTTCCATTAAATTGAATACCATTTTCTTTTGGTAAATTATCTTTTAAGTCATCAAGGAAATGGTTGAATAAATAGGTATTATGTACAGAGCCCTGCATTACTCCAACATTTGTTTCGAAAGTAGGGGTGATACCTTCTTTAAATTTTAGACATGCTTTTGATTTTTTCATACATTCTAGATATAACCTTGAATATATTAGAATTAGGTGAAATTCCTGATTTACAAAGTTTATACATAAGTGCCACTCTATTTACATAGTCAAATGCTTTTCTAAAATATATCATGATACAGTATAGTGGCTTTTTCATGAGCTTATAACGGGTTAAGATTGTATTTAAAATATATAAATTATCTGTTGTTTGATGTCCAGGTTTATATGCACCTTGGAGTGGATCTTGAATGTCTAACATTTCAGCATTAAAAACAAGTCTGTTTTGTATTACTCTATCAAAGATATTTCCGATACATGTCAAGACATTTATTCCCTTATAGAAAACAGTTGACCAAAAAAGCCAATAGGAATATGAATAATGAGCATTCAAATGGAACATCCCTGAAAAACAACCTTAGAGTTCTGAAAGCAACGTGCACTGTAATTGGACTATTTTTCATTTGTTGGGGTCCATCTATAATTATCATGGTTAGTACTGAGAAATGGAGAAAAACATTTCAACATACACACGAGATGTAATCGCCTAATTTTGTCAATGGAGAGGAGCAGGTTGTTTTTACTAGAAATTAAAAGATTTTCACACAATTTAATTTTCTACTCAAAAGCTGCTTATAAGGTAATCAAGAGTGTCCACATGCTTATTTCTTACCCCTTGCCTTAACTAAATGAAAGAAAATTGATTCTTATTCTAAGTTAAACCCCATCTACTGCTCCTCCCCACTGACAAGAGTTGCTTTTTATTATTTTTTCCAAGTCCATCTGAGGGCTCTGTTAGTTCTGTCCCCATCCCTCAGTGAGAATCATGTGATACATTCATGATCAAGGACACAGGGGAACAGTGGAAGAGCATGCTCTTATGACTCCTTTACCAATCTGACAGGATTTCTAATGAAAACAATTTATACATTAAATCACGATCAATTTGCTCCTATTAGATTAATGGATGTCTGAAGATCATCTATTATTTAATCAAAATGAATCAAATGATCTCTGTAAAGACTCACTAAAAAGAATGGGATGATATTCTCTCGTCTAAAGCAGCTGAGTGACTTGAAAAATAGGGACGCATTTAGTGTGGAAGTGGTAAATGAGAAAAAACTTATATTTGAAATATTGATTCAACCAACAATATGGCTATCAATACCAGTACATTGGATGCATTTGACTCAGCTAATAATAATACAGGAAGCAATGTAACAACATTACCATTTAAAGAAGCACTTGGTTTTATGTCACTATGCTTTGTGATGATATTTAGTATAGTATTTGGAAATGCATTGGTTATTGCTGCCTATAGAGCTAATGTGTCTCTGCGGACTGTAAGTAACTATTTCATACTACAATTAGCGATAGCGGACTTATTTGCTGGGATATCTGGACTCTATAACATTCTATGGCTTTTGTCACAGATATTCCCCTCTATAAACACAGACAATTTCATCATATGTGTCATTGGACAGATTTGTTTTGGCATCCCGAGTTTTGCTTCATTGCTGCTATTACTGTGTATAACAATAGATCGCTACATTGCAATATTTCAACCACTTCAATACAAAACTATTGTCACCAAGAAGAGAGCTAGGATTGCAGTTCTGGCCGTTTGGATTGGTGTGATTACAATCACAACTGTTTCAATCACTGACTGGTATTTTGTTCTACAGCAGAGCAATGAGAAACAAGACTGCATATATAGTGAAAACCTGGAGGAAGACACAATTATATTGGAACTCTTGTATGCTCCAATGTTTCTAACTGTTTTCATAAGTATACTTATCATGTACATAAGAATACTTAATGTGGCCAGAAAACAGCTAAACAAAAAAGCCAACAGGAATACGAATACTGAACAATCAGATGGAACATCCCTGAAAAACAACCTTAAAGTACTGAAAACAGCATGCATTGTAATTGGACTATTTTTCCTTTGTTGGGGTCCATTTGTAATTATGGTCAGCATTGAGATATGGGGAAAAACCTTTAAATGGTCAACAGTAAAGACTTCTTTTTTCAATGATAGCACCAATTTATCTATCTTCTATATTTCTTGTGCATTAGTACTGGTCAATAGTAGCATAAATCCCATAATCTATGCTGTGAGGTTGAATGAATTTAAAATTGCCTTCAAGAAAATCTTATGTAGAGACAATCCACATGAAAGTAATAACATAGCAATGGCAAACAGTCCCCATGGACTCTCGGAAAGATAATATTTCCCTCAGCCTAAACTCTATACCCAACATATTTGATTTATTTTTTATTTATTTCATCAAAACATACGTACATAAGAGATATGAGATGAGATAAAATCCTGTACATATATACATATATGTATCCTAATATTATTTTTTTCTAGTGGTTAGTTTTTTATAATCTAATTCACAGTGTAAGATAAGTAGAGTAAATCAGAATCTTTTGATATGTGTTGCAACTTACAAGTGTAAATCGATCAAATTAAAGTAACTTACCTGGACTGTCTACAACAGGGAATGATCGATGTGTAGCTTTATGGAGCAAGTTCTTTATATCTTTATATGTAGATTTGGCACTGAGTAATTTAACATCCCGTATCATTATATCTTCAACAAATATTTTGTGAGCGCTGAAAAACATTTGAATTTGTACATGTAAGTCTGATTATTTACTTAGACCTTCAAGATATCACATGTTGAAATTTCCACGTGTTGTGGACTGTCTTACATACTGAACTGAATGTCTTTATAAAGTACACTGGTGAAACTGGGGTCAACCATGCATTCGCATTCATATAAATTGAAAAGATGCCAATTACACTACCCGCTAAAGGATTAGAAAACCTGGAAACTATCCAAAAGATAAATGGACAAACAATTACATGATAAATATATGGCATTCAGATTCATTAAAAACATTATTCCAAATGGAATAAACTTCATTTCTCAAACAATCGATGGCAAAATACTAATTTCAAAATCTTTAGACCAATTAAACTGTATTTAATTATCAATTACTACAATCATGTAAAATTTCAATACTAAATCTTAAATACATGTATGTAAAGTGAACAAACAAGGGACACTAACACTGTAATCATCTGAATTTTAACATCTAAAACATGAGTTAGTAAACTTCAAAGCATAAACAACTTACTTTGAAGCTGAAGATTTTATATCTGGTAAAAATGGTAATTTTCTAATTTGTATTACACTATCATAGAATGAAGGCTGCAAAGATTGCGCTACAGCATTGGCAAGTAACACAGCTATCTGCAAAACAACATTTTTAATGTAAAATATTTCACAACCAATGTTCGAATTAAGTATAACCGAGGTTGTACATATTTATATATATGATATGGAGTACCACGAGGTTCACTCATGGAACCCCTCCTATTTATCATATTTCATAATTGTTGTTTATTATACATCATGTAATAAAATACAAAACAGTACATTGAATTTATAATACAACTCTTGTTCAATTGTATTCATGAGTAGTATACTGTATGTTTAAGTTTGGATTCAATTTTGAAATGTTCAATTTGACACGATGAGACATATATGTTATATTACTTACAACAGCAGGCAACACATGTCCAAGCTGGCCAGTGAGTTCAAATACAATCACTGATGTTGACACTGTGTGTGTCACAGCACCAGCAAATGCAGCAGCACCTTCAAATCAAATATATGTATAAGCATCTTCAAGTCAACAACTTATTGTATTTGGACAATGTAATAAAAACAGTGTTTAGAAGAGATGAGCATTGGGATCAAAATATTAACTTCCTTAAACTCTTTAATGACGACAAACATTATAAGCCCTACCGACTATAGCATATCCTCCAGGCACTATCTCTGAGAATGTATCCCCCTGCCTAACGCCATTAGGAAACCAAGTAGCCATGCACTCTCCAACAAGTCTACCGAACCCAGCTCCTGTAATCCAACATGAAAACATTACAAGTAAGAACTACAGTACAGGGAGATTTTTAAGCATAATTTTGAAAATGATATAAATGTTGTCAATTTTGTGAAAGAGTTCCTCTTGAAAGACAGACTTCGGGGAAGAAGCAGAAAATAAATTTTCTCATGATAAAAACTTGGTACACAATCATGATTGTTCTAAATAATGAAAATAATGGCTTCATTTAACTTGGTCATTTCTCTTGATTTTATTGCCATCTGAGTATAGATACGTGGACATATTAAATGTCTTTGAAGTAATAAAGAAATCTTACCAAGTACAAATACAGGCATGAATATCCCAGCAGGTATAGGTAGAGAGTTACAGGTTGCAGACATCCAGAACTAAAATAGCACATAATGTAATGTAGTAGATGAAAGAAATGCATCAAAAAGTATTCAATATGGCAAAGAGATACTATTCATTATGAGCCTAAAGGTTTTAGCTGTTGAACTTTACATTTATACAAGCAGTTTGCTGGTATGACTCACCCTCATGAGCACAAATAGGGCTAGAGTGACGTAGATATTGCTATTCTCTGGCTTCCAGTGATTGATTATTTCTGCCTCTTCTGCTGAGCGAACTTTAGCACTGCTCCATGTAAAGTTACTGAACAAGTCATTTACTGCACCACGACTAGTGAGCTGCAAGGAGTGAGAACTTGAGTGAAAACATTTTCTAGCATTTTCAGAGTTATATTCATGACCCATGTACAATGCCAATAACCCATACCCAAGATTTCTCGAAATGGATGAGAATTAACATAGAGTGCCAGATAATGCACATCTAAATTTAAATTTAATTCAGAATTTAAATCTAAAAAACACATTGGCTCAAGATCACCCATTTTAAATTAGCTTTTAGGTTTATGCTGTAAATGGTGTTAATATATTTAATCAATTACATGTACATGTAGATGTGTAACGTGTTACTTACATGGCCTGCCATGAACTGACCAAATCCATTGGGAAATGTGAGCGATGAGATAACAAACGTCACTAACATTGGATAAATAAAACGACTGGAAACAAATGAAGGTGCATGTAATATATAGACTATCAGTTTGTTATAAGTACAGATCTCATGAATTTTTTTTTTAATAATGAGTTGGTTTATGACATCAGGCTTCACGTCAGAACAGTTTTGATACATGACCAAAACACATAGTCTAACAAGTTATGCACAGGAAATGACTAATAAAACAAGCTGAAAAATAGCAGCAATGCAGAAATCGCTATAGTATTTCACATATGTATTAAAATGATTGAAGAAATTGATGGGTTAGTGGTTTCTGGTAAAAGGAAGCTACTCAAACAGAAGGACGGAAAAATCTGGCTTTTTGTAATTTTATCTTATTTTATAGGTTGTATCATATTATCCAAGTAACAGCATTAGGTTTATCTTTTAAAGTAGATTCATAGATTGAACATTGAAAATAATTCAACAAGAGCACAATAGGTACTATAAAAAATGTTACTCACTTTTTTTGTAAAAATGTTGCTATTCTTTTTTGATTTCGAGTAAAAGTAGCTATTTTTCTGTGTATGAAGACAAAGAGGGCACCTGCAAACCCACATACAATCCTAAAAACACAATTACATCTTATTCACTATCACATACACTGAATGTTATGAACCATGGTTTGTACATGTATATAGAAGAAAACATTTAGATAATCATCAACTACACAAGACAGGTATATTGCACTTTTTCTCAAATTCAAGTCTAGGTGTTCATGTACTGTAAGAGATGGCACGATCAAAGACAAAGCAAGTCCATGAATCAAAAATTTATAAGAGCCTCAAGAAACTTATTGGACTTCCTCATAATGAGAGGTCTAGTTTGACTGCCCCAAAAATTGAGAGGATTAAAGGGCACTCAGCTGACCCACCTAATAGTTCAAAGGGCATATTTCACTCACATTCTAGCTCAGAGGGCTTACTGAACTCAACTTGCTGATGAGTGGGCTTATTGACTTAAGAATATGTGCTAGACCTACATGAAAGTTCAGAAGGTACAAGTATGTCTGACTCACCCAATAGTTGAGAAGGCTACCAGCTCTATTGTATCAAAGGGGAAGTCTTGCCTGAGGTTTGTCTTGAACAATGCTGTGAGAGTTTCTAAAACATAATCAGAATATAATTCAGATTATTATATACCCAATATGTAACACTAATCCTGATTGGTCAATACCTAGTCACGTGTTCCGAAATAGATTTACTATTTCCCTCGGAAAGTTATATTCCCTCAAATGTGACGTCAGCGGGAATATACATTTGAACTATTGCCCGCTGACATCACAATTGCAAGCTCTATTACCCTTGGAAATGTCTGCTCATCATCACTGCGCAGACGAAAAACAGAAAAATGGAGGATGAGCACAAACACACATCAACTCCGTTCACCATGACAGACGTCCGTGAACGATACAATATAAGCAACGTGTATAAAGTTCCCTAAGCTCAATACGTCTGTGTAATTTCAAGTGTTATGATAATCTATTCCGCGTGTTAAATGTGATTGAATTTGTCAAGTGAGAGTCTCAGAGGCAAAAATTTCTGTTGAGCATCTGATGACGTCACAGCTTATAATGCTAACAATGGACCCGGGGAGGGGGCTTTCTAAGCCTTTTTGGCCTTCGCAGAGGAAACGGGACAAGAGTCAGTATAGGGTATATAATAAAACAAATAGTGACTGCCTAATTTCGAGCAATAGTGTAAATGATTTCCCCTTGGGAATATCCTCTACAATATACTATTCCCTCAGCCTGCGGCTTCGGGAATAGTACATTGTAGAGGATATTCCCTCTGGGAAATAATTTACACTATTGCCCTCAATGGCAGTCACTATTTGTATAATGTTTGTATGTATTTAACTCTTACAGGCTTACAGCAGTACAATTTTTGAAAATCATGCATGCTCAAATTGATGTTTCATTTGGTATAAGCAGCAGATTTTTAATGAAAATGTTACTTTGTTGTCTTTAAGGAATAAGGAATACCACACATGAAAGAATTCACAGAGAAACCTGAATACAATTGCAAGATTAATCTGAACTGTAATTTCTAAAAGACTGGCAGTATATTAATACACAAGGGGGTTCAAGACTAACCCACATGAGCTGAGGATCCCTGTCAAAGGTTACATGCAGTAAACCCCATGGTTCTAATGCTCTCTAACCAGGGACAAATATAAGTATTTTAGTACCAGGCTCTAAATACATCTAGCAGGAGTTATACCTCTGTTTAAATTGTTCAGACCATGTTTAAAGTCTGGTGTTGTATGCCATCTTTATTTTTGTGAGCTCTCTATTGAGTAAACTTCACAATAGAGCAATGACTGAGTGTACATAAATGGCATTTGACTTCACTACATGCATAATACATAACTATGGAATGGAAACCCAAGAAGTAATTTTTTCTAGTACTGTTTGTATCTACCAACAGACCTTAAAGACAAACCTTTTAATGAGCAAGCATTATCAAGCTCATTACACGTCAGAACAAATAGAATTAAATCCTGCAGTTTCATCAGGTATTATGGCCAAATGTGTTTTAAAGACTACAGTGTGAATCACTTTTTTGTGCGTCATTTGATTGCTCATGTTTTAGGGTTTGATTGATGCACAGGAAAAGTGAATCTGACTACCTATAACAGCTAAGTACTAAGAATATAACCAAATTATTATGAGATACCCAAGAGCTTGACTTGCATCTCTGTATTGTTTCAAAGATGAGTTATAGCCCAGTTATAAATTACATATTATATAGCATAATGTTTGGTACACATCCTAGACATGTGTGTTACAATCCAATGTGTAGACTCTCTGCCAATGTCACATGAGCCTTGTGGAATGACAAGATGCAGAAGAAGTCAGTATGCAAGACTGCATGTTAAGTCCATGTTAATTAGCTAGACTCAGCGGTTTCTTCAGAATGTCAGACAACAGGCAAAATAAATGAAAACAACAGGCAAAATAATTGGGTATCATTTATACACACCAAATATGGTGAATGAAATTAATACAATCATTAAAAAAAATCATGGAAATACTGTTGAAAAATGCAGTTTTGGTAAAAACAACAGAACATTGCTTGTTGTCTGTTGCCAAAGAAACCCCTGCACTGGCCTGCAGTGTATTCCTTCTACTCAGTCTACTAAACAGACAAATTGTATATCAGTTTAGACCACAACCTGTTAAGTTAGAGATTAATGTTGCACAGGAAAGACTGAAATGTTAACCTAGAACCATCAATAACATACCTTGCGCATCTAGGTAAAATAAACAGAAATTAAAATCATAACACAATGCAATTTCTGGCGTTAAATTTCAAATGCCAAGTGAAAAGCCATATCAAGATCATGCAGCCTATTGCCTGCTTAATTATATGTATCCTCCAGCAGGTTAACGTTAAGCTATACAGTAGGTACTTTCAGTCCTTTTTTGGTCTATGTCCCACATTGAAATTCATTTGAGTTTTGTTGGTCCACTTTAGGTTTCAAACAGGTTAAAGACCTATTAACAGGTTAATTTTCAGTCAATTCATTCTTTATTAGAATTAATTTGGTCCACTTTAGGTTAACAATGGACATTATAAAGTAAAACATGTTAAAATTCAGTCTACAGACCTGTAAAACAGGTTAGGATTCAGTTAAAACATGTCAGTCAGATCTACTTTAGGTCTAAACTTACTTAACCTGGCAATAGGCTGGGGAATGATACATAACCCTTTAATATTTTTTTTCACCAGGCTATTGAAAACATATGGAATCAATTTATGTGAGGGTATAAATAACAACATCTACATGTACATGGGATAAAAGAACTCAATAAAACGATTGTAGTGTAACCTTTCGAAATAGAACATTTAAAGATTGAATAAGACAGTTACCTTCGCTTTTAAACCAGATGGCAAACAGCCTGAACATGACGGCCCCACACACGGCGGCAAAGAATCCACGCCAGTAGTTCCGCACAGCAAAATAAGTGGCAGTTACTTCAATGCTAAATAATACACCTTAAAAGACAAAATATAACTGTTTAAAGGTACAAAAATACATTTAAAGAGATTTAACATTACAATGGATGGAATCTTATTTCATACTAATACACTGAATTGAAATGCAAGATAAGCAGTCTGTATTAAAGTCATGGTGACATTATAACAACAATGAGGATGTTTCATATGTTCCTTTCATTATTGCAAGTACAGTATAAATGTATAAATACATTTTTTGTATGTTTTATTTAATTTTGAAGAGGATACCAGAAAAATGACAAAATATCAAAATATTTAATCATGGTCTTCTTTACTGATAAGGACTCTATCTGATGTGGAAAGTGACTTGAATTCTGTATCATAAGGTATAAAACTCCATCTTCTAAAGGAGGGTTAAAAACAATGCCTCAAAAGATTTAATAGTATAAAGCGTATGTTTTACCTCCAATTGGAGCAGCAAATGTACATGCAACACCAACAGCAGCAGCTGCAGATAGCATCTCACCTTTACGTGATTCATTCTAAAAATTACAAATTTCACAAGACTTTCAGGAAAGAAAAATACTAACACAAATAAAGCAACCACATATTGGTAAAATATGGAATCCAAAATCTGCTTGTTTCTGGATAATCATTTTAAAGGACGATTCTCGGTTTGGAGAACAGTCTCCGGGGCTAATAATTTTTTTCATGAAAAATATAGAAATATTACCCAAATTAAAATATGAATATTCAAAAGACGACATTTAAATCTACAAGATGTAAAAATAACAAATTGGTCTGAAGCAGGGATAACGCTCAATTAGACCGATTCAATAAAATACAAGTCTTGATTTGGGGAAAGAAGTTCGTAACATTTTTTTGCGAAAAATCTAGAAATATTACCCAAATTAAATTATGACTATTCAAAAGAAGACATTCAAATCTATATTATGTAAAAAAATCAAATTTGTCCGAAGCAGGGATAACGCTCATTTAGATTGATGAACTTCGTTCTCCAAACCGAGAATCGTCCTTTGGTAATAGCAAAATTGCTGTTTTCATGGAACAGAAGTCAATGCCATGATTTTGGTCTAAGTGAAGAAGAACATCTCATGTGGAACATCTGTTTACTAACAAATTGGTAAGGGAAGAACCACATTATAACCTTGGAAATGTTGTATACTTAGAAATAATATCTCTTTACTTACATCATATGAACCCTTTAATGTTGTGAAGAGTTTCCCTAATTGTGTTGCGACAACACTGGCAATGTGCACAAATGGACCCTGGAAATACAATTAATTTTGAATTAATTAAAAAAGATGTAAAAACAAGGCATTAACATGCAAAATGTCACCACCTACCGGCCTCACAAAAATGGTGACACAAAAATCGTTTAAAAAGTTTTTTAACATGGGAGTTAATGGGTGGGTAATAAAGCTCAAAAGTATTAATACGAGAGAGGTGTTCAGATTAGAGAGGTGTTCGTACATAAAGGTTTTACTGTATTGATATTTCTAGTCCTAAATTGATGAAATATAACACACCTCTTTTCCTATTGGTAACCCACTACCCAATGCTGTCATTAGACCAATCATTTTAGAGATAAGGGTTCGCATTGTTAAATACTCCTTCAGCACCACACCTCTCAAAATAGTCTTCATTTCAGGTATACCAGAACCTAAAATCAAAACAAATAAAAATAATTTGAATGAAGAAGAGTACAGTATGTATTTCATTTTTTATATGTTTTGGATATCAAATTTCTTAGACCAAAACATATTGTTCGCCCATCACCTTTTGGCCTCAATTTTGGTGCTAGGTCTTAATATAATATCACTTTATCTTGATTAATCTGAAATTGTATAATAACTATAGCTACCTATAGCTTGTGGCGCCACCAGGTGAGTGAATCCCACAGAGAATAAGAGGAAGATAAGGGGGAAGAGAATCCATGTGAAATATTGCAATGCCACTGAAATCTTACTCAAGTCATACAGCCATAATCGAGCTGGAACAAACAATAAAAACATGTACATATATACATAGCATCCATCATCTTGCAGTATTAACATTTTTGCATTGTGGGATCCACAGTCTCAAAGTTTTTGAGTTATTTATGAAACTTGAAAAACAATACAATAACTCTTCGGTCTTGAAGAATATTGCTTGTGAAATATTTGTATTTGTCCTTTTCTTGACTGTATTTGAGGTAATATGTTAGATGTACATGTATATGAAGCAGGTTTCTTAAATGCTGTATTTTTAATATGGGCCTACGTGTCCAAGGGGCAGATATTTGCCTCTGGATAATTCCAATATCCTAAACCTCATAATAAAGTATCATGACTATATTTAAGTATTATTCTTGCAAAAAAACTTTGAGGCTCAAAATTAATATTTAGCATCCCTATCCCAACACATAAGTAGCTACTTCAGATATTCACAAAAATACTTTTGCCTTACTCCCTTTTCCCAGCTGACCAAATAACAAATAACCTTCAATCTAGGCATCTCCAAGAATGTTATCAATATTCAGGCTATTTACAGATTACCATGTAATAATTAGAATGCAAATGTTCAGGTATCCCTTGCTCTCATTACAGAAATAACATTTAAAGAAATAGCCTACAAGGATAAGTGTTTTCTCTACCCTTGGATCTTGCATCACATTACATAAATATGTAGCATAAATGTTTACTGAAAATGCATGTATTATTTGTACTTTTTCTACTTCAAATACAGGGCATGGTTTTATACAATATTTTGTATGGAAGAGAATGTATGCTCTCTCATAACCTAACTACATCAAAGTTCAATCATGAGGTTTCAAATGATCTTAGAAACGTTCTTAATGAGCCTGACATAATACAGCCAGCTTCAAAGAAGATAATTTTTGATTTGCATTCTTATAAGTAATAAACTTCAAAACTGTTCTAATGCCAGAAACATGTTTTTAAGATTATCATTTCAACAAATATTTTGACCTTTTCTGATAAAAAATACATCCAATATTTTACTCAATAATTACTCAATATTGAATATCAGTTCCTTAATTGCTTCTTACAGCACAGTAAAATCAAATTAATAACTAAAGATATGGAACTCTATGAGATATTATACATTAATAATTACGGTTGCTGCGAAATGTCACAGTCATTCTCAAGGTTTGAAATGCTGGAGCATTAACTCGAAAAAAGGGATAAGATAAAAAATATTACGCTGAATGTTCGGCAATATATAGCCATGGTTTACTCTTGATTTACAGCTACTTTTTATGATTGGGTACTTAGGATTAGCTCTGGTTAAGATTACCTAATGAATGGCAAGCGGAATAAGCAATTGACTCTTGGCAAATAAAAATGCGACCAAGGTTAGGGTTCTTATGACTTAAAAAGAAATACAATTCAATTCTGGAGTAAACAGGATGTTTCATTTGGAATGCATTGATAAAGGATGTCCTATGATTTTTGAGGGATATTATTTTTATCCATGAGTGCATATTGACCATCTCCACAAGTGGGCGCAGTGAGAGAGTGGATAAAAATGATTGGCTGAGAAAATCATAGGATATCATATTTATCTTATGAATTTCCATATATTATTAGTATATTCACATCCTAAAATGTGCATTTGAATTCACAATAAAATGAAGTAAAACTTATAAACATTCAACTGAATAAGTTAAAATCATTTTAATAAGCATAAAATGGTTGGAACTTTATTCTGAAACTCAATCTGGTAAGGCTGTTATTTGTCAAACCATTTTAGGCATTAAATTAACACACCGGAATAGCCTGAATACGGTAAAGTCAGATACCGTTGTCACAAATGGCGGACATAACCGTCGCTTCAACTGCTTAATCACTTGGTCCTCATTTCATGGGATTTTATCGTCACTAATTCTGTGCATGCATTAAGCTCTTGTGATAATATATCATATAAAATCCCATTTCGATCAAATTGGTTCATGAATCGCCACAATATAGCGTCTTCGATAACGTCAATGACAACGGAATCTGAATTTGAGTAATTTAGAAAGACAACGGCATATGGTAATTACAGTGTCCGTTGTCCTGAATCTCATTTTGATTGGTTAAATTAAAGACTTTATTTCGATGAACATTATAAACTGTACAATGAGTATAAAGACACTTTTGTATACTGTTTTATCAACCAATTAAAATGGGGTGCGATAACTTGAATTTGATTCTGACGATGTGTGTTACCCCCCTTTGGACATGAAGTCCAGAGCTGAATATGCCAGTTCATGTTGGTGATTGGTAAGTTGAAACAAAGATTGTCCGCATCCGTTTTGATTGTTCTGACAAGAAACCAATGGGGTCTTCTCATTTGCATAATCAGGTCACCTTATACCGCGCTATAGAGCTAGGTAAGGGGGGTAACACTGACTGACAGATCGCAATCACACTTCAAGTACATTTCCCTGTTTATTCTGTTCCAATTAACCCTTATTTACATATCATATATTTGAGTTAATCAATTATGTAGCTAATGATGTGAACGGATTGCAATGCCATAGAGTAAAATAACCGCAAAACGGGACAGAAAAAGGTACCTAGGTCTGCGAAAACTGACCCCTCTATACACCATTGTGTAATGCAGATCATATAAAGCCCCGGATGTCGTGTTGTCTCGTTTGGTACACAACTTAAGCCCCAGGTATTAAATAAGCCCTTAATCGAACCAACTTCAGAAAAGCAATATGAATCATGGGAATGAAGTGCTTTTATTTTTGCACATGCGCGAAAAATCGAACCAAGTAAAAATGGAATCTCGCGCAGATTGCCATGACTCAAAAAAATTAAGGAAAGACTGGAAAATAATCATGTTATTGTAGATGTTACATTTTACAAGGAGTAGAACGAAGAGGTTGAAATATTTCATAATCAAGTGTCACCTTAAATCAGATGCTCGACAATAACAATTCAAAATAGGAAATTAGTATAGAGAAAAGTATCCTCCAAGATCTATTCTTGCAAGCTGTAGAATATTTACAACCCACGTTTGAAGGACAAATTATTACTTATTACATGGACTCATGTTGGAGTGTTACGGCAAGCTTAGAATTAACTTCCAAAGTGACATGAAATAGGACTTTTCTTTTAAAATACCTGGGATTAAGCAATAATGAATTGGGTTTATCTCACAAAATAAAAGTTATATATTCTTACCTTCTTGGCATTTTTCTATGAGGAAGTCCATGAGGAAGCTGAGCAGTGCCATGGAAATACCAAGTATTGCCAAGAACACCCAATCTTCCCCCATCTTTGCAACAACTTTGGCAGTGATTTCTCGCACACCAAGACAAAATGCTGAAATGAGACAAAAGATCACCATATACCCAAAAATACATAACTTACTTACTTTTCAAATTTTATAAGACAAGAAGGGGCATAACTAACAAAAATATTACTTGCATCAAACTGCATGATGGCAACAGGCAATTCAAGTCTTTCACAGCAAACTTGTCAAAATTTATAACAAAGATAAAGTAAGTCATACCTCTGCATCGTGGACAGCGTGATGTCTCATATTGTCTGAATCCTCTCTCATTCTCGTGCAAAGTTGCAGCCTCCTTTCGAGCATAATCACCTAAATCTTTGGTATAGCGTCCATATACCTTATTATAGAAGAAACAATATTTACCATTAGATTTACTAATTTATCAAAACAGTCATTTTTAGCCTGGTGTATTAAATCTGACAAAAGTATCTTAGCTACTCAAGATAACCTTTGTCAAGTTTTAATTCTTAACCTTCAACTTATAAAAATAAAGTTTTTTCCCTCAAATATTCATGTTTTTAGGCAAATCTATGGTCCAACAATTTATATATCAAATGATTATTAGATTTACTAATATATCAAAATGGTCATTTTTATCACTTGTTATCCAATTTTAAATAATTTTTAGATATTTACAAATATATAGAGGATATCCTATGATTTATGAGTGATATGATTTTTATCTACGAATGGATATGATATCTGCACGAGCGAGCGTAGCGAGAGAGTGCAGATATCAATATCCATGAGTGGATTAAAATCATATCACTCATAAATCATAGGATGTTCTATTTAGAAATTAAGTTATTTAATTCGAATTTTTCAAACGATTCGGCCGATGTTGACACTTAGCCTCGTTTTGAGTCTGAAGTAGCAAAAATCCATTAACCATCGCATACGGCGCCGTATGTCATGGCTAAAAAACCGTATGTTATGGTTAAGTGAAAATTTTCAAAAATATCATATTTTACCACTGATTACAAAAATGCCGTTTTTATTTTCACATGTTATCCTGTGAATATCATGCTAACTATGGAATAAAACATGATTTATTAACTTTGACAAAAGTATTTTACGATTCTCAAGATTAGCTAAGTCCAGTCTTAATTCTATATCTTGAACTTAAAAAACAGTTATTTTATCAAATATTTGTTTTCTAAGGCAATTCGAGGGTTGACAATTTATATAAATGAATACAAGATTTTGACAATTTAACATTTTGACACACAATCTGGTTAACAAATAGAATAAGTCCAGATCTCCCTGAATACATTTTATGGAATAAATAGGTAATTTCTGGTCGGGATTGAATATGGGTTTTATTCCTCCGAAAATATAATATTGACCTTGGGCAATATCATATTGACACTCAGTCGCTGCGCTCCCTCAGTCAATATCATATCACCCTTCGGTCAATATCTTATTGTCCCTCGGAATAAAACCCATATTTAATCCCTCCCAGTAAATAACCTATATATATTATATATACATACTGAAACCGTAGTAAAACCAGACAAATGCAAAAAGAGGATCTGCAATTAATGGCTATAGCATACAACCATTGTACACTGTATGTAACAATATGATAAGTTCACAAGTTGTTGTGATAAGTTGTTTTTAGTACATATTGTACATAAGTAATTGTTATATTGTGACCTAATTACCTATCTGACTTATATGTTTATTTAAACTAAATAACAAAACTTAGATTATGAAACTTATTTTCTCAATCAACGGGTTTCATTGTCAGATTTACCTTTGCAATATTTTTCATATGTGGCTGATTTAACAAGTAAACAATACCTACCAAGGTTCTTACATAATCCAAAGCGACCCTAGAACGTGATCGTTGGTAATTGGGTCTCTTTGAAGCACCATCTGACTGAGAAGAAATCCCCTCTTCTGAATTTAAATCATTAAGTGCTCCAGCCATTGGTAAATTCTAAATATATTCAATTTTGCTTAACAAATCCATAATTTTGATCCTTCAAAAATTTATATTGAAGCTACTCCCCCATTTTATTGTGTGAGAATGTATCTCTCAGCTTGTCAGCAAAGACAATGTGAAGTGGAGTTTTTATTTGCACAGTTAGATAACACACGGACCTTTGACCGATTTAATACATCAAATTGTCTCTCTATAATAAATAAACTAGTAAGTCATTCTGTAGTATCCACATTCCACAATAAAGGTAAGTTTTGTATGCATTTTTCATGTTTTTCATGTTTTTTTCTAATCAGCTGTGAAAAAATGAAATTATCTTTGGTAGACTTTAAGGCAGAGTTAAAGAGCAGCAATCTTGCATTGGCAGGTATTACTAGAAATGAACATATTACGTACTTAAGCACTTTACGGATTGAGATACTTGGCCTCTAGCTAATTATTTCAGTTATCCTAACATTTATAGCTCATCCTACTCATTGCAGAAATTTGAAGTTTGAATAATCAATGTAAATCTCCTCTAATTCCATCACCAATTTAAACCAGTTGGTTGCTTTGATTTATTGGTCATATTACATTTGAGTATGATTGGATTTTTTGCAATTTGGGAAAATGGCATAATCTGGTAATCTATCTGATCTTATAGGAATGAATAAGAAACTGTATCTTATACAACATATAAGATTGCTTCACGGTAGCCTAGGAAATTGCCAAGAAATATTTGGCTAAATGCAGACTTTCATTATTTTAAATGATAATTTAAGTACTGAAAATCGACCACAGATAAAGTGTACCTAACATTAAATATAAATGTTTCTACATCAAAATGTTTCTGAATTCATCAAAAAAAGAGAAGACAGAATTTTTACTTTTGTGAATTTGATAGTTCAATTGTTATTTAGGAAAATAAAATCAAAAGTCACCAACTTTCCTTTTTGCTTTTTCTCTTTAAAAAGACAATTCTTTATTTCAAGCTAAAAACATTTTGATCCTAAAGCTGAATACTCAATTATTGCTCTTGACTTATATAGGTCATATGCTATAGAATTTGGCCATGTTTTACCTGTATACCTCAAGTGCATTGTTATCACAACTAACAAGCTTTTCTTTAGATAAATGTGATGAAGAGTGTGTTCTAAAAATGGAGAATCATCGACTAAATAAGGCCAGAAAAAATATTCTTGTTTCTGGTCAAGGATTTCTAAGTTTAGATCTTGGTAGTCAGGCCTAATTTTTATTTTGAAATGGAAATCTTTATTATCTTCTTTTTAAGCTTTTAAAAGTTGGAAAAGGGCAAAACTTTATGCATTACATAGAGAAATAAGTTTATCATAATTTCTCTTTGAATAGTGAGTGGACTGATAAAATAGAAAGAAACTGCACATCATATATCTTTGAATATAAGCATTTAGAATTTACAAATAAATGACCAGAAAACAGACTATTATTTTCTTGGCCTAAAATACTGGTATTAATGCCAGACTAGTTTATTCCTGCAGAGACTTTGGAGACTAAATCTTCTTAAGCAAACTTAATTTCCATTCTAAGACAAATTCTGCAATGATCTCCACTGAACCCTTAGAGGAATAGATATTGCATGTATGTAGCTTAATTGAAAACAATTATTCATCCAAATAAGGGCAGAGAGAAACATCTTTCGTGAATTGTTAACCACATTGTATGAAAACATTTAAAATTCTGAAATTTAAATTTTGCAAATCATTTATGTTAAAACCTTGGGTTAAAACATTTTGAGTTCTACACCCTCTACTAAATGTTAATTAATTGGAATGAGGATGGAGAAATTTCATGAAAACAATGCAATGATTCTTTAACTTATTTTTGGTTCATGGTCTGCCAACCTTCACATAGCAAAATCGACACACAGATTTATATTTACTTATAGTAAATGAAGATCAATTTTCATTGCTACATCAGTAGATATGAATGACATAGGGACATAGTTTGCTCATCTCATTAACTCTGTATCATGCATGCAGTGACATGAAATGAAGAATCTACTTCTTATGGTCTTACCTAATAATGATTCTATTCCTTTGTTGATGAGAGACATCTATCAATGATCAAACATGTTTTTAGCTCAATAGAAAAACTAGTGGTGTAAGTTGATAAAAGAAAACCATGAATATAACTAAAAATAAAAAAATTTAAGACTACAAGGCAGTGGGTAATTAATATTTTAGTTTTACAGTTACTAATAAAAATGTCCTTGTTGGCACATCAGATGGCCGAATCTATACATGTTTTAATAAAGGAAGACAATCTCTTAAATTCTCTATAGATTCCTTATATTTCAACATGCACATACAATATTAATTCTTAATGCACAGAGACATTTAAGTAAGTTCCAAATACTAATCAGCCACCACCCATTGATGAAACAATTCTTTCCTGACAATTATTTCAAAAAAAGAGGAAAAATGTAAACGTAGAAAAAGTAAAAATGAAACTTGAATAAAATTATTCTCATTGTTAAAAACATATTATGCGGAACATTTATTATCCTACACTTAGTGTACTAAATGTATAATAACATGAAAAAATAAATTTGATATTTATTGGCAAAATGAATATCCGGAGGATATCGTAACGATATACTCCGGGCGGAGGATATCGTGACGATATACTCCGGAAAACCCAATATGCGGAGGATATTGTGACGATATACTCCGCTTGTTGATTTCCCGCCAAATTGACTCTATTTGGCATAGAATTAATTTTACAATGATATTATACATTCAGTACATTCCTTGTAAGTGTAGGATAATAAGAACATCCTATGATTTTTTTCAGAATATCATTTTAATCTACTCGGTGATATTTATATATGCACTCGTTCGCTTCGCTCTCTCGTGCAGATATCAATATCACCTCGTAGATAAAAATGGTATTCCTCAAAACCATAGGATATCCTATAATTATCATATTGTTAAGGAATTAGCATACAATGGTAAATGAGTCAATCTACAACCTTTCAATACAAACTAGAAATCATTTGATAAATGTTGTCAAAATCCTCAAATGGCAGCCAAAAATGAAACAGTACCCTTTAAAAATCTATGTATATCAAAAGGGTAATTATTACTATTTTAAAATAAAATTTCCAGATGGGTTTTACAGCATAAGAATCTATTTTCGATTATCTTCAATGGAAAGGACTGCTGAGAACATCAGATATGATTTCCTACAGTTAAAAATGTACAAAGGTTGATATAACATTACAAACATGATCTGCAATACAACGTATACGTATCTCTCTGAAGCCATACTGAATATTCATTATAAGCTTTAAAAGTAACATAGTATACAGGTTTTACATAACCACAGTTTGTATATTTTACTATTGTACAAATAGGTAGTAATGGGAACCAGAGTTATAAATCAGATGTAACAAGATTGGAAAATATTGAATATATAGGGATGTTTTTGTGATGCATTCTTATGACTTAACATTTTACTTTATGGCTAAAGCTGACATTTATGTTACGCGACCTCCTAGCCCAGAGTTAAATTATGTCTTACTAGCAACTGGGATGATAACTTAGTATGTCATTGTCAACAGAAAATGTTGTTTACCAACTGTTTCATTGCAGCATAATTGCCAAGTAAATGACATTTTCGACCCAAAATGACCTTAAAATGTTTATGATCCATTAAAGTTATAAACACAGCTTTACAATACATGATTCATGCATTTTTTTTTTGGGGGGGGTAGGCAGTGAATTAATTGCAGTATTGCACATATATAAATGTAAGCATGACAATAAATATGGAAATGATAAAATACTGATTCTGTATAGTACTGTAGATTGGGTTAATTTGGCGCTACTTAATTTGGCGATTTTGCCATTTTAGGCATATTGGCGGCTATTTAATTTGGCGGATATGCAAAAGATGTTAAACCTACGCGGTGTTTGCGAATTACCATGTAAATGGGCATGTTTGGCTTTGATCATTTTTTCTTTTGAGGACCACTGGCGATATTCACCACGTTTGTACATTTTTGTGAGATCATCCTTTCCTTTCTAATCTTCCCTGAGTATTAAAGGACAACTGAAATAGCTTTTCTCAACTTGCAGCTACAAAAATGCGGTTTTCTCCTTTGTAAGCCCAATGTAGAGTTCTTGCGATAGTCATTATAAAATAAATGTTAGATAACTGCTAACGGTCATAAATAACGAAATAAAACTAACTGATCAATCAAATTGGCCCCCACGTGATAAGTAACGTCATATACAAAATATAGCTTTGGTTTATTGGTTCCTTAGTAATCACAACGTCACGGCAACCATAGGATTGTAGTGAAAACCAAAACAAAACATTTTGGCATTATGACGTTATGGGCCATGTGGGGACCAGTGAGAGATCACGTGGGGGCCAATAACGTCACAACCAATTCGAATATTGCTTATTAAGCAGCTATAACGATCGTTAGAGTGAAATAGTTTTCGCAATACTGATGAGAAAATATGTCCAAATACATTTATCAAAAAATTATATTGATTCCTTTAGGTTAAAAAATACCATTTCATATCTGCTTTAATGAGTGACTGACCAGTTCTGAGCCAATTTATGAGAGACATTTTTTCATATTTTTTGAAAAAATAAACCGGAAGTGACCTTAATACACTGGACGAAATATCCTAGATAATTCCCGGGGATTCATTCTAAATTTTGGCGAAGATTTATATTGGCGAATTTTTCAATTTCGCCAAATTCGCCAAATTAAAGCGGGCGCCAAATTAACCCAATCTACAGTATATGACTGTTTATTATTATATTTTGAGCCTTTTTATCTACATTGTTCTTCACTGTCCCCTCTTTCTTCTATTCTTTAAGGGGGTTTCATACCTATTTCTCTGTGTATATTTTCATAACTATTTCTCTGCCTATGTTTTCATATATAGGATTTTTTTTATTTCAGGCAATCTTTTGACCATGGTCCCATCACTGATGAACATGCAAAATACCAACTGCAAGAAGGACAATTTAGGAAAAAGTGAGCAATTTCTTGACCCTTGTTAGCCGCAGAATTTAGTCAACAAGAGGACATTCAACAATTTCTCACTCTCGCACCATCCTAATATAATGAAATTGTTGTTAAGTCAACAAGAAAAATACTGAAATATGTAGCTGGATTGAATGGATTGATATTTTCACAAAATCCTGATCTTATCAACAGTGTGTGAGCTTACATTTGTACTTGCAGTAATATAAGCTTAGCTAATTCGAGGGACCATGTAGCATCAAGTGAAAATACAAATACAGGGCATTGTTAGACACTTTACAATACAACGACGTGTCTAATTTGAAGTTTCAATAAAGAAATCATATAAAACTAAGAATTAGTGAAGATCGTCCAACAATACCCCATGTCTGACAATGCCCCAAAGTACTCTAGCTAGCACACCTAAATAAACCTTATGTACAGCAGAGACATATAAAATTTACATATATGTCTCTGTGTACAGTGTACTTATCTCGTTCCAAGACTATCTCTACGTTCAGAAACGAAGAGGATGGTGTTGGAACAAGATAACAGTGTACATGAATGTGAGAGAAGAGAGTGAGGTCCCTCGTTGAACTGATATGATACCCAAGCAAACTTATGCTAGAATGGAGTTTGGGAGGTACACAAGAACAACAAAAATAAGTCAGAATAGACTACCATACAGACTTACTTATAGTCTTAAATACCCTTCTGTAGTGTAAAAAAAATTGAAAAAAAATTAGACAAAAATAAACAAAAAAAATTGAAAAAATTGTTGTGAACATAAAATCGACCTTTCCCGAGAATACTTTGCAATCATACTTTCCATATAATTTTTCAACAAATTCACCGTTATAATGATATATAGAAATTGAACATACATACCAGAGTTTGTTCATAACCAAAGGATGGTTTCCTCTGATCTGGAGCACTTCCGCCTGATACAGCTGCCATTTTCTGATTGACTAATATGCCATCTATAAATGATACAGGTACTAATTTTCTGTAAGGAGGTGTATTCATCTGATTGGCCTGATTGGTCTTTTACAAGTGGACAATGGTCACCCTTGATAAGTTTTATTGTATTTTAAAAGCAATTTTTATGGACAACCTGAAAATGAAAGCAATATTTCAATGTTTTTTTTTATCTCCCTTTCTCAACAGAACTCATCACAGATACTGAAAGCATATTTGCTTATAACTAGCACCTCCTATTTAAAAGCTTTATTGTAAAATGTGTGATTTTATAGTTGACTTTGAACGATGTCGGTATACAATTTACCATAGGGGTCCTCTTTGGCTGTTATCATAGTCAGGGAGGGTGTTCCCAAAACAAAGGCTCCTTTATAATTTTGTCAATGGGATGTTTATTGAAACTCAAAATAAAGCAAACAGGCTTTTATTCATTCAAAAAAGTTACAATTCTTGGTTAGAGGAATAAATGAGAATGAAATGTCTTGTTTGATGCAATATTTTCAAATAACATTTAAAATGTTATTTTCTTAAAAGATATGTGATCCAAATGGTGTCATCAAACACTTAAGATGCAGTGTCCAAATTCAATCAAGTCAGTAACTGGTGGACTTTTTAAAAAGTAGGCATGGGAAGGAATAAGAGCAAAAATTGTTATACAGCTCAACATACCTAGTTCATGTACTGTAGATAACTATAATTTGACGCTACTTAATTTGGCTGATTTTCTCAATTTCAAATATTGGCGGGCTATTGATTTGGCAGAGTCAGGACTGCGCTAGAGTTATATCATAGATTTTGAAATAAACATTTCAGATTCATGTGTTGTTGCACTGTCATCCAAATAGGAAAGCGGACACAAATGAAATAATTGCAAAATGCAAATTCCTAGGGATTTTCCAAAATAGAACTGAATATTGGCAGATTTTTTCAATCCACCAATCTACAGTAGCCTATTTCATTTATTTTGTGTTTAAATTCCACATTGTGATAAAGAGACTCGGAAAGTCATTATTTTAAGAATTTCGTATAAATGCTAAGAATATGTTAAGGGTGGAGTGCAGGGCAGAAAATTACTTTAAGGTTAATTTTGCAAACCAGAGGGCTGCAATTTGCCAGATATCATTGGGATTTTTGAGTATTTCCAGATATAATTCAATGATCTTGGTTTGTATCCAGGTTGTTTGATGGGGGTAATAAAGGATTCTCAAAGTGTAAAAATATATCAATACAAATCTCTGTTATTTCATGTATTTGTACTCGTGAAAAGAACAAATGAAATCATTATTTTTTTATGGAAAAGTAACAATTTATTCATTTTTGGCTTAATATAAAATTAACAATATGACATGTACATAGGCCACCTGGGCTGGCCCACATGCTCTACATGGGGGCAACAATGGCAAACAAGAAATGGATGAAGACGTGAATACACATTAGTATTGCACAATCCCCTTGGCCGAAATACCAGTTATGAAATTTGTCCATGTGCCTTCCTGTCACCCTTCATAAAGAAGGACTAAGGGAGGTCTTGGAGAAATTAGATAATTGGTTTCACCAGATCTTGTATTTACACTACCTACACTACCATCCTTTTACAGACTAGAGCTTGAAAAATAGACTTGCTAATTCAATTTTCAGCAGTATATGATTGAGATTTGAGACAGTTACAAACAATCAATATATCAAGAGATTCATTCTTATGTATAATATGACAATGATACACTTTGCCTCGATTAAACAATATTGACAAACCCTTTGTACTTATTTTTTACATTTTTCTAAATGGATTTTCATAGCAGTAGTGAGCGGATCACTGGTTGTCGGTTGAGTGTCTTTCATTTACATACACAACCTAAATACTTGTCAATATGGCAACTTTGTTTTTCGCACCAAAAATGTGCGTAATTAGCACCACTCAAAGTATAAATGCTATATGATTTAAAAAAGATGTACAAAAATAAATAAAATCTTGATGTGCATAGTCAAGTCACTGGGAATGTCTTATTTAATGCTGGTATTGGCATTCAGTGATTTCTCATTTGGTCATATTGATTCATTTTAAAATTCATGATTACTATAACATGGCAATACTCATGGACAAGTACATTTTAATGAATAATATCTTCAATAAATCAATTGATCGATTTTATGAATCAAGCTCTACCCGAGTTCATCTTTACATTCAGTTATACAGAAGACCTGTAACTGTTCTTCAAACCAACTTCGCAATAACACTGCCATTCGCCACCCATGTGCTTTAATTGTTAACCTATCAGAACATTGGAGCTTCAAACTCTTCACTGTTCAGTCTTCACTAAAATAAAAGTTCAACCACCTGAATGAACATAAATATTTGATACTGCATTATCTGACTAACATTAAACATATACAAATGTACCACTTGTACATATCATTTAAATGAGATTTTTAAAATAAAATAAATTCCGTAGTAGACAGCTTCTGTTAGTCAAACAACGAGACCATCACATTTTTCAAAAGACCACTAGTTATCAACGCTCCAAGTTCCAAGCCAATTGTCCATTGATGGTTAAGGACCACATACTTTCATATCCAACACCAATCTTTATTATGGTACCCTAAATTTGAAGGGCTATCATTGATTCCCTTTATGCATGATTAAACCAATATCAATATTCAGCACTTGTTTTTGAAGTATGTGGTCCCCTTTCTTAGCCAAGTGTAAGTACTCTGCTTTATTTCCTTACAAATGGCTAAATGAATGACAATTGTTCAATTCCATATCAAATATAAACGGTATCTAATATTAACTCTATATATGCTATTGAACATGTAAATTGGTTCTAGAATTTATCATTTCCAAGACGGTATAATCGTCTTCATTGTTTTGTTCAGCTGATTGGTTCATGTATATGGTTGCTAAGATGCAACATGTTGTCTATATCCCTTAGTTACTATATTGTATCTTCACAGGGATGTTGGGTTTCCATGGTTATTGTGTTAACCCCAGTCTTCATCATCGTCTCCTGTTGTCACAGCAGCTCCTCCTCCAAACCCATTAGTGTTGCCATAGTCACCACCGCCTCCATCACCACGACCCTGAAATAAACACCATCACATTTCATGAGTTAAAATAAACGTAATTGAGCCAATCCAAACATAATTGAGCCTTGATGTATGATTAATATGTAACCCCCAAAACATGTTCATATTGTTAATGACAATGGTGCAAGGCACAGGAGCAGGTATTTCTTATCAACAATAACTTCTATATACTTGTACTATAATTGTACTTAGTGTGAAATGTAAATAAAATGTGCATGTGAAAATTGCATACCCTTCCTTTCCTCATGTCCTTTCCACCAAACTGGCCTCCACCTCCACCAATGGAAGTTCCATAGCTGGCCATGGCAGCTTCATCCAACCAATCAGGGACCTCCTGCTGGCTCTAAAAATAAGACGTTTGCATTTCTTTGTACTGTGCACGAAGACGAGTTCTATATTCAAGACATTTCTTTGAGCCATCCTGTGTTCTACATCTCAGGGTTTCATCAATGGATCATCATGATAACGGAAATTGCAAAATATTTACCACAAACTTTTTCAACAGATATTTTTGCTCAATGCTATAAGATAATTTAAAAGAATTTCAAATAGAAACAATTCTCACTAACCTGTTGAAGGATCTTCACCATGGCTCTTGCGATATCTGCATTTTCATCTGGATTGTAGAAGGCAGTTGCTTTACCAGTATTTCCGCAACGACCCGTCCTTCCAATCCGATGGACATAGTCATCAATACCTTTAGGTAGATCATAGTTGATGACATGCTTCACCCCTGGGATATCCAGACCTCTGGCAGCTACACTTGTAGCCACTAAGATGGGAGCACTGCCAGACTTGAAATCTCTCAGAGCCTCTTCTCTCTCTCTTTGCAGACGATCCCTGATGAAATAGAAGACAGAAAAAACCAACTTAATAACAGTTTTAGGCATTCCATTGAGTACTCGAGACTGTCCAAAGGGAGCACCATCAACGCCTTGGTTGTGTTGGTGGAGCAACCCATCCCCACTCTTGAGAAATCCTTCGGACAGGCCTGCTACTTGAAGTCAAATACGAAGTTTACAAACATACATTTTGAAGGTAATGGCACTAATGACTATTATGCGCCAATGATGATAGTTAGATGGACTGACAGATGGAGTAACAGACAAACACCTAGTCAATCCCAGACATACTAAATGAGCAAAAAATCATGTATGGAAAAAAACAGTATTCTAATGTACACCATTTTGCGACTCACCCATGAATACTGGTAGTAGGGAATCCAGTTTGAGACAGGTATGACGCCAAGAAATCAGCATTTCGCTTCTGCTCCACAAACACAAGTGTCCTATCTGTTCCCGATTCATTGAGAATCTCCACCAACTTGTCTCGCTTGTTGAACTGGGTCACTTCAAAGAACTTCTGTTCCACATCATTACAGGCACCTCCGACAACACCCACAGTTAAAAACAGATAGTCATTCAAAAAATCTGAAGCGAGTTTCTGAATTTCTTCAGGGAAGGTAGCGCTAAACATAAGTGTCTGGCGATCAGATTTAGCAGGAACGCCACACTGCTCAACCAATTTCCTCACTTCTGGTTCAAATCCCATGTCTAACATTCTGTCAGCTTCATCAAGAATCAGGAACTTAAGAGCCTTCATGCTGACCTAGAAACACATATATGTAGTTTATTAATAACTTATTTTCAATTTCAATTTACATAGGCATCTGTCATCTTATCTTTCAGTCACACACAAAAATACAGTGAAAGACATCTTTACAATTGCTTACTTGAGGCTAAAAATGAATGATCCTTTCAAGTAGACTCATTATAATATATTCATATTTATTTGTCTGAATGCACATCTACTCTTCATGTTATGTTGAAATGTATATTGGAGCATACAAACAAAATCCTAAATTAAGGAGTTTACTATTACCTTTCCCTGCTCTATAAATCCAAGCAGTCTACCTGGAGTTGCTACAAGCAGGTTGCAGCCTTTACGGACCTCTCCAGCCTGGTAGCCAACAGAAGTGCCTCCATATATGACAACAGGCCTCAACATAGTCCCTCGGGCAAACTTGAATGCCTCTTTATAAATCTGGTCTGCCAACTCTCTTGTTGGGGCTACAACAAGTGCAGCAGGTTCTTGAGTCTCCATAAAGGAACTGCTCTCAAGACCTGCATTCATCATTGCAGTCAATACTGGTAGCAGAAAGGCAGCCTGGAAAGGACAGTGATAAATATGAGGCATCAATACATAAATCTTAATCAAATCTTAAAACTGACATGGTCATATTTCTTACAAAAATGCCAACCATTTGAGTACCCATGTTGTAAAATCCTTCGAACAGATACTAGTAGATGAACAATTTCCCTACACCTCTCCAAAACCAATAGTTCAATATTTCTATACATTAAAGGTTGAACTGCACACTTCTAGCATAATGCATTACTTTTTTGAAAAAAGTACATAATTTCTTAATGAATTCTTCACAGACTGAGCTAAAAAAAATTATAATACAGGAAAGCTCTTGGTAAAAAACTTACAGTTTTTCCTGAACCAGTCTGTGCGCATGCCATAACATCTCGACCACCCAGGATTGCAGGAATAGCATACTTCTGAACTGGAGTAGGTCTGTCATATTTTGCTTTCTTAACATTAGCAGCAAATGCTTCATAGAGATTAGCTTCCTCAAACATAGTAATAGGCTTCACAGTGTTGTTATTACCAGTTAGTTCAACAGGGATATCATCATACTTGTCAAAGTTGATACCCTTGACCATGGATGCAAAAATGGCCTCCTCATCTTCTGGTGGTGGTGGGGGGACATAGGGTGCAGGTCGGTCTGAAACAACAAGTAGAAGTATTTGATTACAGCATTTCGAATATTCAAGCACTGTATATTTGAAATCCACAATCACTCAAAATGGTGATGTATTTTGTGCCCCAAAAGATATAAGGGCATTAAGAGAATCAATACCTACCAGCATCAATCTCTGCAGCTTTGGGGCACTCTCTAGAGAAATGTCCTTCTTCTCCACACTTGAAACAGCCAGATTTCTTATCACCATCTCCTATCAGATTAAAATGCAACAGTTTTGAATTGATTAATCAAAATTTTTGTTAAAGATTTAAGCCCAGGACTTAAGGAATTGTGTGCTGAATCATTTCTCTGAAGGTGCTGTTTTCAAATCTTTGCAGAGTGCAGCGGGAATGCAAAGTTTAGGAAACAACGGCTGAGTGGAATGAATCAGCCACAATGCACTAAATCTTGGGCTTAAATTCTTTTCACACACTGCAAAATATTTTCTACGAAACCACTGAACAGATACAAAATCAACCAGAACAACGGCAACGCCAAAGCGTAGCGAATCCCATCGAACAGAAATAGCTGGCATTTTTACAAACGAAATAAATAGCAAATATCATAAAATAACACACATAAGAAAGTTGTCATCAGAAGAAGTAATATGCTTTTTTATAGTATTCACATGCCAAATATGAACAAAATCGCTCCACTACTTTTCGAGTTATAGCAAAATACTTTAAAATGATGGCCATTTTTCGAAATGGCCGCTTTCTACCAAAAGTGTCATAAGACAGTGTGCCATGCTTATAGTATTCGAATACCAAATATGAACAAAATCGCTCCACTACTTTTCAAGTTACAGCAAAAATCGTAAAATAACGAGTAAAGGCCGAGTAAAATACGTTTAAATGGCGGCCATTTTTCAAATTCCATTTTTTGTCATCAGAAGAAGTAATATGCTTTTTTTATAGTATTCACATGGCAAATATGAACAAAATCGCTCCACTACTTTTCGAGTAACATTAAAATACTTTAAAATGGTGACCATTTTTCAAAATGGCCGCCTTCTACCAAAAGTGTCATTAGACAGTGTGCCATGCTTATATTATTCACATACCAAATATGAACAAAATCGCTCCACTACTTTTTGAGTTAAAGTAAAATATGTTAAAATGGCGACCATTTTTCAAAATGGCCTCCTCCTACCAAAAGTGTGATTAGACATGCTTATAGTATTCACATACCAAATATGAACAAAATCACTCCAATACTTCTTGAGTTACAGAAAAAATCGTAAAATAACGAGTAAAGGCCGCCATTTTTCAAGATGGCTGCCATGTGCTATTTTAATTTCTACATTTCTAGCTTTATCAATGTCCTCTATAATTTTTTTTACATTTAAAACATAATGCTATCACAGTTTTAGATATTGCACCTAAATTACTGTAAAATCGGCACTAAAATGGCCGCCATTTTTAAATGAGCGGCCATTTTGAAAATCGGCTTTTAAGCAGAACTTCTACCCCCATAGGGTATATGTGTACAAAATATGAACAAAATCGGGCCAACGGTATTTGAGTTATTGCCCGGACGGACGGACAGACGGACGGATGTACGTACGGACGGACGGAGGCGTTCCCTATATCCCTCCGAACTTCGTTCGACGGGATAATAAAAGAACACATTTTCAATGAAGCTTTGCAAGAGTAAAGGCAAAGCATCAATTTCCATCTGTAAAGTCCAGTTGTGACAACCATTTGACAGGGACCTTGGGTGCAGTGATTGGTTACACAATGCACTGTGGTTATTTGAAATACAGTGTTCAGATTGGCTGGAATCGGACACACCTTGCCTAGCTGTGTGTGAATGTTTATTTCATCACCAGATAAAGATTTAATTCTTTGTCTTATAATTTCAATATTTGATAAGATATTAAGGATCTTTTTAAGAAAATCATATTAGTCAGTGACAGATTGGTTGGAAATTCGTAATAACTATTGCTTTAAATTTTGTCTATCAAGGTAATCCTTTGCTAATGATGAATGAAAGTTCAAAATTACCTATGTTGTCACCACCTCCAAATCCACCGCCTCCGCCAAAGCCACCACCACGAGGTGCATCATCATCACTCTTGGAGCCAAATCCTCCTCCACCTCTTCCAAATCCACCTCCGCCTGAGCTACCTCCAAATCCACCTCCCGACTTACTTCCAAATCCACCTAAAATATAAACAAATCATTCAGAGATATGTATGCTGTAGTTTTTGAGTAATGAACTAACACTTAATATTCATCAATTGAAGTAGAATGGTAATTTGGAAAACACGCTTTTGCTTTGTTAAGATATTGCACACTAAAATCGTTAAACCAAAAATTACTATATTCTCTATCAAAAGCCTTCCACCTTTTTATTGCATGAATACATACGAGTGCAGTGCAAAATTCAACAAACAACACTCTACGTAGCAAAATCTAGTTCAAAGTTAAAAAGCCTACATCTCCTTTGATGAAGCAACACACTGAGCAAGATCCAATTTAGGTTACACTTAAGTTCACATACATACTAGGTTGGACACAACAAAAATGTTTTTTTGGTTAACCCAGCCTTCTTGTATACATGTACACCTCAAAGAAAACAGCTACTATACAGAGTATTTATCCGAAGTATTCATAAATCTCACTAACATAATATTTATAATATACACTTTAAAACACTCAATTTGCAAATCACTATAACCCCAATCACCTGCATTTAAATGTTAGGGAGACACTGAACTCATACAAAGTGAAGATATCAAATTTTGAGTATACAGGGTATTTAACAGGATTTCTTGACTCCCAATTGATCACGAAATATTTTGAATGAACCAAACATACAGTAAAACCTATCTAAGTGGAACACCTTTGGTACCTCTAGAATGAGTTCCACTTGGGAGGTGTTCCACTTAAGGTTCATAAAGTCAGTTGGTCTTGGAACTCTGTAGTGTTCCACTAACAGAGGTTTTTTTTTTATATTTGATTTATTTCATAGTAAAATAGAATTATTACATACACATGTTGCGGCTTTGCAATGAAGCATTATAAGCCACAATTAAATAATAACAAGATTTAAATAAAAAAGAAAGTATGACAATGGATTTGCAATAAACAAAAGAATTATTGTGTACAAAATTATATAGTTGGTGGTGGAAGAAATACTTACACGCTTGCACATCTTTGAATAAAAAACTGAGGTGAGCCTTAAAATTTCAATATTAACTTCTTTTGGCAGACTTCTGTCTCCATACAAAAACAATGATAATTTGTCTTGCTGGTTTTTAAATGCTGGGTAATTAAAATTTAGAAGAGTAAGTGCATCCTCTAAATCTTTAAGATATTGTGATCTAAGGTTACAAGAGAACATGACATGAATGGATGTTTCATTGCTATACCCACATTTGCATGTAGGGGATGGTACATTAGTAAAATTGTGGGCGTAAAAATGGGACTGGAAGATCAGATCACAGCGCACCTTGTTCAGAGAAATTTCTTGGCTCCTTGTCAAGGAGATCTCAGAGGAATTAATGATATAAGTAGTCATTAATTTTTTCTTTACATTCGATTTAAAAATATTTAGATTTGGTGATTCTTTAATTTCGGGTGGGAGAGACTCCCAGTCAATGATGGATTTAAATACGCATGATCTATTTGAAAATGTTGAGGTTTTGATTGGAATTTGGTAGTCACGATTTCTTCGTGTTATTGATGGAAGATTTCTATGATATTGATTAAAAATGCTCAAAACGTAGGATGGAAGTTTATTGTTGTAAGCTCGGTACATTAGGAAAAGTCTATGCCTTTGTCTTCTATCAGATAGCTTTGGCCAATTTAAGCAGTTAAAGACTTTTGTTGAAGATGTTCCATGTAGTACACCTGAGCAAATGCAGGCTGCTTTGTAGTATAATTGATCAATGGATTTTAATTTACTCATATTTGCACAACCATAAAGAATATCGCAATAGTCGGAAATTGGAAGTATGAAAGATTTGAAGAATAATTCCAGGTGTTTTCCATTTAATTTGTTGCTTAGAGATTTAAGTGGGTTTAATAGTTTATCAATCCTCTTGGTGAGCTCTGGGATGTGTTGGTCAAAAGGTAGGTGTTTGTCTAGTATGAGACCTAAATGTTTATGATGATCAACTCGAGGTAGAACATCATTACCAATTTTGAGGTCAGGAACGTTATATTCACATTTCCTTGGGTTTGAGAAAATTATGTCTTTGCTTTTAGAGGCCTTAAAGTTCATTTTCCATGTCTGGGACCATTGGAAAATTGAATTAAGATCAGATTGTAAAATTGTGTTACTTTCAATGAGATTTGATTTGGAATATGGTTGGTATAGAGATGTGTCATCTGCATAAATATAGCATTTGCTTGATAAGGTTTCAGGGAGATCATTTATATAAATCAGGAAGAGTAGGGGTCCAAGAATAGAGCCTTGTGGAACGCCAGCATTTATATAATCCTCATCGCTCAAAACAGACTCTTGACCATCAAGGATAACTTTTGCTTGTCTCTTAAAGAGATATGATGCTAAAAGTGATAGAATACTTGGGCCAATTCCATAAGATGTGTTGTCCAGAGGTGTTGTACTTCTAGAGATGCTCCACTTCACAGGTTTTACTGTAATTCTATACAGTGCGTATCAAAAAAAAACGCAACAGATTGTTATCTCGAAAAAGCACAAAACCAGTGATAACAGCATTGATTTCATTCAATGCAACATAAAGCCATGTGTTATCTCTTTACAATGATATATCATTCATTGATATTTGGTCATGGTTGGGCGAGTAATCATTCCATTTGTAAAGTGGGCCGAAATTAGCTTGGGGCCAAGTTATAAACATCGCGAAAGTCAGTGTACGGAGGCCGATGCAATATTGGAAGAAAACATAAAACCAATGCTGACTGCATCCTTTTCATTCAATGTACCAAAAAGCCAAATTACTCCTCATTGCAATGGAATATCATTCATTCACAGGGAGTCATCTCTGGCCGAATAATCATTAATTTTGCAAAGTGGGGCAAAATTCAGCTCGGACCCAAGTTTTAAACATTGCAAAAGTCAGTACAAGGGGCATAGGGGCTATTGGAAGAAGGTGTGACAGGTGTGGCATAGACAGTAAAGTGTTCATACTCATGCTAGAATACATCCCATAGCCCTCCAAATTGCCACCACTTCCTTGCACATAAAGATACGCTCATCTGTCCACGTCATGCATGGTTTAGCCCTGAGTCATCTGTTGGTTTTAGCAGAGAAAAGCAGCACACGGGCAATTCTTTCTCGAGGTTTTGCAATATCTGGTGGAGAAATTGTGAGCACAGATGCTCCTGAGATAGCTCAAAAAGAAAAAGTCACAACAATTCAAGTAAGAGGAACTTCCATTGGCACTTAGCCCTTGCACTGATTTTTTCAATATCTAAAACTTGGCGCAGAGCCAATTTTGACCCACTGTGCAAATGGAAGGATTTCTCACCCAACCATTATCACATGTGAATGAATGACATATCATTGCAAAGAGGAGAGACGTGGCTTTATGCTACATTGAATGAAATTGATGTAGTCATCACTAGTTTTGTGATTTTACGAGATAACTACTTGGTGTGTTTTTTTCGATACACCCTGTATATATATATTGGGGTAAATAAAGTACACCCTATGCAGACAGAGCCTTTGGGAAATATTGGGTGCGGCGCAAATGAGCGGAGGGTGCGGAGTTAACGGTCATTTTTGAATTTAAAATTGGGATATTTCTGAAACTAAGCCGTTTTGGGACTTCAAATATACCAAGATATGTGTATTTGACACCAAATATCAATAAAATTGTGAAAATAGAAGTGCAATTCATTTTATAGCGACGCAGTATGCCTTAAACATTTCCCAGACCTATATATTTTGAGACTATCCTTTTAATACTGCGTCCCCAGCATTCATTAAAAATGGTGTTCAAGATACACTACCCATGCAAATTATTTTTGCATCTTGGAAGCCAGGCAGTATCTGTGTGATTTTATAAAAATTCGGAAATGTTCTTCAGATATGAGCCCCTCTAAATATTTGGTGCAGAGGTACGTTTATGGAGCTCCTCCGCACCCAATATTTAGAGGGGGCTCATATCTGAAAAACATTTCCGAATTTTTATAAAATCACACAGATACTGCCTGGCTTCCAAGATGCAAAAATAATTTGTATAGATAGTGTACCTTGAACACCATTTTTTATGGATGCTGGGGACTCAGTATTAAAAGGATAATTTCAAAATATATAGGTCTGGGAAAGGTTTAAGGCACACTGCGTTGCTATAGAATGAATTGCGCTACTATTTTCACAATTGTATTGATATTTGGTGTCAAATACACATATCTTGGTATATTTGAAGTCCCAAAACGGCTTAGTTTCAGAAATATCCCAAATTTAAATTCAAAAATGACCGTTAGCTCCGCACCCTACGCTCATTTGCTCCGCACCCAATATTTCCCACAGGCTCTGTCTGCATAGGGTGAAGTAGCAACAAATTTAGTTTGTGTGCTGTGCATCGGTCTAAAAGCCTTGTGCGCACCATTCATTGCAAAAACCATATAAGTACAAACAAGTACACATCTCATTTTCAGGCTTTTAAGGGTTGGATCAACAAACACCAATTAACAAACACCATAGGTGGCAATATAGTATAATGTATATAACATATTATCAAAAAGTTCCTCAGATCCATTATGTTTCACAATCAAGTTAAAAGCAAGTGTCAATGACTTAATTTTATCTTAAAGCGAGGGAACATTTCCATCTCCAATAGAGTGACATAGACAAGAGATAAAAAGGAGGTAGTATCTCCAAACTGAATGACCCACTTTTCAATACTCCAGAAACAAAAAACAGAAAAGAAAATATTTTCTTCAAGTGTGAAATCACTTGCATTTTCATGTCATTAATGCATTCAAAAGTTTGCACGAGACCCCACCCCCACGTGGGGAGGGTGGGGAATTGAACTTGCAATATTGCTCCCAGGGGTAGGGACAGAGAATTTCGTCCCGGGAGTGAGGATTTGATTTGCAATGAACGGAGAAGATTGATTTCTCCAAGAAAAAGGTTAAAAGTGAATTGCTAAATGAATAGGCACATGACATGGGGAAATATGTTAGGACTACTAGGACTTTTTTGGACCGCGCAAACTTTTGAATGGTACATAAACTGAGGATTTCTCAAATCATTACTCTGATACTATAACGTGGGACAATGGTTTACTAGCTTGTAAAACTTCCTTAATTTCTTTTTCACTCAAACCCTCCCTTACAGATGACCAAAAGTATACACATATCTGCACTCAGTATACCTCTTTATTGGCAGTTTTATTACAAAATATATAAAATGCACATAAAATACAGCAACAAACCACTCAACGATAAGAAAAAATAAGTCCTTCAATCAGATATCATTCTTGAACACAGATGGTAACAGGAATTTTAGAGTGAAGCATAGTTTAGTGATAAGAATGTGATAAGCATGGTTATAGTTCATGAGTAATGGATATATAAATGATTAAATGTAAAATCATTTTTTAAAGTATAGATCTGTTTTTGCAAAAATAAGCAATATAACAAATTTGTGGATCTTGTATGTTGATGATTATTTTGAATCACTGCTTCAAGATAAACATAGCTGAAACTCAATATTACTCTGTAGCTTACAGTTTGCTTATTTTAGCAAAACAAACCCCTCCTAAACCTCAATGAATTTGACTGAAGACATTGAAACAATATGATTTAGTGCAAGGGGTGGAGTATGTTTAAAACTTTATGCGAATATATAAAGCAAGCAGTATATTATACAATCCTACACCAAGCAAGCTAGGCACACATTACACAACACCCTTAGTTCTTACCCCCTCGTCCTCTCCCTCTTCCAAATCCAGGAACGTGAGGGTCTTAAAAAGATGTAATCAATTAATCTTCAAAATGATGTAAGTTTATAAACTTGGAAATTACACAAGAAATTATTTTTTATACAACAAGGAATATTTATTTAAAAAAGAAGTGACTCACCACCTCCTGATGAACCTCCACCTCCCGATGGGCATTCTCTGGACATGTGACCTTCTTCTCCGCATTTAAAGCAGGCACGGGAACCACCACCCCCGCCTCCCTTAGGGCACTCTCTGGACATGTGGCCTTCCTCACCACATTTGAAGCAAGCACGGGAACCACCGCCACCACCTCCACCTCCTGATGGGCATTCTCTGGACATGTGGCCTTCCTCACCACATTTGAAGCAGGCGCGGGAACCACCCCCACCGCCTCCACCTCCTGATGGGCATTCTCTAGACATGTGACCTTCCTCACCACATTTGAAGCAGGCGCGGGAACCACCCCCACCGCCTCCCTTAGGGCACTCCCTGGACATGTGACCCTCCTCACCACATTTGAAACAGGCACGTGAGCCTCCGCCACTACTCCCTCCCCCACCAAATCCTCCACCCCCAGAGCTACCAAAGCCACTGCTTCCTCCTCCACTGGATGATCCAAACCCTCCTCCTCCAGATGATCCAAATCCCCCTCCTCCAGATGATCCAAATCCTCCTCCTCCTCCCCCTCCTCCAGAAGATCCAAACCCACCACCACCACGGCCAAATCCTCCACCACCCTGTCAAGAAAAAGATACAAGGAATTACAATCTAAATATTTTATAAAGGGCTCAATGAGTTCAAAAATAGCTGCGAAATAACTTAATTTACATGACTTATCATAATTTCCTGTGATACAAAAATATATTTGTTTGATTTGTTCATTGTTTAGACTACTATAAGGAAAAGGATACATCTACATTATGCGTAAATCTTTTAAACACATTTTATATTTATTAAAACTAAAGGCTTACCCCAAAACCACTGGAAGCAGCTGGCGCTGGTGATTCATCCCAATCATCACCCATTTTGTAGAATTAGATTGTAATTTAGTTTCTTAGATATATGCAGTTTTCTTTGAGGTATGTAGTATTACTGTGCCCTTTCAGTACAATATCTAAATGGCACCTACTTTACAACTGCTTCTCAGTTTTCTGAAAGCAAATAAGATAAATGGTGCTGAATATTAAGGACTAATTGTTCCTTGTAAAATGTAATTTTCACCAAATTAAGTAGAAATACAGTATTCTTTTAGTATTCACACACCCCAGGCCTTGAACTTAACTTTTTTTATCAGGTAGTGAGGTAGTTGTTTCACTACTTAGTGAATTTTCTGATTTGAGAGTACCAGATAGTGAAGATTTTGATCTTTATTCTTACGACTTACGAGCGCAATAAGATATTACACTGTAGTGATCTCCCCAGCAGCAATTGCGCCACACCCACTTCAGATTTTGATAATAGCCAACTGAGAATCCATTTGAACCCACTTGAAAATGAGAAAAACATGAAAAATAGGCACATTTTGTCCAAATTTGGTCTAAATTATAAAATAATAAATTTGCACCCACTTGAGGTAAAATCCTGGGGAGAACACTGCACTGTTTTAGATATACTATATGGAAGAAGAAATCCCCAGGAATTTCATGGCCAAGTTTTCTTGCCAAAAATGACTTATTTGCAACATCAGAACGGAGTATAATAATGGAATGGATTGTTATTGGATTGTTTCAGTCTGGCAAATAAGGATTTTTTCACTATAGCCAAATTTGTCCAGAGACATTTGAAACACTCTCGCCAAAATATTTTTCGTCTGGCCATAATTTTGTCTAGTCAGCATAAATTTTGCCCTCATCTTAAACTGTGCATGAATTGCGAATGGTAAATTAAACTGCTTAAAATAAGTGGAAAGGCCACACATGTCTGTTTCCTGATCAATGAAATTTCAGATTTGGGGTAGGCACTAGGCAGGTAGGTTCGTTGGAAAAATCTTACTCAAATTTTTTGAGGGTAAATTAGACAGAGCATGCTGATCAAATGTCTATACTAGAGTTGTATGTACTAACAATATAGATAAAGAAAATTGTGTTATTAGGCTATACTGCTAGAGTATGTATCATCAAAGAAGCTTTTATTTCAGAGTTTGGAGAGATCAATATTTTGAAAATGCAGCATTTTTTGAATTGAACCTCTTTAAAATGAACATCATGAACTTTTTTTAGTCTAATGAGGATAAACAAATAAAGGAATCAAATGTGCAAGGAGTTCTAGACAGGTATCTGGTTGTATAAATGAATCTTGACTTCAACAGTTTTTCATAAGTTATAAAGATGGCAGTGCGATCAATACAGATACAATACCAAAATTGTTACCTCTGAGTAGGCTAACTTCCTGCCTGCTCACGGCAAAATTTAGATGATTTTCAGTGTTTTTTTTCTAAATACTGATGATTATCTGGCTATTTTACTTCAAATTGTTCTTCTCTAAGGTAGGTGGCTTTATGTTCTTCTATTCTGATCATGTTTTAGGTAGAATAAAAAGCTTTGTGAATGGGAATAGGATCAACTATGAAACTTCATTTTTCAAGAATGTCGGGGATAAAAACTGTGAAGTTCTAACATCCATCGCCGAAATTGTTGAGATAGATCGCAACTTCTATCGCCAAATTTTTTTCACTCCCTGTTTTTGGCGTTTGGCGACCTCTTATTTGCCACACTGTGTTTACGGTTAAGATTGCTAAATGAACCAAATCAAATACCTAAACTAAACAATATGGCAAAAATCCCTAGTGGAGCCCCGCGAATTGAATGATATGTTCTCCCCAATTATCTGTAATATTACCGCTAGAGACGGTCCGATATTGATCTAATTTTATATAAAGATATTTGTTTAATGATAGATCATCATTTTCAATGTAAAAGTCGTAAGAATAATGAGAAATGTGTCAATTTCCTTGCATTTTTCAAGAAAGTATTATTACATTGTCTTCTTTTAGAATATCTGGTAGGAGTTCAATGGAAACTCCAGGAAATTCTGATATTTCACACTTTCTATTTTTCCAAATTTTCTTTCAAAGTTTTCAGACAACACAGGAGCTACCATTGACCTGTTTCCAGGTTTACTAAAAGTAGACAATACTTTCCTGAAAAAAGCAAGGAAATAAAATGACGTGCAAAGGCAGCCATTTTTCAAGATGGCTGCCATGTATTTCTTCTATATTTACATTTGTAGCTTAATCAATGTTTTATATAACTTTTTTAAATTTAAAACATATTGCTATTACAGTTTTAAATGCAGTTCCTAAATAACTGTAAAATCGGCACTAAAATGGCCGCAATTTTTTTTGAGCGGCCATTTTGAAAATCAGATTTCGAGCAGTACTTCTATCCCCATTGGGTATATGAACAAAATCGGGCCAGTGGTATTTGAGTTATTGCCCAGACGGATGGACAGACGGACGTACTAGGGATGTACGAACGGACGGAGGTGTTCCCTATATCCCTCCGAACTTTGTTCGATGATGGGATAATTAGATCCCGATGGCATTCATTCTTAGCACAAGAGACTGGCGCTATCAGGTTTGAACACTAGACTAAAAGCTTCCCGAGATCACTGAATATGTATGCAGATAATCATGTTTTTATTTTTGGGTTATTAAAATCATATGTGAAAAGCACAAAATGAGATTTTCCTTGGAATGTGTACAGGAAGCATTTTTCTCCAATTTTGAAAACCTAAGACAAGGCTTTTATATGAAACATGGGAAGTTGCCTACCCTTCTATTGAAAGCCCATGGTTGCAGCGAAATTACGAACCATTGATCAGGATATGGTAGAGAAAGTAAAAAGGAGAGGAACTAAACTTGTCCCTAGTTTAAAAAACTTGAGCTATGAGCAACGTATGAGAGCACTGAGGATTCCATCACTCCAGTATCGTAGAAGATGAGGGGACCTCATACAGATGTTCAAAATCACTAAGGGACTAGACAGATTAGACATTAACGACATTGCAAAGATCTCAACCAATACACAAACAAGAGGCCACACAAAAAACTACAGCATAGGCATAGTAGACTTAACCTATGGTAGAAAGCAACTTACTTTTTCACCCATTGGAATACATGTAAAATTGGCAAAGTTCAAATCATAATTTCTCAAATCCCAGCCCATCGAATCCTCGCATCCATTCAGATCATGTAGTCCTATTCAAAAACTTCCCGTTCGGTTATATGGTAAGATTTTGCTACATTTATAAGCGAGCATTGATTTCTGGGCCTGATAAAAAGCATGTAGGAGCTGATTACCTCATTGATTTACTGAGACCGCCAAAAATATAATTCAAATTTTTGGTTCAAAATTATAATCTGTCAGCGGTCCCTGACACTCCTACTAGCTATTACCAAACATTAATTGTCAATGCATGTACACATATACGTGCCATACATCTACAAAGTAGCAAACTAGTGTTTTAAGTACTACTTTTCCTATACCATGACCAAAACAAATCGCACGTGGGTTGTATTGACCCTATGCAAGAATTGCTTTGGAAACAGAATATATATTCTAGCCTATGAAGTGTTAAGCTGTGTACAGCTATGTAGTACTAAAAGAGTTAACATGACCTTAGCAGGTGATGATGACGTCACTAATGTGCTGACCTTAGGTACAGCTGGAAAATAACATTTTGGTAAAAAATTGGTATACCTGCACATTTTATTTTCTGGTGCAAAATAAAGTATGAAAGCATGTGTCAATTTCCTTGCTTTTTTCAGGAAAGTATTATTACATTGTGTTCTTTTAGAATATCTGGTAGGAGATCAATGGGAACTCCAGGAAATTCTGATATTTCACACTTCCAATTTTCCAAATTTTCTTTCAAATTTTCCAGACAACACAGGAGCTACCATTGACCTGTTTCCAGGTTTACTAAAAGTAGACAGTGTAATGATACTTTCCTGAAAAAAGCAAGGAAATACACACATGCCTTCATACTTAATTTTGCAACAGAAAATAACATGTGCAGGTATAGCAATTCTTTACCAAAATGTTACTTTCCAGCTGAACCTTAAATCTCTCTATTACAAACCTTAAATACATAACAAGTACAAAGCTGGAATCCACTACCCCAACATATAAATTGATTGTGAAACTACAAATCAGTTCAAGAGAGAGATTGACAGCTTCCTGAAGAAGATGTTCATATATAGAACTTACTTTACCGTGCTGATAGAAGTCAGCTATGGAAAGTTGGATGTATGTGTACTTGAAAAGAATAAATCGAGCCCATTTTGACTAAACGCTGTGCTGAGTAGCGTTTATAATACGCTATATATTTGAATCAATACATAATTTATTTGTTGTTACCTTATTTTGTTCCTTCAACAGTCTGTTGTTGTAGTAAATCAATGTTCTATTAGACAACAAAACTTTTGAATTTAGATTCCAGCCATTTTAGGTCTCATGAGATCTCGTGACTTTCGAAAGTAAAAATTTGCTACAAAATCACTCGAGTTAGCTAAATATGATATAGTCACGTGATTTTTCAGCGGTAATACCCATGCGCATAAAAAATACAATGTGCATGCATGCGTAAAAAGTTAAATGAAGGACCCACGGTCCTATGCTCACACAGTTTGGAACCTTCAGAGGAATTTATATCCTGACTTTCAAACAAAAATATTGATTTGGATTTGTAGTCTCGAACTTTGAGAAACTTAGATAGCATAGTTGTGTGACCTAGTTTGATGACCTTTGACCTTGAAAATTTTACTTATTCAGAGCTCAGTAAGGACTTTTGTGATTAAGCTGACCAAAATTTACATCCAAAAATCAATTTGAAAAATCAACTTTTTTGACCTTTCGAAGGTCACTGAAGGTCAAGTAAAGGTCAAATCCTAAAACTAATGTCAGATTTAAACTCCTGGTAACTTGTAGATGATTTTCAAAAAAAAATTTGGTCAAATTGAAGCAAGTTGAAAAATAACTTCTTTTTACTGTTTTTTGACGTCAAATATCTCAAAAACGGTAAAAATATTATTTGATGCTGACATATATTGAGAAATATGTAGGGAATGCTTAAATCTATTAATGATGTAATTTATTGCAGGAAATGATCAAGTATAAGGCAAACTTTAAGAATCTTGTCAATCACAAAACCTGCCATTGACTTTATACATGAGAAAGTTTCCTGAAAATAACCAAGTCCTACTTTTTTTCAAATTTTATAGAGTAAACACCAAAAATCGTAATTCCAAGAGCTTTGAAATCTTCAGAGGACATAAGTTGCATATACACCAACTACTAAAAGGTATTTGAAAGTTCTACTTCAACAAAGTGTCTAGTATTTACAGAAAATTTGACTTTTTGACGGCAAAATCCGCAATTTCTCGGAAACCGGGCGAACTTGGGAAATGGCGATGATAGGTCAAATAGGCATTATGGATATGCATAAAATGAATGTGGATAGGACTCAATCCGAATAGCAGTTTTAATTTGTGCGGCCAATGTTGACGGACGGACCAACGGACGGACAGACGGACGGACGGACGCCTGGTCAATCCCATAGGCTCACTGTGTGAGCCAAAAATGGTGTGCATGCGTGCCCATGCGTCATGAAAAGGGCAAGTTACATTCAATTATCTTTTTCAATACCTTTTCTTATTCCATTGCGCCTGCTGGAAAGTGGAGAAAACCGCTTCACAAGACGGTTTATAACGGTTTGTCAGCTGGCTTTTGAGCCAGCTGTGTTCAGTAATATAGAACAATGATGACTGATGAAACACAGAGCCAACGGGGGGAGCGCTTTCTCTCTGATTAGATTGTTTCGCATCAGCTATGTGAAACAAAAACATGATCTGGATTAAATAGGACTATCCTCTTTCCAGAACCATTGGTATCTAGATCTAATCTAGTCCAACAACATTAGACCTAGCCCGGGCCTCGTTTCTTATCTGACATGTGTTATGGCCCGACTAGGTCTAACCTCCATGACCATTTTGCCTTTGATGCGTTAATTTAATCGTTCAGCAGGTTTCGACAAGCGGAACTAACTGAACCCTGAAAACATGGCAATATTACACAAAGAATGTGATTCAAGCATGCATACATACCTTATAAACACATACACCCCGTCCCGTATCCCCCTTAGACCCTATTGATGCATAATTACGAAAATATTGGAGACAGGTTTGGAATATGACGAAAATGTCGGTCAGTTTCGGTAACATAGAAATTGCAAATCGTTTCAGGAATTAACCGTCATCACGGCACTGCATTAACGAACAGTTGGTTTGCAATTAATAACTATTTTGCGTGTATATACGCGCTATATAAATTAATCAAAGATACATGTTATCCTCAAAATTGATATTTTTATCCCGAATAATCGCGATAATGATTATCAATCTATTTGACAACAATTTCGTTTCGCTGGTAGTTTAATTTTACGATCCGGGACACTCAGACGAACAGACACAATGACGGACATGCGAAAATGTCACTTTAGAGATTGGTAAGTGTAGCCTCATTTTACTCGTATAAATGAACATTTAACACAATAATATTGTGTTAAATCGCTTGATGTTATGTGTTTTTATAGTATTGTCAAGTATCAGTTGCACGTTATCGCGGAAAAATGGTTTCGATGGATTTAGAACTTGCATCAAAGGAAAGAATAGTAAGGAGGTTAAACTCAATAATGGCCCCAAGAAAATTCCTAATAATAAAGAACGCCGTTATCTGGGTTTTTAACAACGCCGTCCTCCCATTATGAGGACGTAAATAAATAGTCATGGACGCAGAAAAAAATTGTTGGTGCGTTCTTGGGACGCATTACTCACCATAGGTTGCAAACAAATGTTATGAAAAACGTCCCTAATTGGCGAAAACATATCAGAAATAAAATTGTCGAATGAAAAAAATAGAAAGTAAATTATTTTAGGTCAAACGGCATTTCCTCCAAGTTTAACCCAATAAATCAAGCTTATACAACTTGAACTTAAAAAATATAGTATAACTTACCTTAATAATACTTATTTTGCTGAAACAATATGATAAAACCGGTACATTTTGGTCAAAATGTGGCCGGCTTTGCAAAAAGATTTCAATGTGAGAAGTGATATAAACACTGCCATCTTTTGGATTTTATAGTTAGTTTTTTGCTTAGAGAAATCAGTCTACACACGTGCCATCTATATTCAGATATACAGCTATGATTACATTGAATTGCATTGACTGGGGTTTAGAATTCGACATGGGATTAAATATGATGATTATTTAGGATATACAAAATGTGAGAATATTAAAATTGAAATTTAGAAATGCATCAAGGCAAGCTGTTGAAAGACTTCCTGGAAATGCTTAGATTGCTCAATTTTGAAGGTATAAATATAGAAAATTTCTGTGGGGAGGCTCAGGCCCCTCTTTCATGTCTTTAGAGTTCGCTTCGCTTGCATGAATTGGGTCAATTGGGTCTATATAATTAATGTTTTTGCAAATAATTTTTAATTTTAGGATAGAATCTGAGTATTATTAATTGAATCATAAAGTCACGAGGTAAAGGGTATTATCATGCCACGCCCTCCTAAAGTTAAGAGGTACCTCCCAGAATGGGAAAACACATACCCCTGGCTGCAGTATGTTGCAGGCCAAGGAATGCGGTGCAGTTTATGCATCAGGGCTGGAAAGAGGAACATTTTCACCAGCCCAAATGGGTGCAAAGACTTTCAAATGGCCTTGGATGTGACATTCTGTAACGCCTTGTGTATAAACGTTACTTCTTCATCATTGACACTTGTACAATCTGACCCCAGGGTCTAAATACATGCAATAAAAACATGATTAAGCAACATAAAGAATACATGTGTATTAAGTGTTTCTCTTTTTTTCAATTGGGACCCACTTTTTTTGGGAGGGACCCCAAATTTTTATAACACTGGGTCCCCGGGACTCACTTTTCATAGTCCCTATTGAAAACGCTGCCGTTATTGAGTTTAACGACGTTGAACTAGATTAGTCATATAAATCCGACCGTTGTATGCTGTTCTTCGATATTCCTTGTTCTTATTTGGATATTTATTTTTTATCATTTTCTTTGCATACACCGTCGTAGATATTATATGGAACAAATTGCGGTAAACGCTTTTCTGGCCTGTCTCGGTAACCATAGTTACCATACTAACCAAAGTCACACAAATTATCGAGTAATTATTTAGTTCCAACATTAAAGTGTTAAATCTTACCTTAGACATGTAAAACGCTTGATAATTGACGAAATATGATCAATTGAATTATATTTTCATTATCGCCCGCCATGTTGCTGAATGCTGTTTCCGGTAGTCTAAATGTAAAACATGTATTGAAACGGAATCATAATTATTTATTACACAGACATCGATTCCAAAGCCGTTCTCTTATACTTATTACTTTTATCATTTTGAAACAATAACTTTTCCAAATAACTTCCCTTCTTAACGACACTGCTTCCCTTTCAACTGAATCTTCGTGTAACAAGTACTTATGATTTCGTTTGATATAGTTTTACATCTAGACTCAGATTAACCCGGAAGTGACCTTGGCATGGCAAAATGAAAAATTTTTAAAATTCAAGCGGCATGCTTATATTTCTTCAATTACCAAGCGTTTTACGTGTCTAAGGTAAGATTAAATACTTTATAGTTGAAGCAAAGACATTTATTTATCATTTGAGTGAATTTGGTTGGGTAGACAGGCCAGGAAAGCATTTCCCGCAATTTAGATGCGCGGAGTGTGTATGACCCTTGTATGCAAGAAAATAAGAAAAAATAAATATCCAAATCAGAAAAAATAACAACAAATAACATCATACGAGGGTCAGATTTATATGACTAAACTAGATCTAATCAGGTAAAAAATGCACCCTGATGCAATTGTCATTTCAGAGCCATTTCAGCCAGTGTAGTCCATTACCTCTCTAACAGTCCTTCTCTAAGAAGAGATAATATCTATCCTTTTTTCAGATAACCTGTTTCCTATGTACCTCTTATTCTGAATCATTATCTTGAGATTGAGTAAATAAACCTGCAACAGCTGAGCCTCAGATCTGGCTTCGAAATTTTGAGCTCGACACGAGATTTTGTTTTCCTAGGTAAACGGTGACAGTATTCCTCGCAATTGAAAATCAAAGAAAGGCTGAAGTAACTTAGCAGTGTGCAAGAGATGGAATAATTGACACAGTAAATCAGTATGTGAATTATATACGAATAACATGAAGAGACATAGTTACCTTCGACCTGGATTTCAATGGCCGCACGTGGAATTGACAGATTATTACGCCCTAGAACTATTTGTTTTTTTATTCCAATTAAAACAAGAGAGCCGTGAATATACACAGAAACTCTATAGCAAATTTAAGGAGTCTACACTATTATTTTTGATTAAGTAGATAAGATGTAATAAATTGCGATAAAAATGTTGTAAATTATATTCTGTGTCGGAAGCTTATGGCAATGAAGAATCAAGCGGCGGTAAAGTTAAATATTATTTTCGTTCAGTAGAAAATTATCTTATGGCTGCATGGTGACTACCCGGGAATACATGGCCAAATTGACTTTTTTTATTTTAATAGTGGCCAACAGTAAGATGTCAAAATATTTTCACAGAAAAGGAATATTATGTACATTTTTCGGTTATGTTAGCTCGTTCAGGTCAGATAGCATGGCGGGAATTGTAGAAAGTTCCATTTAACTTAAATATTCATCTGTTTTAGTGGTTCAATTTTCATGTCACCCATATGTATCTCATGGTTATGCAAATCAAAATATGTCCGAAAATGCTATCTGTCCAATACAAGAAAATGTATTCCAATTTTTATAACATGGGATCTATGGGGAATCTTCCCGAACTAGAAGTCACATTTAAAAAAAAAAATTAAATTTTCAAAGTTGATCAACAATTTTCAGAACCATATTTTTAGACGTACTTTTACATGTAGATTTAAAATATGACATCACTTTGACTGAATTCTGAATATTTAATAACATAAATCAAGATTATTTATACTTGCATCTAGTCTATTGACTTTTGCAACTTATAGGCCTCTAGCCGACTTTTGCCAAGTGGTTCGCTTTTCATAAAATTCCAGGGGGGGATTCACCTGTTCATATTTGAAAATTTTGTCCCAAAATAACTTTAAAGTCCCCGTCTAAAGTTTGAAAATATTTTTTTATCATTCGTTTACTATTTGTCAGGACTTAAAAAGTGATTTTAGAGATTTTTGAACAAAAAAAATATTTTGAAAAAAAAGTTGTGAGCATTTCATTTCTCAAATATTCAAATTTCCCGCCATTTTTCAAAAAAAGTTGAAATTTCTTAATCATCAAATATTTCTTAATGCATTTCAAAAAAGATTATCTTTTTAACACCAATACAAAGGTTGAACAAAGGACACACTATTTCAATAATAAAATGCCATATTTAATGGGCCACTTCAATGTTTTAACATATCAAAAATATTTTGAAACATTAGTGATGTCACTAAGGTAACAAAAACTTTTTGAAAAAAATTTTAAAAAAATTTTTCGATGTCAATCTTTTCTAAATATGTTAGACTTTTATAAAACAACGGCAACGCCAAAGCGTAGCGAATCCCATCGAACAGAAATGGCTGGCATTTTTACAAACGAAGCGCAAATATCATAAAACAACACACCAGAAAGGCCACCATTTTCAAAATGGTTGCTCACTAGCCAAGTTGTCATCAGAAGAAATAATATGCTTTTAAGTAGCCACCTCTAAAAATTTTTGAAAAATCGCACACGTACTTGTAAAATAACACATGTAAAAATGGTGGCCATTTTTCAAAATGGCCGACTACTCCCCAAAGTTTTATTAGACAATGTGCCATGCTTAAAGTATTCACATATCAAATATGAACAAAATCGCTCCACTACTTTTCGAGTTATAGTAAAATACGTTAAAATGGTGGCCATTTTTCAAAATGGCCACCTTCTACCAAAAGCGTCATTAGAAATAGACGGTGTTCCATGCTTATAGTATTCACATACCAAATATGAACAAAATCGCTCCACTACTTTTCAAGTATTAGTAAAATACGTTAAAATGGCGGCCATTTTTCAAAATTGTTTTCAAAATGGCCGCCTTCTACCAAAAGTGTCATAGGACAGTGTGCCATGCTTATAGTATTCACATACCAAATATGATCAAAATCGCTCCACTACTTTTCGAGTTATAGTAAAATACATTAAAATGGCGGCCATTTTTCAAAATGGCCGCCTTCTACCAAAAGTGTCATAGGACAGTGTGCCATGCTTATAGTATTCACATACCAAATATGAACAAAATCGCTCCATTACTTTTCGAGTTATAGTAAAATATGTTAAAATGGCGGCCATTTTTCAAAATGGCCGCCTTCTACCAAAAGTGTCATTAGACAGTGTGCAATGCTTATAGTATTCACACACCAAATATGAACAAAATCACTCCACTATTTTTAGAGTTACAGCAAAAATCGTAAAATGACGAGTAAAGGCCGCCATTTTTCAAGATGGCTGCCATGTGCTTTTTAATATCTACATTTGTAGCATTATTAATGTCCTTTATAATTTTTTTTACATTTAAAACATATTGCTATTACAGTTTTACATATTGCACCTAAATTACTGTAAAATCGTCACTAAAATGGCCGCCATTTTGAAATGAGCGGCCATTTTGAAAATCGGCTTTCGAGCAGAACTTCTACCCCAATAGGGTATATGTGTACGAAATATGAACAAAATCGGGCCAACGGTATTTGAGTTATTGCCCGGACGGACGGACAGACGGACGGACGGACGGACGGACGTACGGACGTACGTACGGACGGACGGAGGCGTTCCCTATATCCCTCCGAACTTCGTTCGATGGGATAAAAACCAATGTTGATTGTCTAACTAGATTTAAAGGAAGAATAAATTATGTTTTAGATATCATTGTACCATTGGTTTATGCATTTTTCTCAGAACCATTTTCATGCACTGATAAGTTCATTTCTCGCTTATTTATGAACCGATTTACTTAATTTTTTCGGCAAAAAACATGTGAGGATGAATGCTATGCATTGGTATGAATTGTGGCTAATTAGAAGGTATGAGTGACTTCTAAAAGTTGGTTTGAAATAAATTCACAAATTTGGAACAAAAAGTCTATCAAAAACCACTTTTTTAAATTTAAAAAAAAAGTTTCACATATCACACTTTGATAACATTGGTTAAGACTACAATATAAGCCAAAGTGGTTTAAACTTTACATGGGGCCTTTAAGTGCTCAGAATGGTGAAAAGCATGATTTTGAAAGAACTTTCGGGCAAATTGTCTTATCTCTTGGTGGTATACAACCTGGTATACAACTACACCAGGATGGAAATATTTTGGAAGTATCACATTTAACTTTATCTGCAAAGTCAACTGAAGCCACAATTGTGATAACCTGTCACAAGGAAACAAATAAAGATAGGATGCCAATTGCAATGTCAATACAAAATCCAAGATATTTATCTGACTCTGAGACATCAATGGGCCATAAAGATACAAAACTAATATTACTTGTTTATGTGTATGAATATGATAGCTTCCATTTATATAGTGTATTGGAATATATTGTATGTTGAAAATATACCTATAAGATGTCAGCTTGGTAACTAGTGCCAAGTTAGTGGTCCTACTACTCTCCATAATAGATGGTTGAGGGGAGGGTTATAAGGGCTGCTTCATGCCATTTAAGAATGGTGCTTTTTTAGCAGTAACACCATGTTGCTGGGAGAGTACCAGTCTGAAATGGCTTGGAGCTAAGCTTGTGTGCCCCCTCCCATCAAACATCACCATCTGGGGTGAAGTATATGACAATAAACAAAAAACATTTCCAAAAGGGGTATGAGAATTCAAGATGGCCAACCAAAAGTAAACTGCTCTAGGATTCAATGCAAACTAACATCCCCGCAACATTCTAATCAATGGGTTTTCACTCCTTATTCACTCTCAGTAGTCGAGCTGCAAAACCCCGTGACCCCCCCCCCCCCTCTAGCATTCTAGTTGACAATACACCTTCTGACACAATTACCCAAATGCGAGTAGGTAGTTACCAGTTTCACCACCAGATGGCTGATTCGGGTCAATTAACATGGCAGGTATACAAGAAAGTTCCCTTAAACTTGAATATTATCAACTTAAGTGGCTCAATTTTCATGCGTCTGATACTTATACTAATGAAAATATGTCCAGTAAAGCAAAATATTATCTGTCCACTAAAAGAAAAGAAAATTTTTAGTGATTTTATAGCATGGGGTCTATGGGGAATCTCCCTGAGCTAGAAGTCACATTTTCAAAGAAAATTAATTTTTCAAAGTTGATTAACACTTTTTAAAACCACATTTCTAGATGTAATTTTAGATGTAGATTTCAAATATGATATTACTTTGACTGAATTTTGAATTTTTAACGATGTAAATCAAAATTATTTCTACTCGCATCTGGGTTATTGTAGTACTGTAGCAGGGGGGGGGTCACAAAAGCTTGTAACTAGACTACACTTTCAGTTATTGTCTATGAAATTCAATCATATAAAACTTGCCTTCATCGCACTGATAAATGAGTTTGAGAAAAATGATGGATGTCACGAGACCTACTGTATTTCGAGTTCAAAATATTTTTTAGAATTAAAAGTTTTTCTATGCGATTTTAATTTAAACAGTAAAAAGAAATATATCAGCTCAGTTATACATTATATTGCATGTATTATTAATATTCATGTCAATTTCAATTCTATTACAAATGTACATGATTCTACATCCTTCAGAAAGACTTACAGTCCCGTCAGACTAATTTCACCAGAAGGTTTTGAAAAAAGTCGTCATACAGATATAACATGAAATATGTTACATCTAGACTTTCAATCTCTGAAATTATAAACTCCCTCTTTTTGGCCTGGGTATGTCTCTTTATCACATTGTAGCTCTTTGCATACTTTATGTAATGTTGTACTATACTGTATATAGCTATACATACATATGTTCCATAATTATATTAATAAAATCCATGTATGAAATATATAAAATACTGTATATGGACTGCAACCAGTCAGCTTGTGCGCTTAGTGTAAACTTTGCAACGTAAGAATGTACAGCTATATATAGTTCAAGTACTGTTTAGATAGTATCAAACAAGGAAAACCTTCCCAAGTATACTGATTGCAATAGTGCAAATTCATATTGAAAAGTCCTCATAAGATGTCATACGTTACACTAGGCCCATGTTCAGAGGAAGGTTTATGAGGATCAGGTGACCCTTAAGTCCAGTAAAGAGTCTGGTGGGGGACTATCATAAGCTATCCCGGTGAAGCTCTTTGCAGGCCTCTCACATGTAGATGCCACACTACATGAAGCTGAAAATATAAAAGCAACAGATGAGCTGAATAAACCCAACAAACAGAAAACACAAAGGACAATAAATGGGTTTATGAAAGCAATATGAACTCTATTGGTCCTTGGTGACATATTAGTTCAAGGTCGGATATCAATACAATGCACATGGGTATTGTATTCTGAAGCTCTCTGAAGAGCAAGATCACCTGAAATGTTATGTTCTTGACCCCATTTTGGTAATAAGAAAAATAGAAAGCAACGAGTGCTAAACCCTTAAAGGGGTCAAGCAATATGGTAGAAATTCTCTGAATTGGCAAAATGGCAAAAATGACAAAATGGCAAAAATCCAAGGGAGAAACATAAGTTTTACCTTCTTGATCCTGAGATAAAGGCTGAGGTTCCACTTCACTAAAATCTATGCTGTCACTGAAAGGATTCTCCAGCAAGGTTAACACACGTTTAACCTCAGTAAAATCTCCCCGCTCTGCTGCCTCAATAGCATTCTGGGCTATGTAGTTTCTTAAGATAAATCTACAAAAATCGATTTTCTATTTGAGAAATAAGAACTTGTTTTACATCAAGCTTTCGTCTACTTCCAATGATGGGAAAAGGGTGTTGGATGTTGGACATTGGCCATGAGTGTTACATCAATATTCAATACAGGTTTAAAAATGAGTTCATTTTTAATTGAGACTATTGAAGCACTAAGAATCCAATAAAAAGGAAACAAAACTATCAATAGAAGTTGCAGGTCAGATATGTTAACTTATATCAACATTAAAATCAAGAGATTTTTAGTGTAATCATTTAAATCAGTAAGTCTTGAAAACACAGCCCCATTGTTAACAGATGTTTGAGGGATGGAGTTGAGTGATTACAAAAGATCACCTTTGTCTGATAACAAAGGGTTTAAATAAAATCTGGCTATATCACATGATTTCACTTACTTTGGATTACAGGAATCCATCATCTCTACCCTGGCTCTATTGACTTCTTCTATACTCTCTATCCCTTCAGCTTCAACTTTCAACCTGGCAACATATTTCTCAAGCCACTCTGTCCACTCTTTGTCATCATTACCCTTCTTCTCCGCATCAGTCAAGTCCTACAGAAATCAATACATTACATCAAGGTGGAATGTCAAATGCAGCAACCTCATATTCAATACACAATTACATGTTATCACCATCAGTTATTGAGTGGGTGATGAGTCCATTTCTATCAACAAATACATGTACAAGCAAGTGCAAAAACATTTTCTTAGGGAAACCATTGTTTTCATTTGAAAGTACCCCAATATCACACCTTGTCATATAGGGTAGGACTATGACAAAATGTAAAGCACTGTACAGAAACATTACATAGAAATAACATGGGATTAAATTGTGAACATTCAAAGAGCAAATTAAAGTTTTGAACACAATCCCTTTCGATTTAAACTGAAATAGTAATAACAACTGTATAACCTACCTTTATTTCCTTCAATTTCTCCAAATTTTTTATCTCTACCATAACAGCTTTAGCACTACCCCCTAACATATTGAGCAAGTCTGGGTTCATTTGAAGCATGGAGACCATCATTGACAACTGCCTGTAAAACAAGTTAAGACAATATTAAAGTTGATTTCAGCCACAGGAAATCAGTTGCTAAATAAAGAGTATAATAGTGCATATCATTGTTTACTATACTCAGACTTCTGTATATACAGTACATGTACATGTTTATTACTTGTATATAGCAGTGAAGTAATAAAGCAACTGGTGAGGCCTCAGTAATAAAGCAACTGGTGAGGCCTCAGTAATAAAGCAACTGGTGAGGCCTCAGTAATAAAGCAACCGGTGAAGCTCTCAGGTGAGAATTTAATATCTACTTGCATCAAAATGAGGTAAAAATACTGTTTGCATAGTCTACCCTGTTTCAGAAAAATGCAACTGGAAATTGTAAATCAAGAACTACAGTGTTCTCCTCTAGATTTTCAAGTGGGTGCAAATTTTTTATTTCTATAATTTGGACCAAATTTGGTCAAATAAACTCTTTTTCATGATTTCTCTCAGTTTCAAATGGTATTTCAAATTCATTCTCGGGTGGGTGCAAGCCTATTATCAAAATCTCAAGTGGGTGTAGTGCCCAATTGCTTTAGTACGGGGGAGATCACTGAACTACCTAGGGTCCATTCTTGGGGCATATGTTTTCTTCAATTGCTCTAGTGTACAGCATTGTTCCAATAATCTCCTCTTCAGCAACTCAAGCTTATAATCAAAGTCTGCACTCCCAGGAAGAGACAATTTGCTAAGAGATCGAAAACTGTTGGTGAAATCTGCTCCAGTTTTGTGCATTGTAGCTAGGAAGGAGTCAACCAAATCCCTGCAATATATTAACAAAAGTGCATGTTTGGAATTTGATGTTGATATTTTGCTCTACAGTTCAGTTAATGAGACTTTGGTAAACAACTTCGTAAACATGGCAATGTCTATCTTATTCCAAATTAAATAAATCCCGGAAATGGTTTGAACAGACATTTTAATATTTATACAATGTATTCGCACTAAAAGTACATTCTACTTACTTGTCATTCGGAAGTTCCTTGTTCAAACCAAACTGGAAATACAACAGAAATCTAAAGAAAATCTGCTTATGTACTCACACGGGGCAAATACATATAAAACATAAACTATATTGGGCCAATGGTATTTCAGTTATTGTCCAAACGGACTGAGTCATTCTCTATATCACCTCGGCCCAGAACTTCGATGGGATATCAATAATGTGGTCAATAATACTGAGACAAACTTAAAGTTGATCTTTCTAAAGAGGCCCAAATGATTATCAATAAATACAATTGAAATACTGAGTAAAATTTTTTGAGTATTGAAATGACTTGGACTTTTTGTCACAACCAGAACAGCATGAAAGTGCCACCAGAAACCAGTTTCAAGCTAATTCTACTCATCACAGTCATCAGGCATGAGTCTGTTCACTCTATAATTATTATCCAGCGTATCAAATGTGTTCAGTATAGAGAGGTGTTCAGTTACACAGGTTTTACTGCATCTGAATCAATAATAAATGTTCTGTACCTTCTTTCTCATTTTCTCCATGTAATGTTGTTCAAATACAGCATCAAAGTCCTCAAGTATGGGTTCAGTTTCACTTACAGGAATAGCTCCCTGTATGGCTTCTCCTAACTTCTTCAAATTCCACTTACAGATTTCTGGCTGTTTTTCATATGTATACCTTCCCCCATCATCTGATTAATAAGAGACATCCTTATGTTACATATTGAATTATTGATTAATATTAAAATACAGTAATTCAAACCAAAATGATCAAATGATCCACAATGACAGGGCAGGCCAAGCCGACTATTTAAAATAATAATGTATAGTCTAATGTTTTACCAGAAGTAATTCTTCAAAGAGAACTTTTCCAACAATTTTAAGATTGTGAATTAATATATACTGTAGATTAGGTTAATTTGGCGCCCGCTTTAATTTGGCGAATTTAATCTAATTTAATAATTATAAATCTTCGCCAAAATTTAGAATGAATCCCTGGGAATTATCGAGGGTATTTCGTCCAGTGTATTTAGGTCACTGCCGGTTTAGTTTTTTCCAAAAATATGAAAAATGTCTCATAAATTGGCTCAGAACTGGTCAGTCACTCATTAATACTCAGGGAAAAAGTAGAAAGGAAAAGCGTGGTATAGTAGCAGCATCGATTGAGGAGCAAAATGTAAAGGATGATCTCACAAAAATGTACAAACGTGGTGAATATCGCCAGTGGTCCTCAAAAGAAAAAATGAACATCGCCAAACATGCCCATTTACATGGTAATTCGCAAACAGCGCGTAAGTTTAACTTTTTTTGCATATCCGCCAAATTTAATAGCCACCAATATGCCAAAAATGGCAAAATAGCCAAATTAAGTAGCGCTAAATTAACCCAATCTACAGTACTAAAATCATGCAAAGCTCATGAAATGGGATGAAGAATATGAAAGTAATACTGTAGCAAGGACAAGACTTGAGTTTAATAATTTAGACATTTTTCATAAAATTGGATTTTTACAAAAAAGAGTAAATTGTGGAATAGACTACAATAGAGAATAAGATAGGGTCACCTGAATTGTTACAAATGAACCCTGGGTCATATCTGTCCATGAAGCCATATGGTCCATAGTCAATGGTCACTCCAACAATACTCATGTTATCTGTATTCAACACCCTGCAAATAACATCAATAGCCATAACATGCAAAATGTCACCACTATTTGTTACAGATGCAAACTGCCACCATAAGACCATAACAAAATATCACCACTTTTTGGTGGTGGCATAAAAAAAAATTAGTACCGTGGGTACTGGGCTCACATGGTCACATTTTTTGCTGATTTTTTGTTACAAAATTATTTCAAGCCATCTGTCTCTCAGTCAATTAAAATGGCTGAAAAAAAAATGGATATAATTTTTTGCCAATAATTTGTAACAAAATTATTTCATACAACTACTCTTTACAGTGACATGGCCTTTTGCAATGCAAGACACCTGAAATTATTTGTAAAGCTAGGAAATGGGCCAAAATTGAATTTCGCGAGACAAAAATGGCGACCATTTTGAAATCAGGCAAGCTTTTGAACCAGGAGTCATAGGGGAGTTTTTTGTATTGATGTTGAACAAAAATAACTTGAAACTGGAATCCTATCGACAGAGGTTTTAAGGCAAATGGTCCAAAAGAGGATTTCGCGAGACAGATGGACAAATCAATGTTAACTAAAATGGCTGAAAATAAAAAAACGGATATAATATTTTGCCGATTTTTTGTAACAAAATTATTTCATACAACTACCTTTTACACAGTGTTGTCATTAACAGCCCGTCCACTGGTCATTATCTGGTTACTTTTGATACGGACCAGTTGATTTTTTCACTAGGTATAGAAAAATAACATTGCCACTGATCCGTAATATCATTTTGACCAGCAGGTTTCAGCCCCTTAGTGTCTACACTGCTTTTACAGTGACATGGCTTTTTACAATGCAGGACAGCTGAAATTATTTGTAAAGCTAGGAAATGGGCAAAAAGTGAATTTCACGAAACAAGAATGGCAACCATTTTGAAAATAGGCGAGCTTTTGAACCAAGAGTCATAGGAGAGTTTTTTGTATTGATGTTGAACAAAATTAACTTAAAATGGGAATCCTATCGACAGAGGGTAAGGTAAATGGTCCAAAAGTGGATTTTGCGAGACAGATGGACAAATCAATGTTAACTAAAATGGCTGAAAATAAATAAATGGATATAATTTTTCGCTGATTTTTCATAACAAAATTATTTCATACATCTACTCTTTACATTGACATGGATTTTTACAATGTAGGACACTTGAAATTATTTGTAAAGCTAGGAAATGGGTCAAAAGTGAATTTCGCGAGACAAAAATGGCGGCCATTTTGAAAATAGGCAAGCTTTTGAACCAGGAGTCATAGGGGAGTTTTCTGAATTGATGTTGAACAGAAATAACTTAAAACAGGAATCCTATCGACAGAGGTTTTAAAACGTGCCACAGAAAGTGGATTTCGCGAGTCAGATAGTCAAATCAATGTTAACTAAAATGGCTGAAAATAAAAAAATGGATACAATTTTTCGCTGATTTTTTGTAACAAAATTATTTCATATATCTACCCTTTACATTGACATGGATTTTTACAATGTAGGACACCTGAAATTATTTGTAAAGCTAGGAAATGGGTCAAAAGTGAATTTCGCGAAACAAAAGTGACGGCCATTTTGAAAATAGCCGAGCTTTTGAACCAAGAGTCGTAGGAGAGTTTTTTGTATTGATGTTAAACAAAAATAACTTAAAATGGGAATCCTATCAACAGAGGGTTTAAGGTAAATGGTCCAAAAGTGAATTTTGCGAGACAGATGGACAAATCAATGTTAACTAAAATGGCTGAAAATAAATAAATGGATATAATTTTTCGCTGATTTTTCGTAACAAAATTATTTCATACATCTACTCTTTACTTTGCATGGATTTCTACAATGTAGGTCACTTGAAATTATTTGTAAAGCTAGGAAATGGGTCAAAAGTGAATTTTTCGCGAGACAAAAATGGCGGCCATTTTGAAAATAGGCGAGCTTTTGAATCAGGAGTAATAGGGGAGTTTTCTGAATTGATGTTGAACAGAAATAACTTAAAACAGGAATCCTGTCGACAGAGGTTTTAAAACGTGCCACTGTTATTGACAGAAAGTGGATTTCGCGAGTCAGATAGACAAATCAATGTTAACTAAAATGGCTGAAAATAAAAAAATGGATACAATTTTTCGCTGATTTTTTGTAACAAAATTATTTGATATATCTAATCTTTACATTGACATGGATTTTTACAATGTAGGACACCTGAAATTATTTGTAAAGCTAGGAAATGAGCCAAAAGTGAATTTCGCGAGACAAAAGTGACGGCCATTTTGAAAATAGGCGAGCTTTTGAACCAGGAGTCATAGGGGGGTTTTCTGTATTGATGTTGAACAGAAATAACTTAAAACAGGAATCCTATTGACAGAGGTTAGCTAGGAAATCGGCTAAAAGTGAATTTCGCGAGACAAAAGTGACGGCCATTTTGAAAATAGGCGAGCTTTTGAACCAGGAGTCATAGGGGGGTTTTCTGTATTGATGTTGAACAGAAATAACTTAAAACAGGAATCCTATCGACAGAGGTTTTAAAACGTGCCACTATTGTTGACGGACAGACAGACGGACAGACAGACGGACAAGTGAGTGATTGCAAAAGCTCACCATGTGAGCTAATAATAATAATAATAATAAAAAAATCTATAGCTTGTTCAACTCACACATATTTAATGTTATAATTTTTAACAATATTGTATCCTCTATTTCCACGATCATCACCATAACTGTACAGCAGTTTTTCAAATTAAAATTCATTACTCTTCTATGATATTAAAATATTACAGAACATTACAACATAACAGCCTCCATTATGGTACTCGAAATTAGGTTTACTTCCATTTCAAAAACCTTCTGACATTTCAAAACAATTCATAGCATTCATGGTCTGACTTCAAATGTACAGGACAAGTAGAGTAGAATGATTACCCATGACACCAGCCAATACACTGCCACTCAGCCACCAGTCTAGCTGTTCTGTGTGTAATGTCTCTATAGAACTCCTGGTACATCTTTTTGAGGTCATCTTTATGTGCATCATATATCTACAACAATAAATATACTGTACAGTGATCTCCCCTGGATTTTTTCTCAAGTGGGTGCAACATTCTCATTTTCACAATTCAGACCAAAATTGGTCAAAATGTGCACATTTTTCATGATTTTTCTTATTTACAAGTAGGTGCAATTGGATTTTCAGGTGGGTGCAAGCCTTTTTCAAAATCTCAGGTGGGTGCTGTGCCCACTTGCTTTAAATGTTGGTGAGATCACTGCTGTTTTAAATGCATTGTACATCATCAGAATAATGAAGAAAATATGGGACTTCTGAATTATATGCTAGACAATTATAAAACTATACAAAGAAACTATATTAGTCAATCATTTTCAATCAAACATATGACCTCTAATAAATGTATATCTTACCTCAGTGTAAAATGTTTTGATTGTATATTCAAGCATTTGTGTGAGAATGTCATTTCTTCCTACACTGGGGCCTTTTCTCCCAGTCTGCGAATCTACAGGCTTAAAAATCTCAAATGATCCAAATCTAGAAATGAAAGAGTGGACATATTAACAGGGTTATTGATTCTCCTGCATGCACTATTACAATGTATATGGACTTGCTAAAGCATTTATCAATAAAAAAATATAACAATGTCTCTGTATTAATGGATGGGGACAATTACTATCAGCTAAATCACACTTTAATATCTAAACAGTAACAAAACTAAAAGAAAGTAAAAAACTACATAGTAACATATGTATGGGGACAATCAATGAGAGTCCATGGCTCAATACCCACTTTCATATTTAATCAGTAACAAAACTTGAAAAAAACTAAAAGAAAATAAATTGAAACAAAATATCTTTCAAGATTACCGGATTTTCTCGCATATAAGCCCTGGGCGTATAACTGAAAGAAGGGGTAATTTCGTCTGTTATTTTACCTCTTATTTTTCGCCCATGGGCGTATAAGTGTACTACTTTCGATTTTTGGCCCAGTGGGCGTAAAGGTGAGAAAAAAGAGAGACTACCGTACCTACTGTTGTAGTCCTACCGCATGTTTTGTAAGAATTATAAAGGAAATGTCACCTACAACCTTGGACTTAATGTTGAAACAAAGTAACAACAGAACGATCCACCACTGCCACTTACGGCACAGCGTTGAACTTAATGTTGAAACAAAGTAACCACAGAACGATCTGCCAGTGACAAAATACTCTTGAATTTATTGAAAAAAATCAATAAATAGTCATCTTTTATAGGCCCATAGGCGTATAAGCGTACTACATTCGATTTTTGGCCCATGGGCCTAAATTTAGGGGGGCGTATATGCGAGAAAATCCGGTACAGAGCAGTTGGTTACTTACTTTCTGATCGGGCCTCGTACATATGGATCGGGACAATCATTACATGTATTATAGCCAAATCATGGATTTCCAAAAAGCCCATGGCTAAATACCTACTTTCATATTTCATCAGTAATAATACGAAATGTAAATTACCTCAAAAATGTTGGTGCTATCCTGAGTACTATAGAACATTTCTCATGGATTGGGTGTCCATCATAAAATATATCTCTGACTACCATGGAATCTGAAGTGACACAAGATCCAGCTCGTGTAGTAGGGATTCCAAGATGGTGCATCGCCTAAAAACATATCAGGAAGTATAGAACCATCCATTTGAACTGTGCTCCTCTTCAGGTTCGACTTTCACTTGTCAGGTGAGATTTTCCTACAGGTATAACACTATGTTAAAGAAATCAGAAGGAAAACAGAGTGAAAATGTGAGAAGTAATTCTATTCAAAATCATACAATTTAATCCTCTACAAATCCTATTTTATTTTTCTGAAAGGGAATTGAGATATCTGATCAAATGTACAATTTGCTCAAGATTTAAGATGAAGAAATTTTCAAATTCATTTAAAATTGAATTTATTTTTTAGTTCTTTGACAGATAGTGCTAAAATCAAAGGATTATCCCATGAACTTTCAAGAGATTAGAACTGTTCGGTCTTTTTAGAAAATAGGCGTGACATGGAATTATGAGAGGAAAAATACTGCAAAAATGTAAATGATTGTTTGAAAATTACCTCTACCGTTCTAGTCCCTTCAAACTTGAATCATTTCATGAAAAGTGATAGATTTACCATTGTAAAACATACCTCACTGCATAGGAATTCTCTAATTGTTGATCGCAGAACTTTTCTTCCATCTGCTGTCCTAGAATATGGTGTAAGTCCTGCCCCCTTCAGTTGTATCTCCCATCGTTCTTTTTTCTTGTTGATAATTTCACCCAAATAGCTGATAACAAAGATAGCAAATACAAGTTTGAATGATTACTGTATAACAAATGTTAATGCATATTAATGATACTGACACAATAAAATTTAGTGAATTAATTGTCTAAAAGATGAGAGTAGAAAAATTCAGCTTTTAACTTTTTACTTGAAAGTAAGGATTGCACAAGTACCCTCGTAACAAAGCCGGTTAATGGTACAAGTTACAGATCTTACTGAAAAAATCTTTTGATGGCTATTTAGGACCAGAATAACAGACATTGCTAGAATTAGTTTTCTACAATACGATGAATGTATATATATATGGGAGAATGGTCTTAGATTCTTGCACAGTTCTATTTTTCATACAATCATCCTAAAAAGCTAAAATATATCTTTACTAGAATGGCGATACATTTCTTTTGAATATAAAAGCTTGTACTGTATTCCCTTGCAAAAAACTGCAAAATGATGGGTATAATGTGCAAAACATAGAGCACTAGAATACTGAATACAACAAATAAAAAATAGTACTCTGTACTTCCGGTAACGATGTATGGAAAATAAAGTAAAAATTGGAGGTCATTGGTTCATTTCGGCAAGCTTAGACATTTTAAAGTAAGAAAATATCAGAGAACATACGAAAATCAATTACGGAATGAGAAATGTAAGACCTTTGCGGGAAAAAGGGATAAGATGATTTTAAGCAGATTAAATTTTTTTAAAACATCAATGTTTTGTTCCAGACACCGACGCATCCCCAGAGTCACTTTTGGCGATGTATCGAATAATCGCAACAACACTAGTGTATGATGACCTGTGCAATGAGAGGACAACTTTCCCTACATGTACATGAAGATATGTAAGCAGCTTAGTATAACCATGGGCTATAACATTTGAGACAAAGTTCTTACATTGCCGCACCATCTCCGAGCTGTCCTGAAAAGTACCCAAACTGATGACCACAGTAGCAATGAGCAGCTGTCTCTGAGCCTTGAAGAATTTTATTACCACTGAAATATTCTGCGAACTCTTTTGTCAGTGTATCTGTCTCTGGGATGTCCAGTAACTGTAAGGCGGGGGTGCTGTAGGCAACAGTAACAGGATTCTCAACTGGTGTAGGTGATATTTTTGAAAAACATGCACCACTGACTTGTCGTACAAAGTTTTCTTTCTCATTATCAATGGGTAGAGACCTCAAAACAAGGTTGTCAAAGTTCAAAGATTCCATTACACCAGAAGATAAGAAACGACGAATACTTTTTATGTTACCCGAACTTATCTGTCCTGCTGATCTATTCAAACCATTAAAATAAATATTAATTCTGTGTCCAATAGTTGTATATTGTTTATACAGGGAGGAAAAAAGACGAAACATTCAAAAAAATTTCGTAAGTTCTTCTGCAACATCCGGGTTTTCTTATTTACTGAGCTAAATTTTTTTCTCGGGATATTTTAGTATTTCATTTTTTCACAATAACTGAAATTAGAACCATCGATACATCGGTACTTTTATATTTTCAAATCCAACCGTTAATTAAAAGCTGTAAAATAGTTCTAATGATCTGATTCACCGATGAAATACCGATCGGAAACTATTTTTCAAATTTGTCCGCCTAATTTTCAGCCAATCAACGTAAGGGATTAAATCACGTGATTTCTGCTTCTTGTCCGACAAAAGAAGGTAAAATTTTATACATTATTTGTCCTTTTCCTGCAAAACCAAAACTTCACTTTTAACTTTTTACATAGTCTAAGTAACAATTGATTTATTTTATAAGTTCCTACTGATTGTCAGTCAGTTTTGTGCGTTGTGCATCGCATTATGGATCATTATAGAATTTAGCAAAAACCCGCGCTCATTTAAAATTCAGGGAGATCTGAAAGATGTCAAATGTCAAGCAGGAGCGTTCGCTATCACGCCCGGTGATCGTGAAAATGGGACGGAGGGGGGGAGCAGGCAATTTCTGCAAGAAAATTCAAGAAATCTGAGAGATTTATTTTTTCAAGAAAAAGTTTACTATTGAATTGCTGAATTGATAGGCGCACGGTATGGTAAAATATGTTAGGTCTTCTGGGATTTTTTCTGAAACGATAGGCATCTAAGATATGAGATCTATTAAAAAAGGCGCAACGCACCAACGTGCAAAAGTCAATGTTGTTGCTATAAATGAAGCAACAATGGTGTACATGACCTGTAATAAATACTTGTAAGTGACATTATCGTCACAAAATTAATGTTATTGCTGACTTTGTAAAATAAGTTTCCATAGGTGAAATAAAAAATAATCGAAAATAATTTTGGGACGGAGGGGGGGAGCAATATGTATCATGCCTTAATACATATTGCTCCCCCCCTCCGTCCCAAAATTATTTTCGATTATTTTTTTATTTCACCTATGGAAACTTATTTTACAAAGTCAGCAATAACATTAATTTTGTGACGATAATGTCACTTACAAGTATTTATTACAGGTCATGTACACCATTCTTGCTTCATTTATAGCAACAACATTGACTTTTGCACGTTGGTGCGTTGCGCCTTTTTTAATAGATCTTATACCCTAAAAGAGTATCGGTTGAAAAAAAATCCTAGAATACCTAACATATTTTACAATACCGTGAGCCTATTTATTTAGCAATTCAATAGTAAACTTCTTCTTTAAAAAATAAATCTTCCAGATTTGTTGAAAGTTCTACCAGAAATTGCCTGCTCCCCCCCTCCGTCCCAATTCTACGATCACCGGGCGTGGCTATGTGCCCCCACGGACCTCTGCCAGATTATCTCCTCTGTGTCTAGGCTCAATAAATATATTCAAGGACAAGACACGCGATCTTGGGAAAGTTTATTTTTCCTTGATTTTGGAGTCAGTTTTTCAATAAATATCACATGTCATACCTCAAATGATGCGTACTGTTGTTAGCTTCAACTCCAATCACTAAAGCCACATATCCAAGAAAGCGTCTGTTGATAAAAGAATAAAATAAGCGAGCGTATATTTAATGGAGCGGGGCGCCACACTCTAATTGAGTGCCGCCACAACCTATCCACCATAGAAGGTAGTAACCACAGTCTAAACTGTAGTAACCACAGCCTAAATTGTTGAAAATTCACGCTAGTATCGTGTAAATCATGATTTATCAACAAATTTCTTCTACCTGACAGCCATATTTGTATTGAACGTGAGGTACCGCTTCTGCACAAAAATAATTAACAGGAAGTCAAAAAGTATGGCCTGTCAATCCAGCAGGTTATAATTCAGAATCAGAAACGTTTGCAGTGATTCAATGGAAGAAGGTATAATGCATATTTCTAATATCGTGCACAAATTATGCATGAATTAATAACTTTTGCAAGTGAATATAGTTACAAAATATTTTTAGTAGCTTAGGCTCGCTCCACTCGCAATTTCGCTTCACTCATGCTTCGGATGGCGTATTCGCAGTATCAAGCACCACACCCTAATTTTTTTCTGGTGAGAGCCCTGATGTATAAAAATCGAGTCAGTAGAAGTAGAGCGCGAGCGAAGTAGAACACGAGCGAAGTAGAACATGAGCGGCGAATTATTGAAAAGAATCCAGCCTGCTGAAATTGCCAAACGCCTGTTGAAAAAATATTCCGCCAATATTGAGAAAACTTTTGATTTCGCACCATCTCAAACTTGAACTGAAATGCTGAATGGGGGCAATCTGCAACAGGTTCTAGTTAAAATAATTAACTGGTGCCCATGCATGTTCGAAATCTGAACCAATTAAATTATTCAATCTTATGCGCAATTGAGCTAAATTCTGGACCAAAAAAGGAACCTGGCGCAGATTGCCTGTGAAGCAATTGACTCCCGAATGGGTCTGCAATCGCTCTTTAAAATAGAGGCCCGAAACAACAACAAAAATGTAAAAAGGTCGGTGAATAAAATGAATAAGAACTGGAGTTAGAGTGGTTTATTGAGTTAAATTTTGGGATAGTTCAAGTAAGTATTGATACTATGGTCACCGCAATTTCTGTGCTTTGTTCTAGACACGCCCGTCGAGATCAACAACCCACATTCTTGAAAACCTGTCAGAAAAAAATCAAACTCGTCTTGACAGGCCGACGAGTGAGTCTTTTGATCGCTGTATTAATTTCTGGCGTATTGCAATAATATAGTTTGTTATAACATACCTATGATGATGTATAGCAGGGTGTGTAGGAAGGTGTAAATTCAACACTACGCCAAAAAATCCCGCCAAAAATATGAAACAATTGTGTCAAATCTTCTTTATCAAAACGCCCATTTTATTGTCATTTTATGGCAATAAAGATTTTAAGCTTGCAATGATTTCACAACCTAAATGTGAACGGAAATAGTTAAGCGATGTATTTGTATGGGCGATTGGTAATACATACAGGTTGGCGTTTCGATTTTATATGCAAGCTTAATATCCCTGATACCCTTTTTAATGTGCTTAAAATGTTCGAATGATTTTTATCATTTAAAATCACCATGGAAAGCCGATCTTTTAAATCTCGACACAAATCATCCTCACTTTTCTTATGTCTCGAACGATAAAGACGATCGATTTCCAAATAACTGAGAGATTTTTAATCATTTTCGAATAATTGAATTGAGATATATATTATTGTCTGATTCCATCGTGTATAGTACCGTGCAATACGACACGTACAGATTAAAGAATCTAGCTTGATCAATTGATTTAAAGAAACGCATTCGTGATCAATGATACAATTAATCCTAATGTCTGCAACCTTTTTTATAACACTAGTTCGCAAGACCAAATAAACCTCCCACCACAAAGGTCAAATCGAGGTCAGCGTGACTTAGGGGGTGCCAAAAATGTTATATTTCATAAAAACAATAATCTATTATCTTTCAAATGAAATACAAATCTAGGTAATAGCTTTTCTAGAACTGAAATCAATGGAACGCGTGTATTTGAAAAAAGCCTTTGACACCGTCGATGTAAACCTAATGCTCATGAAAATGCAAAACATCGGTGTCAGAGACAAAGAATTGTCTTGGTTCAGCAGTTATCTCATTGGTCGAAGTCAATGTGTAAGTATAAATGGCAAAGTGTCATCTTCATTACCAGTCGAGTATGGAGTACCTCAGGGCTCTGTACTCGGGCCTCTGCTTTTTATTCTCTACATAAACGACATCCAAAATCAAATTAAAGACTCCAAAGTCACTCTCTATGCAGATGACACTGCCATATTTTACCAAGCCAAAGATATTCACTCTATTAAAGCAAAGTTAACAGCTGATATGAATGTGGTACACAAATGGCTGTGCTCAAATAAATTAACATTAAATGTCAAGAAGACTAAATTCATGGTGTATGGGTCATCCCAGAAACTGTCAAAGGTAGATGAAGGTGACGACATAGTCATAAATGGAGAAAAAATTGAACAAGTCGACGCTTTCAAATATCTTGGTTTGTGGTTTGATCCAACACTCACTTGGAAAACACATATAACCAAAACTTGTACAAAATTGTCACAAAGGTTAGGGGTCATTGGGAGAGTGAGAGATTCTCTTACCCTCAATACAACCAAACTTTTAATCCAATCTACCATCACACCCATTTTTGATTATGGTGATGCTGTCATCTCTGGATGCAGCTCACAACTCTTAGATAAAGTTCAGAGATTCCAAAACCGTGCTGGTAGATTGATAGTTAAATGTGCCCCACGTACCCCATCCCAGGATGTTAGAAATACTCTGAAGTGGCCATCCATAAGAGAGAGGCAGGACATGCACAACCTGACACTAATGTATAAGGTAGTGAATGGACTGGTTCCCACTTATATGCAGGACAGTTTTACCTTAACTAAGGACACTCACAACTATGGTACTCGTGCTACAACTAACAAATGTATTTTTATTAAACAAAATTGTAATAATGCAGGCACACAAACTTTTAGTCACAGAGCATCTGTTCTCTGGAACAAGGCACCTTTAGATTTAAAGGAATCTGCCTCAGTGCAATCTTTTAAAGTTCATCTAAAAAAGCAATTCCTTGCTTCAATTAGTGAATAATTGTAATTTTACATGTCTTAATATGCTCAAATGTCAAGTGTGACAATTACTTTTAATGCTTATTTTTATCGACTAGTCATATAGTATTTTTACACATATTAATGTACTGTTTTTACAAATTTCTAATTTTATGATATGTATTGTCACATATTTTATTGTTAAATGTAGTGTGTATGTGTGTCTGCAGGGTTCTAATGGAAACAAGAAAACATATGTATTTCTTATTAGATATCCCTGAATAAATAAAATCTAAATAAAAAAAAATAAAAAAATTGAATAATCAACATTTTCAAGTTATTTTTGTCTTTAACAATCATATTTCAAGAAGTACTACCAATAACAATCGGTGATTTAGTAAGAAAATAGATAATTGCTGACTTAACTATAATTTCTGTCTATGATTTTGCCTAGCAAAGGAATATAAATCGATATAGTGAAATTGAAAAATTGGGGGTAGGGGAGAATAAAAAAAATAAATCTAATTTAAAGAGGTTCATCATTATAATTAAACGATACCACAGTTTGCATAAGCATTACGGAACATGCGCAAACAATTGCAAAGGTATTCATCAAGTAGTTTTTGATAAAAAACTGTTTTTCTCTCGTGAAGAGAACGAGAATCAAATTTTATTTTAGTTTTAAAATCCATAAGATAGTCAGTCAATAGTGACTCGATTTTCATGAAATAAAGCATGTTGGTAAGAGAATTCAATCTGTTAATTGATTATTTGCCAAACAGAGCAATAATGATTACTTTGCATTTTCTACAGTATTAGAATTGTAGAAACAAGGTATTAACTTTCAATATTTTATTTTTCAAAAAGTGTCATTTATCTGTGGCCAAGGTTAGAAAAATAACAGAGGCACAAAAACATGCAAAAGAGTACTATTAAAAAATCGAGCATATCATATGGTATCCACAAACATTTCTTTAGGCTAGTGTGCTCGAGAAAATATGAATAAAGAACATAGGTAAATTATAAGCCTTTTTATTCTCACTTTTCAACACTACGCACTGGCGTTTTGGCGTACATTGTTCCTACGCCACTGTATAGTGTAAACTGTACACTAGACAGCGGGCCAATATAACTTTTGAAAAGCCCGCGCCTGGTAACTCTCTGATTGGTCAAGCGCTGGGACTACTTTCCCAACATCCGGGTGCTTTTCCTGCCGAAATCATAAACAAAAAAATGGATTTCGCCGGAGGTTTCTACGATTTCGATGAATTTATGCAATTTTTGATGATGATGCACTAGATGAACAAATTTGGTAAAGTTGTGTGCTTAGAAAAATTGCTCAATTAGGTTATCTTCAGTTGATCGGTTAGTTTTATCTCCAGTTGATTGGTCAGTATTCGCGTAGTAATACATTACGTCATTCAGTCAAAATGACTCGTACATTTGTAAGAATGTACAAACATGAGAATAAATCATTATTTCTGAACCATTGCTAGTCAATTAGATAAGAAAACAGTTCTCTGACCTCTGACCAGTCGGCATCACTCGGTTCTCAGTGATCAATGTCCCTCCCAAGGTCGGGCCATATATCAATGAAAATCTCGGGCATATATGCAACGATAGTGTAGTGACATAACCTCTGATTATTTCACGTCAAGATAAAGAAAGGTGTAAGGTACAGGGTGTCCAAAAACAGGACCGAGTAAAGTTAATATACTCTGTCAATCTTACACTTTCTGCCTTGAAATTTCAGAATTTTTTAGTCCATGCAATGTTACTTGTTGTGGAAGTTTGATGATAATCTGCCTATTGAGTCAAAAACTACAATACCTTACAAAACATGCTCCCAGTGGGCATCTCTCCTCTTTCTACAGAAGTCAATGGAGAGAGAATAGGTATGTACTTGTAGCATGTTTTAAGGTTCTGTAAATTTTGACTCAATGGGCAGATTTTTATCAAACTTTCACAGCAAAATTCTCATTGAATAAACTAAACAATTCTGAAATTTCAGACAGAATATGCAGGATTGACTTTTCTACGGTCCTGTTTTCTTTTGGACACCCTGTATATGCTTACATCGATTAAAACGTCACATTGAGGTGTGGTCTTCAAGAACTAGGTGGTAGAAATTTTGTGCAAATAAAGGTGATTCGTAAGAGAGGTTATTATGACTTCAACTTTGAACTATGGCGTTTCTCCGCCTCCTCTTTTAAGCACATGTATTCTACAGATGTGTCATTACACCTTATTGATCTCGTCTGGTGAATTTCCTATCAGAGCATAGCTTTCTGTCGACTATTGATTTTTAGTTTAACATATCTGTTTTCCACATGCTAATTTAAGCAGGCGTATGGCATGTCTTATTATTAGAGGTAGTCCCATCATAATTGTGGATGCTTTATATCAAAAATTGTTTGGCCATAATTACAGATTGTAGAAACTGAATATTGCAACAATTGTTTGATAAATTATAATCCTGGACTTTATCAGTGGCCTTTTCTCGATTCCTCACGGTTCCCTCACAGATATTGCTTGGCTAGAAATAAGTTTGCAAAAATTATGCATTGTTTTAGCATTAGATTACTCGTCTAGACTGGCACTGTATCGAAAGAGAGCGAGGGAGGGATAGATTTGGCGACATACTGTCTGGTTTGTAGAATTTTTATCACCTCATTTGAGTCTTGGGTCTATGTGAACTTGATGTGTTTCTGCTACAGTTCTATCTGCAATGCCTTTAAGCATCATACAATGGATTAGGAATATTCAATGCAATAGATAAATCTATTTGGCATGCAGGGATTGCTCTGATCAGGTCGTACACTTAGTCACCACATTATGCGGCTGATGAGCTCGGAAAATAATTGATCCAGAGGTCTTCACTCAGTTTTATACAGATTTCTTGAATCATTGAAAGTGAAACATTTTGACAATTCTCAATTTTAGATTAAAAGGAATAAATAAGGATAGGATACATGAGTTTTATTTTGGATTATTGATTAATCTGACTTAATTGTTGTTATTTACATCAGTTAAGTCATAAAAGTGTTTACTGCTTTCAAGGACTAAGCTACATTACTACCATCAGGTATCGCATTTCAGTTTGTTTTTATCTGTATATTTACTTGGTCGTAAAAATACTTGGCATCTGTTCAATGTAAGTGTGCTTATGTTATTTTGAAAAGTGAGAAGGATATATGAAATGTCCAGGTTGGATTGAGAAGATTTGAGAAGGCTTCTGCAAGAATTTCAATATTATTGGCTAAATTTTATTGGATTTTGGTGTTTGAACTTGGCTGGATACGTGCCAGTTGTGGACAATAGTAGTCTATTGAAGAACATTACAATACCATTGATCTTCAGTCAGCTGTATTGAGAACAAGATTCTGAACCGTTAACGTCAAAATTCGGTAGAATATTTCTATAGAGCTTTATTTTCAATTTCAGGTTTGTTGACGTGGTGTGATACCTAGTGCCTTTATTTTCTACCTACAAACAATATGGCTCAGGGTAAGTTGAAATTCTCATCTTACATTATTTATGCATCTTTGTGTAAAAGTTTGAGTCAAAATATTTTAGTGAGTTAAGCTTTATGCAAACAGTTTATTTTGTAATAAAATGCAATGTATATATTCCCTAGATGCATGTATTTGCATATTCCAGAAAACAAACATAATTTCAGCATTTTTGAAGAAACTACATGTCAGTTTTAGCAACTAATCTCAACTAATCCTTTTGACAACATCTAAGGTTTAAGAATGTCTATGCGATCTAACATCGCAGCACAAATACACTCATGTACAGGGGTTTCACTAAAATTTCTCACAACAGGCTAAATAAATGAAAACAACAGCCAAAATTAATGGAAATCATAAATTTAACATGGAAAAGTCCCTAAAAACAACAGGCGATTTTGTGAGAACAACTGGTGAAAATTGCCTGTTGCCTGCTGTTAACGAAACCCCTGATGTATATAAGAGTTCAAAATATTTTCGGAACTTTAATTTTAGCATTAAACTAAAAATTGATCCAGAATTATGGTATATTGAATCTAAAATCATTAGTTCATGAAACATGAAGTCCATTATATATTTTTGCTTAATATTTATTTAGAAGAAGAAGGAAATTTCCAATAGTTTTTTCTTGTCAATGGAGTACTGGAATTATAGCAACTGATGCTCTGAACAAATTGTTGCAGTTCGTGTAGTAATTCTGTAACTCTGAATAGAATATAATTTATGAGTCCTTAGTGAATACTAAATCCCTAGGCTAATTGAACATTTCAATTCCTAACAAATATAGATTTACACTCAAGCTAAAAAAATGATGATCAGTTTCAAAACAGCAATTTCTTCTTTAAACAAAACAAATTGTCTAATGTTGAAATATATGATCAAAGAATTTCGCAGCGGATGGCTCATACTGAGTAGCTTACTCGGAAAACATGTCACGTCCATCTGGGGTTGATTCAAGCCTCTTAGGAGAAAATCCTGCTATGATGAGAAAGTGCCTTATTAGCAACAGTAGTTGCCAACTATTCACAGCATTTCAGGATATTCAATTTAAGGTCAAATAATTTCCTCTACCCACTTATTATTTTCCATTATTTGCAATTATGAACTCCCACACAAATATAAAATCAATCTGAAGTGTTAGATAAGTAACTGTTAGTTACTTTTTGTAATAAACATAAGAACATATTTTGCTTTTTATTGTATGCGGTGTGAAAATCGGAATTATTTATCACACATTTAGAAAAACATCGATCCAGTTATCAAGGTGCAGAGTATTAGTCATCCCCAATGAACAAAGGTAGTGATTCAGTTATCATACCAGTTTTATTATCAGAGAGTATGATTCAGGAAAAATTAGACATCGATCGTATATTAATTATATGTATATATTGTTCTCTTGTATAGGAAATATAGAAAAATGATAAGTTTTTATTTTGTTCAAATTCAGAGGTTATTATTGGATTATTATTATTTAGTACCAGTATATAATAGATTCATGAATCAGAGGTTTCTCTCAGAGGGATAGATCTTTTCTCTCACCTCTAAATGAAAACTGAGCTAATATCATAGCCACCCTTTTCAATACAGTTGTGTGATTTTGCTTCTTTAAGAGAGTTTTATCTAGTGATGATTACTCATTTGCCACTGGGCCTCAGGGTAGAACTGAATCTTGTTTTATCAAGATGAAGTCTTATCTCAAAATTCAAATTGAAGATTGTTTGGTTGCAAATTCATTAATGACAACCAAAAGTGATAAGAATTATTGTAATATCCCATTATGATTAATTAGAATATTGAATAATGTCGTCATGACATCATAGGGAAGTTCAATATTTCCAATAAATGATGCATAATGATATGAGTACAGTTATCATATACATATGTTTCTTGTCAGCGTTGGTGTTATTCATTTTACTAAATATGCATTCAAATATTCAAGAGCCTATTGAGCTGTCACATTAGGCCGTGTAGGCTCACCATTCGCCACGCATGGATGCACAATGGACAAAACAAACATTTTTATAGCAAGATATTCCCCTTCACGACAAATACAACAAGGCATTAACATGACAAAATGTCACCACCTAGTTAGGTCATTGAAGGTCAAATGTCAAGTCTTAAGTCAAATCTAAAGTCAGATTTGAACTTCTGAGAACACGTAGATGATTTTGAAAACTTTTTTTAGTCAATTTGAAGCAAGTTGAAAAAAGACCTTTTTGACCTTGAGAAGGTCATTGAAGGTCAAATGTCAAATCTTAAGTCAGATTTGAATTTCTGAGAACATGTAGATGATTTTGAAAAAAAAAATTAGTCAATTTGAAGCAAGTTGAAAAAAGACCTTTTTGACCTTTTTTGACCTTGAGAAGGTCATTGAAGGTCAAATGTCAAATCTAAAGTCAAATCTAAAGTCATATTTGAATTTCTGAGAACATGTAGATGATTTTGAAAAAAAAATTTAGTCAATTTGAAGCAAGATGAAAAAAAACTTTTTTGACCTTTTTTGACATTGAGAAGGTCATTGAAGGTCAAATGTCAAATCAAAAGTCAGATTTGAATTTCTGAGAACATGTAGATGATTTTGAAAAATTTTTTTAGTCAATTTGAAGCAAGTTGAAAAAAGACCTTTTTGACCTTTTTTTGACTTTGAGAAGGTCATTGAAGGTCAAATGTCAAATCTTAAGTCAAATCTAAAGTCAGATTTGAATTTCTGAGAACACGTAGATGATTTTGAAAAATTTTTTTAGTCAATTTGAAGCAAGTTGAATACAGACCTTTTTGACCTTTTTTGACCTTGAGAAGGTCATTGAAGGTCAAATGTCAAATCTTAAGTCAGATTTGAATTTCTGAGAACACGTAGATGATTTTGAAAAAAAAATTTAGTCAATTTGAAGCAAGTTGAAAACAGACCTTTTTGACCTTTTTTGACCTTGAGAAGGTCATTGAAGGTCAAATGTCAAATCTAAAGTCAGATTTGAAGGTCAAATGTCAAATCTAAAGTCAAATCTAAAGTCAGATTTGAATTTCTGAGAACATGTAGATGATTTTGAAAAAACATTTAGTCAATGTGAAGCAAGTTGAAAAAAGACCTTTTTGACCTTGAGAAGGTCATTGAAGGTCAAATGTCAAATCTAAAGTCAGATTTGAACTTCTGAGAACATGTAGATGATTTAGAAAAAAATTGAAGTCAGTCTAAACAGTATTTGTTAAGTTCAGGAAGTTGTAAGAAATTGTTACAGACGCCGGACGCCAACCTCCAACCTCCAACCACCAACCACCAACCGCCGTAGGAAAAAAACGGAGACCATAACAATATGTCACCACATTGATCAATTAATTCAAAAATTAATGCCCAAAATTATTCATACAGTGGCGAACTGTAAGCCCATACGTAAGCTAGTGTGACCGCTACTTTAAAGTTATTTTCTCCATAATTACAATGAATCACAGCTACTTCCCAATCAATTTCCTCTCTGATTCCCACTCTTTCAGAAAAGATTGTTAATTGGTCAAGAAATGTGTTTTTCCTTGCATGACACCTAATGAGAATAACATACAATGTACTTGATGTATCGCAAACTGAGTTCAGATCGCATCGTGCAAATGAGCTTTTTCAGTAATATATATCAGTCTTACATGGCCAAATGTACGATGTTTCATTTTATTAAGAGCTATGAGACTATAGACAAACAAGTTAAATCAGATAAAGTGGAAAAAAGAACACGTTGAATTAATGATCTGTATCTAATTAACCTTTCACTTGTTTTTCTAAAGCTGTTAGTATGTATTCCCTGACATGATCCACAAAAAAAGTATAACATACATTAATGAAAGGACGAATGTTTTAGATCAAATAGTCTTGTACTAAGCCCTCATGCCTCCCCGGTATCTGTTTAAACATTGTGTCCGAAAAAAGGAGTAAGAGCGTAGTAAAGCGGCTTGGTGCAAGACTACTGATTATAACATGATCGAGAACAATGATTCTTAGTTAAGTGGTCATGTATGAAATCCCTGTTATCCCTTCTGTTGGAAGTACATGTAGAGAGTAAGAAGACGAGGGCAGAGATTTTATACATGCCTGATGAACGGTCATATAAATAGACACTGAAATGGTTCTCTTAAGTTCATTTTCTACAAACAGTTGGTTGTCATAGCACTTGTATTTTGTGCATAGTTTGCAATTGGCTGAGTGTGTACCTCTGTCTGAGAGGCCCTACCAAACAGCTGCCTGACAAGATACACCCCCAACTACAACTCTTTGATGCCGTTATCGTCTGGAAAGGTATAAGAATTCTAGGCAAGGCTGACTTCCGTGTTCTTTTACAGTGAAATATCACCATCATTATGCTTGGCATCGACCCTATTATGTTTTACATCACCAATGCTCCATGTGATATTAGTTCACCATGCCTGGCTGCATTAGTAGCTGTCATGTTGTTACATAATGTTACACATGGTCGGTTCACCAATATGTTCATAAGTTCAGTTCCGAGTCCTGTTATATGTATTTTTTCATTTGCAAGCTTTTCGCATGGCATGTTTGCTTCAGAGACTGATTTTAATCTATAGGATATCTTGATAATTCCTCCACTGTCAGTCATCAATCCTTTAACTGTAATCATTAATCATTGTAACTTACACCCTTGCAATTCTTCCCTAAATCTCAATAGACATGCGGGTCTGTACCCAATCAATAACTTACCAAAACTCCACGAGGTTTCAACAAAACTCAGGAGGTTTTCCGTAGGTTTTGTACATGTGTGTTTCATATATATGTTTTTGGATTGTGAATTCTAGTATTGCAAGCGCGTCTTCTCCTCTCATGTTTTATTTGCTGCCTTCCCATCAAGAATCTGCTGTGTTAGTTTATTTTTTCCTGATTTCATCTCAACTTCACAAGGAAAGAAATTATTCCATAATATGTTTTAAGAACCTAGGAGATCATAAAATGGCAGCTTTTTGGGATGGCCTTCTCTTGATGGAAACTAACTCTTATATTAATATGGGTAAATTCTGCTATATTATTCAGAATGTATTATTTTGTGTTCTTTGGATATGACCCATGTACTCAAGTATCTAAATGGGCGTTATTTTAATAAAAATAACATTTTGAAGAACGAATTGAGAGCAACTCCATCTTTTTAAAGGGTATATAATAAGTATGTGAATAAATTCTGTTTAATTTTCATATTTCCACTTCACATATGTCAATATTTCCAAATATGGTCTGAAATTGAATTAAATCTGCGAATTCTAACTGTTCTTGGTTTCATTATGTTTGGTAAGGAATAGCTCTGTGCAGTAAAAAACAGAAAATCAACATCATTAAAATTTCAGGACCTTAGTGCTGTTACACTTTTCCTTAACTTATTGAATGAACTATGAAGAAATTCTATTCTAACTTTATTTGATGTACCCTCATGGGATAGAGGTTGTTCTTACTAGAGGTGATTTACATTCAAGTGCATGGCTTACTTACTTATAATGTATAATCAGATCACTTTTCAGTTGTCTGTCTGCACAGTGTATGACTCACAATATTCAATAGGAATATATCCTGTCTAGTCAGAGATCTTATGTTATGCTTTGTAATATTCATCCTTGTGTTTGATTACTTTGAGATGATTATCTTCATTTTTACACAGTCTAGTATTTTTGATTTATTTTCAGCTTTGCCAGTGTTTTCATGTTATAAATGTTTGGTTGATATTAATATCAATATTTACCATATATTATTATTACCGCACATTATACATAAGCATCTTATCTCTGTTCTTCCTCTTATGTTTTAACCTCATGTCCTAATAATAAAATAGATGGTCTAGGTATTTAAAAGTTAGGTAGAATTTACAGTTGAAGTAGATTAAGAATTATTAACATTGCTTTATTAACCAGCACTAATTCGAGTCTATGAGAATAATTCAATAAATTATAACCAAAATAAGATGTGAAGAAATGTGAATAATTATTGCAGAAAGTCCACGTGAAACTACTGGAGGTTTGTCCTATGAAGTCATCCTGAAGCCAGCCTCTGCGGAGAATACTCCCAGGCCTATCTCACCCCCCAAAGAGAAGCCAGGTATCACCAAGGAAGAAATAGAGAGGAAACATGCTGAGGCTGAGGAGAGGAAATTGGTGAGGGGCATGCTTGTGATATTTAACAACCTGAATTTTTATTTAATTATACTGTACATGTATATGTAATACAGTTCACTAAAGCTAAATTTGACAGATATGGTAGACACATATCTTGTCCTCATTTTTATGTCACCATCAGAAGCGTTGACCTATTGTTATAGTGTCCAATTTTTGTGAGGTTAGCATCCAAGTGTTAGTAGTTCGGGATCTGTAATAAATAGCAGGTGGTGACATTTTGCATGTTAATGCCTTGTTTGTCCAATGTGACAACCTAATACAGATATTTCATATATTTGTTGTAAAAATAGTCTTGCAATCATACATTATGAATTGAATGTAAAATCCTTCACATGGATGATATTGTAATTTTAGCAATTGGAGGCTCAGCGCCAGAAGGCACTTCAAGAAAGTAAACAAAAAGCTGATGAAGTCCTAAGAAAGAAGCTAGAGCAAGAAGCTGAGTTCCAAAAAGCTTCTGAAGAAAAAATGGTGAAACGTCTATCATCTATGGAAGAAAAGCGAGAAACACAGATTTCCAACCTCCAGAAAAAAATGAATGAACATGTAAGTTATGACTAATTTCTCTTTAAACTGCATGTAAATCACAAATTGCTTCCAAGGATTTGACATCTAGCACAAAGGCTGCGTTGTTATTGCTTGGTAAGTATGCATTTTATGCAAATGTGTGGAATTTGATTTGTGAGGTATAATTAGCATACATTTGTGCCATTATGATATCACCCAGAAAGGATGGAGTTTTACAATGGTTGGAAAAGAACTACTTGTGCTGTTGATCTATAGCCATTACACAGGCCATTGAAGCAAAACATGCATCATTGACATGTACTGTTCTGTATTGTTATCTTGCTTAATTTCATCAGCGAGACTACCTTGAGGCTCATATTGTGAGTTTAATTAAGAAGCATTAGCCCCAGCTGACCAATATAAAACTGTAATCACCACAGCCTCAGAAGTGCTTTAAGGTCTCTTGAGCTCAGGGATGATATACTATGACATTTAAAAAACATCTACGATTAAAGGTGTTTCAATTTTTACAAAAATTTGTTTTAAACTGTTTTAAACTTCTTAACTATTTTATTGGTAATGTCCCGTCCCGTCCCGAATGTCCCATCCCAAAATGGATAATTCCCGTCCTGAAATATTTTTGTTCCGTGACATCCCTAGTTTGTCATGCTATACCACGCTTTCCACTTCAATATCAGCCATGATTGCCCTTCATCTTGAGCAATTTTGTGAGAATGTCCATTCAGTTATGATCTTCCAGAATTCAAATGTAAGAATACAGTAACCTTCCAACCTTTTATCGCCCAATACTTGATGAAACTATCATCAACATTGAGTGAAATAAATTCCCAAGAATTTCACGACTATTATATTTCGCAAATTAGAACTTTTTGAATTTCGCGGCTATTATATTTCGCGAGTTTTCAAAACTCGCGAAAAGCGCTAAATATAGTAGCACACGAAAATTACCAAGAGTACAGTATTGTGTTTAATTTATATGAATTTGCTAGTATGTAGAAAATGAAAGCACTGGATCAACAGTACTGTGTATTGAGGTCCTGATTCAGTAAGTAGATTAAAGTATTTAGCTTAAGGACAGTTTATGGATTACTGCTCTGGGATATAATAAGGTAAATCTGATTATTCACACAAAGTAAGTTCAAATATAGGTCCCTGAATGTAATAAATCCAGCATAGAGGTATTTATACAGAATTATTTTGTATACCAGTTCTTAGTATTATTTTTTTTTTCTTATTAGTAGCTTGATCAGTTTTATTGCCTTTGCATGCAATTATTCTGTATAAAATATTTTATTTAGTAATTTAAACTCAATCATTTTTGATGTCTCCATAAAGTTTATTTTATAATTGCGTGTTGTGGGATCATTTTAATGTTGCTTTGATTTGAACATTGCCATGTCCATGAGCAATTGTTGCACGGTCAAAGTTTGATGTTTATTTGATGTTATGGTCGTGATATAGAGTTCTAATGAGGTAGTCCTGTGAGATCTTATTTTCTATTGTGACATTTAGTTTAGCATAATGGCTCTGAAATCCACTGGGTAAAGAACATGCGAATATTATTTTTACATTTAGTTCCTCCTTAGGGATAATACTGGATATATGTAGAAGTGGTTGCTTAATTGTGACTTCACTACAACCCATTAGCAAAAGGGTTTGTGCTAAAAACTGTTGATGAATTATGTTTTGTCCTTTCGTCATTCGTTAAGATGATCTCATGAATTTTACGACGTTGCATGCATTTTCTGTGTTGTAACTTGTGCCCTGATTCATCGTAGAACCAACGTGTAAAGGAAGTCCAGGCAGCTGTGGAGCGATACAGGAAGCTGCTCGAGGATCAGATTGACCAGAAACTAAAGGCGGCTGAAGCAAACAGATGCCAACAGATCCAGGGTATGGTGGAAAGACTCCGCGAACATGTAAGTGCCGAATGCAGTCTGGAACACAACTACCAGTTTCACCAAGATCAAATTCAAAATGAATTGTGTACTTCTTTATTGTATAAAATTGATTTGAGTGGTCATCATGGTCAATCTTGTATGTGGCTTAAATGGGACTGGGGCACCATGTGCTAATTGTGGAAGGATTGAGTTACTATCTTGAGCTAATACAAGAGTGGTACCATATGCTAAAAGGTCATGAGTAACCATTGCTTATTTTTGAATAAATCACTTGAGGCATTCCATTCAAGAAATGTTAAAAATGATAATGATACACTCGTTCCAAATGGAAAGTTTTGAATGCAACATTAAGAATTCATGAACTGTATGTTTTTGGTTTGCTGATAACACGAAGGATACATATTCACTTCGTACAAAATGTAGAATTCCACTATAATTTTGTAATAGCCACTCTGTGTCTTTACAGCAGAAGTGTGCCAATTGCAACATGCTACTCTGTATCTTGTAATTAATTGCATCAAGATAAACTGAGAACCTTCTTCGAAGACAAATTGCTTCTAAATTACCAAACTGAAAGTAAAACATCTGTGAAATGTACAATTTAAGACCTAGTCATCGATTAACTTGTGCGTTTAAGAGCCATTTTAAAATAAATCAGTATAATACATCAATTTATTGTGTAGTATTCTACTCTTTGTATCCACTTTTATTATTGAGAACCATTATAATATCATATACATGTAACATGTTCCGATTTTATAAAAACTTTTGAATATTGTGGCAATTCATTTACAGCATTGTTTGAGCATTTCAGTATTGTTGACCATTTGAGCATTATTGACTGATTTGACAACAATTAAATTGAATTATAGCAACATAATTCAATGAAGTTCCCAGTTAGTACTGTCCGTTGTCGTATTCTCTATCATGTTCTAAAATCAAATCCTGCCTCAATAATTGAAAAATGATTCTTGGGTTACTTGGGAATTGCAAATTATTCAACTTCTAAAGCATCATTATTTCCTTTCATTTCTCTCAAGCCATTCTCTAATAGTTTGCGGAACTCTCATTATTTTGCGGAAAGTAGTATATCATTAATGGTTTAGCATACTTACTCCAACTTAGCAACAGATTTGCTGAATATCATTATTACTACATGTATGTCTTATTACGTCGCCGACTATAACATTTTATTTAAATATTAATTATAATTATTATAATGCATGACATTATGTAATTGTCGTATATAATTCAGTTTATATTTTAATCCAACATTCATTTTTGTTTTGTTTTGGTGCATGATCATTTCATCTTCCATGGGATTTAAGTGTGTGTAATTTTTGACAGAGATTCAAAATGTGCCTGTTCTGTATATTAAGCGAAATTGCAAAATGTCTTTTTATAGCACCCTTCGGGGGCTATTTTGGGATTAGTTCGTTAAATTTTTTAAAGATATCTTCAACAGAAACTTTTGATGTTCCCTCCTTTCATCATATGCTTCACCTCATTAACGAAGCGATACTACATTTTCTTCATTTAAATTATGTCAAAAATTGCTCAGCACCTTAAATCCAATTTTAAGTTATTTTCTTTTATTTTTGATGTCCATGTGTGTATCCTATAGGCCAAACATATTGAAGATGCCAAGGCTAAGAGTGATGCCTTCAGCAAGGCCACTGAAGAAAAGATCATCAGAGACATGGAAACTACACTTAAGAATAAGGAAGAACAACTCAAGGCTATGATGGAAAGACTCAAAGAACATGTAAGTTATAACATCAACACCTGTACATAGATTTTCTTTGTTAGGTAATGTCTCAGTCACATTTGATCTACGGCAACCGTATGGCGGCTGTAACTTCTAAAAATTGAGAGAAATATGCAGCATAAAATATAGTGATAAGCAGTACGATGTAGATTTTCTATATCGCTTTTTGTTAAGTTACGCCCGCCGTACACCCGTCATAGAGCAAATGTGACTGAAGCTTTATAGTACTGGTACATGTATACCATATGTGTTGTTTAATTTAAACAAAACCAGGGTGTAAATGCAGTTTTTACATATTTTCACAAGCATATTAAGGTAAGTTAGCATGAACTTTTGTTCTATATGTCATAATCAAATCCAGATTGTGAGGTTAGACAATTTCACATTTCAATATTTTTTGTATGGTTTTCATATTCCTCAAACAGGACTTTATCAGTTGAAATATGAGTTTGATGATTCAACACATCAAACCGACTATTAAATTGAGTCTGTGTTCTCTACACGATTAGTTTTGAAGTATATTGCTTGTAGGTTGGGATTAATTTGTCTGAGTGAATCTGTATTATATGCTTTGATGATCATATTAGACATGGCTCCAGAATGAAAATTTGCTCTTTTTTCTACATGAATCTATTTTCATGATACGTTTGTACTTTAACATAGTTCTATTAGTTTTTTGCCAATCAATATTCGTTATGATATTTATCCTGTAAATGTCATAGACAGTTCATTGTAATTTATATGCCACGTGTACTCATTTTCAGTAACAGTATCAGGGCTCTCACCAGGAAATATTTAGGGTCTTGTGGAAACATCTTCAGCATTACCGTTCAATCTTGATAAATCATATCTATGTAATATTTTATCCTTTTCACTTGCTATTATTGTGTATTCAGTCAAGTTTAGACGTGGAAACAATCATGGTTAGTCAAGAGGGTGTAGTGGTAGCTTAATAGACTGTGGTGCTGCGCCACAGTCTCAAAGCCTAGCGAGAGCCCTAGTATTTAAAACCCAAGTTCTTGAGTGACGGCCATGGTAATGTTTCATTATCTACTTGATAGTTTCAAACATCTGATACGCTAACTTATTTAGAGTTCAGTCTACAAGATTATTCAAAGCTTTACTACAAGCTTATTCAAAGCTTTACTACAAGATTATTCAAAGCTTTACTACAAGATTATTCAAAGCTTTATAAAATCGATAATGCAACAAACCGTTTTCAATCAAGGATGCTATTCAGGCATAAAATGTCCAAAGGTTCTGTGTGCATTTGGTATTACTTAGCAACTGTTACATAAATAACATGTCACCTTGCCCCAGTCACCCTTTATCTTTTATCTCAGACTCTGTTAAATGGTACATTAGAACTACCCAATGTAGCACAAATTATATAGATGATAAATGAACTCCGGCACTTTGTCAATTGCTATAAAACATGCTCGACTTACACTTATTACAAACAATACCCACGATGTATCTCATCTGGTTTTAATGATGGGATTTGTATGCAGGATAATATATACAGCAATTATTTTCACATTCATAGTCCTAACATGAATTGGATAAAATTGATGGGTCAGGTTGGACATTATGCTGATGGAATATTCCGTATTGCTTCCCGATCTTCAGCCTAGTCTTTTACTGTTGTGTAATAAAGCAAGCTCATTGTATTATATTAATTGCCATGGGGATTGCATCAAGATGTAAAGATCAGAATTCGCAATTTACTGTCATGTTCCTACTGTTAACATTTTCAAATGCTGTGTCTATAGTAATCAGAAAGAGCTTGAGCATTTGTAGAACACAAGTATATTGAAATTCTACAATTGAGATGAAATTGAAACATCTGAAAAATTTAGAACATGTCGAATTCATAAATCCCAAATCTGTCAAATAACACTTATATTAGTATCTAAATACTCTTACTTGATACAGATTCAGTTGACTTTGGAGGTGCATAATTTCTACTATCTACCTCTGTAAGTAAGCTCACCCGTTAAGAAGATAATGTGTACTAATATTTGTATAATGTGAATTGAAAAAAATTCTGAGAATCAGTTTATAATGGGTGAAATTTATTTTTGTGATAATCCCCTTCGGCTTCTGTCTTGCCTCTGGGGATTATTATGCAGAGTGATAAGACTGAATTGCAGGAGAACTGTCTCCTAAAAATAACTTATGGATAACTCTTCCAAAAGATTTCCCTACAAACAGGCAAAATAGCAATCCCTACACTGCTATAAAAATCAAAATGAATTTACTAATATACTATAATTAAAAAAAATGATAAGTTTTAGTATGCACAATATTTCATGTTGAGTATTAAGTACATGTAAATTGGCATTCATCCCATATTTATTTTTACATTTGTGAACATTTTCGTCTAGGAATTCACGTAATGCATAAATGTCTGGAATATCAGGCTGGCATGTGATTCATACCTCTTGTATTGAACTTCAGGCAGACAATGCTATGGATATTGACTGAATATGAAAGAATATCATTCATTATCATATTATGTCATGCCGCAGCTTCATTATTTCAATTTGATCTGATTAATGGAAAATGTTGAATAAGAGGAAAATTGCAGGTAAATTATAAGTGACACATCCCACAAGAATCACCTTTACTCTTATCTGAAATAATAAATTATTACGATTAATGAGATAATGATAGCCCGCATATTGTGTATATGGCATTTGATTTTATTTGTGGCACTGTGTAAATAGAAATAGGAATTCCAAATGGATGGATCTTTAGCGAAGACAATGTCTTGAATATTTAAGTATGATTCTTCATTCAAAACAATATGCAAGGGATTCCTACAGATGTCAGCTACATAATACAGTATGAGTAATGCATTGAATTATTTAGTGGCGCTTTCAGAAAAAATACTAAAAAAGTACTTGAAGAATGTAGTGACTTGATAAGGGTCAGAGTATTCATTAAAAAATATTCTGATTCATTGATACTTTCCAAACTGTGATATCTTTTTAAACTACATTGTTTCCGAGCATCTGCAGAGATAGAGCTTCGGAAAATAGTCTGTCTATATAGTTATGCGTCTCACAAGACCTATAATTATATTTCTGTTTCATAACTATCTCTATCATGATTTACCATTATGTAGAAAGGAAGGTTCTTTTTATGCCAAATTTATGGTAGAAAGCTTTTAACATTCTGTCATATCAGGTACAATGAGCAGTTATCTCAGTGTTATTTCTATGATATAAAATGAAATTATGAAGCAGAGAAGGTGTAGTGTTTCAAAAATATCAAATACTCAAAATCAAATTGTATTCAAAACACCCTCAAGTACATCAATCTGAAAACATAGGATCAAATCCTATAATAGAAATATAGATAACCCAGTCGTTATTTGACATTTTCTTAAACAGTGAATCACAGTGTTAAATATGTTTTTGTAGTGTTCAAAGAATGAATAAAACATGCTGAAGGTCTTGTCTCTTGTAGCTGTAATCAATAAATTCTCACCCCTCTGTCTTCACTGCAATTTTTTATGATAATCATTTAGCATTGCTCTTCCCTTTACTGTGAAAGAACCTACCATAAAACACATAAAAGTGACAATATTGCGAGAAAGCTAAAAGCGAAGGCAATCAGGATTTCTACTCTTTAGTAAAGAGAGGCATGTGTCGTTAACATAATATGACTATTGGAATGACACACTGTTCCTATTGATCATCCAGATCAATAGCTTCAGCTTGTATTTCACAGCTATAAGTATGGACTTTTAAGATCAGATCCAAAGCAAATTAACATTACAGCATATGTTAGATAGATATCATTCCTGTGCATCCAATTGTTGTCTCATTGAATTTTTATCTCTGTTGCATCTTACTGTCTGAATAGATAACCACAGTGTCTATAAAATTGCATATGATTCATACATCTCATTAATAATGCGAATAAATTGCATCAAAGATCTGCCACCCCTCCCTCCAGGCACTATCTATTTCCCAACCAGATTACGTTCATGTTTGAGGAAGAGTGGGATGGTGAGACAGGTGTAACGATAAATTACTCTACAAATACAATTAATCGGTCTAATCAGTGATTCATCAGTTTATAATAATTAATTAAAAGACTGCATCTTCTATCGCACTGCTAATGGCAGTATTATAACGAAGACTAAACTCACCAATTCGTGTTATTTTATAATTATTAATATAGCTGAATCTGGCAGACTTGATATACTTAATCTTGTTTTATCATGTTTATCTTTGGTAGAATAAGCAGCATTCTATGGAATAAAACATTATCACTTATTTGTTTTCATCATTAACGACTTTTGTCTTATGTTCTACATGTATAAAAGTTCATATTTAGTGTGTTACTAAGAATGTATGACTGTTTTCAGGAGCGCCATGTGATGGAGGTCAAATCCAGGAAGGGAACTGTACCCGCTCCCATGGAGACAAACTAGACTGGTACCCCAACCTATCCCCTGAGGTGCTACTTGATATGGCACGTCACAAACCTAGACTATTGTATAAAATACATGTACCACCACACACATTAGGATGGTCATAAGCAGAGGTCCAGAGGACGAATTGACATTTTTGGAGAGGCTGAGATAAATTGTGTTCATGAATATATGATTACAGTTGCTAATTTTTTGCAGTTTTAATACTGTATAGTTTTAGCTGTTTCTTAAAAAATGTGAATATCGTGCTGTGGTGTGGTGAGAACATTTATTTACAAGAGCTCATGAATGAAGGAACTGTTAAAACTATGGAACTGACCTGGATCAAAAGAAACTATATTAGAATGTTTTATGGAAGAATGCATGACATACACATAGGTGCATACATATTAACATGTGGATCACACCCCCTGGATGCATCAGATCGTAGCCAATTGGTGGCGTGAACATCTAGCCGAATATATAGTATTATGAATGTGGACTTCTGTGTGCCGTTTCCCAGTTATTGTCGTGAGAATGCCTGTCTGTGTTTACATATTCCAAATGAAGACAGTGGGATACTGATGCCTGTGAAACATGGCATTCAGGGTGAACTCATCTACATAATAACCAAATCACTTGTCTTAAAACATACAAAATACAATTGAACTCATTAGTGATAGTAATGTATACATACACTCATTTGTAACATTTCTAGATGTGCGTTTAATTTAATTCATTATTTTCCTTCAATTTGTAGAACACTATTTGATATTTGCCACAATGGGAATTTAATTCTGTCTACTGTAATCCGTCTGGGTATAAAGTTGACATAAGCTCCCTCGAGTGCACAACAAAAATTGAATTGAATACAAAGTAAAACCTTTTTAACCAACTACCTTGGGGTCCGTTTTTAGTACAATCATAATTTACTTTATTTGGAATACTATTGTTTACTTTAATATAACTTTGTGACCAAATTGTAAGTTGCGACGGTTTCAAAAACTGACCCCTGTGGGACAAGTGATTTGGTGAACTAATACACATGACAAGTTTGAAGAATCGAAGATCTCTCCCTCAAAGGGATTCACAGAATTTGTAAATGTGTTCAAATATGGTTTGTACATGTATGACTTTGTCCAGTAAACATCTGTTTTATAATATTTGTGACATTTAGAAATTATATATTTGTGTTTGAGAAAATCTTGCAAAGAGGTATGATGGATAAATAGAGGGATATTTCCTGGGTATTTCTAGAAGGAAATATTGGTATGTCTGGTTGGAAATGTTTTATAGGTCTTTGCAGGATTTCATATAAACAGTGATTCCATGTAAAACCAATTGTACAAAACGCGCATGCTAAACATAGAGTATAAACCAACATTCTTGGGCATTTTGTAGCCCTGTATATCAATGTTTATATATGTATGTAAATACCACTATAGAACATAGGCCATTTGGTTAGATTTTCAATTTGGATTGGTTTTTGTGTTGAATTTTAATACATTATTTCTATGCATATTATGAGTTATGACAAAGCTGTCCAATGCAAACTTAACATTTCTCATTCTGGATCTCGTCTTTTTTAAAAATGGTTCAAACACAGAGAAGTCACAATTGAATTCTCAAGGATCTCACTTTCGTATTTGCCAAATATTTTATAAACTCAAAGAGCAGCTTTTTCTGTTTACAGCCAAATATAGGCCAAGATTTATTACTTTGATAACTCGTTTTGTAACCTTACTATATAACATTATATTATATTATTATATAAGGCAAGGGTATTTAGATGATTTGTTTAGCATTTTCTTCCTATCTATTTTAAAAGTACACCAAAATGAGTTGCAGCTTTACTAAATTGCATATTTCTATCTGTTTTGACAGAAATATGTGTTTTATTGTACAAAGCTAATATTTTGAGATCAAACAAAAAATTAAAAAAGCCTGTCGCCCAATCCATCTCCAAATATGAAATAATGCTAAACATAGTATTTAATTACTCTTGACTTATATCATTTTTAGTTCACATACCGGTATATAAAGTTTGTTAAGAGTACACATTCCTGGATGTCTAGTTTGGAGAAAGTTGCATGTTCAATATCATGTGTTTACTCGTATTTCCAATAAATTACCATAGTGATAATCCCAAGACGAGATAACTGCTTCTACACCTAATATAAATGTCTTAAGATTTACTCTAATTATCGGATTATTTTAAGATTAATAGCAGCAAAATAGAGCTTACATTTTTGTGACATCACTAGACTTGATCAAAGTCGGTATGTTTTGTCAGAAATAGGATCTACTAGTCAGACATTCTCAAACAATAGAAAACAAGGACTTTTTCTTACAGTTTTCTTTAGCAGGTACTCTATGTCACTCCAGAATTTATATTTTTGTAAATTTGTTTATAAGTATATCGTTTATACATTTAGTTTGTACATTATATAAATAAGTTTTGATGAAACATGATCTTGCCTTTATATTTGGCCAGCATTAAGGCAGCTTCATGCCTTTCATGTTCTGCATATGACATATCAAATATTTATCATATTCATGAAACAGGCATTTTTAAATGCAAATTCTGCAAGGATTGTTGCTTTTAAAAAAACGGCTAACTACTACTAAGATCGGATTAGATTTTGTATTTCAAAATTGCCCTGTTTTGTAGTAGTACCAATAGTCTGTGTTTGCATCCAAAATAAGAAAGAATGACATAAAATGACTGATGTAATGAATAGATGAAAGGATTGAAGAAAGAATGCTTTTTGTGTAATATATAAATCTTATATAGTCATATTAAGTAGGTTCAATCACATTTTTGATCAACAATTTTAAAACTCATTAAAATTCTGCCAAATAATTTTCAAATATTTAGCTTTTGTACATTTCTAGGTCAACTGTAACCACAACCTGAGTATTGTTGTTTGCTAAACAAGGTTTTATACCTTGGCTTTATTGTAAGGATATCAGATGAAATAAAAACATTTTCTTGTATGTCAATTTCAAATTATTTTTTGTTGTATTTTGAGGTTTTATGTCATTGGTTGTTATAGAAACCTCAAACTTCTCTCAGATTTTCTCCAATATCTGACCAAAATGTAACGATTTATTTTTATCCCAATGAACTTATTTCAAGAGAGGTATATTGAAGCCATCAGTAAGTGTATCTGTCTTTTCAAGCAAAAACTTAATACACTACACCAATTTTCAAAGGCATATTTCTAAATCATCTATTTGACATCTTTCTTAAGGGAATTGAGAAATAAAAATGACCAATTTCATCAATTTTTCTCTCAATATAGTATTTGAGAGTTTTATGACAAGAATATAGCTTTCAGATATGCTAGATTCCATCTTGCAGATGAGCTATGAAGTCAAGATTAAAAGTACTTTCCTGCCACTTATCAGCTTTTTATGTCACCACCAAAAGTGGTGACATATTGTTATGGTCTCCGTTTTTTTATGTCACCACCAAAAGTGGTGACATATTGTTATGGTCTCCGTTTTTTTATGTCACCACCAAAAGTGGTGACATATTGTTATGGTCTCCGTTTTTTTGCGACGGCGTCCGGCGGTTGGTGGTTGGTGGTTGGCGTCCGGCGGTTGGCGTCTGTAACAATTTCTTACAACTTCCTATAACTTAACAAATACTGTTTAGACTGACTTCAATTTTTTTCTAAATCATCTACATGTTCTCAGAAGTTCAAATCTGACTTTAGATTTGACATTTGACCTTCAATGACCTTCTCAAGGTCAAAAAGGTCTTTTTTCAACTTGCTTCACATTGACTAAATTTTTTTTCAAAATCATCTACATGTTCTCAGAAATTCAAATCTGACTTTAGATTTGACATTTGACCTTCAAATCTGACTTTAGATTTGACATTTGACCTTCAATGACCTTCTCAAGGTCAAAAAAGGTCAAAAAGGTCTGTTTTCAACTTGCTTCAAATTGACTAAATTTTTTTTTCAAAATCATCTACGTGTTCTCAGAAATTCAAATCTGACTTAAGATTTGACATTTGACCTTCAATGACCTTCTCAAGGTCAAAAAAGGTCAAAAAGGTCTGTTTTCAACTTGCTTCAAATTGACTTAAAAATTTTTTCAAAATCATCTACGTGTTCTCAGAAATTCAAATCTGACTTTAGATTTGACTTAAGATTTGACATTTGACCTTCAATGACCTTCTCAAAGTCAAAAAAGGTCAAAAAGGTCTTTTTTCAACTTGCTTCAAATTGACTAAATTTTTTTTTCAAAATCATCTACATGTTCTCAGAAATTCAAATCTGACTTTAGATTTGACATTTGACCTTCAATGACCTTCTCAAGGTCAAAAAAGGTCAAAAAGGTCTGTTTTCAACTTGCTTCAAATTGACTAAATTTTTTTTTCAAAATCATCTACGTGTTCTCAGAAATTCAAATCTGACTTTAGATTTGACATTTGACCTTTAATGACCTTCTCAAGGTCAAAAAAGGTCAAAAAGGTCTGTTTTCAACTTGCTTCAAATTGACTAAAAAAAATTTCAAAATCATCTACGTGTTCTCAGAAATTCAAATCTGACTTTAGATTTGACTTTTGACCTTCAATGACCTTCTCAAAGTCAAAAAAGGTCAAAAAGGTCTTTTTTCAACTTGCTTCAAATTGACTAATTTTTTTTTTCAAAATCATCTACATGTTCTCAGAAATTCAAATCTGACTTTAGATTTGACATTTGACCTTTAATGACCTTCTCAAAGTCAAAAAAGGTCAAAAAGGTCTTTTTTCAACTTGCTTCAAATTGACTAATTTTTTTTTTCAAAATCATCTACGTGTTCTCAGAAATTCAAATCTGACTTTAGATTTGACATCTGACCTTTAATGACCTTCTCAAGGTCAAAAAAGGTCAAAAAGGTCTGTTTTCAACTTGCTTCAAATTGACTAAAAAAAATTTTCAAAATCATCTACGTGTTCTCAGAAATTCAAATCTGACTTTAGATTTGACTTAAGATTTGACAATTGACCTTCAATGACCTTCTCAAAGTCAAAAAAGGTCAAAAAGGTCTTTTTTCAACTTGCTTCAAATTGACTAAATTTTTTTTTCAAAATCATCTACATGTTCTCAGAAATTCAAATCTGACTTTAGATTTGACATTTGACCTTCAATGACCTTCTCAATGTCAAAAAAGGTCAAAAAGGTATTTTTTCATCTTGCTTCAAATTGACTAAATTTTTTTTTCAAAATCATCTACATGTTCTCAGAAATTCAAATATGACTTTAGATTTGACATTTGACCTTCAATGACCTTCTCAAGGTCAAAAAAGGTCAAAAAGGTCTTTTTTCAACTTGCTTCAAATTGACTAATTTTTTTTTTCAAAATCATCTACATGTTCTCAGAAATTCAAATCTGACTTTAGATTTGACATTTGACCTTTAATGACCTTCTCAAGGTCAAAAAGGTCAAAAAGATCTGTTTTCAACTTGCTTCAAATTGACCAAATTTTTTTTTCAAAATCATCTACATCTTTTCAGAAGTTCTAATTTGACTTTACAAGTTCTCAGAAATTCAAATCTGACTAAAGTTTGAACTCATAATATTGTGAGCAACTAGGTGGTGACATTTTGTCATGTTAATGCCTTGTTTGTCACTGCCACAAGTGGTGACATATTGTTTTCTGGATGGTGTTTTGTGGTTGATGTCTAACAAAGGACAGTCGGTGACATTTTGGATGTTAATGCCTTTGTTCTCATGCAGATCACATTAATATACATATAGATTTACCGATCTTAACCCTGCATGGAGAATAACCCCACAAACAACAGATTACAGTGTATTTTCCCCAAACTCCCTCTGCTGCTACTGTCTCTGAACTACTATGAGAATGTCAACATTTCTTCATGTCTGCATTGTTCCAGAATGTCATATATCAATCTTCATATATACTTTGTCATATCAATACAACAATTGTTTGTCTTGTCTTTAGTATTTCTGGAATGCCATCTTTTCTGGACTAGTATCAGAATGTCATATATCAATATTTCTTCATATGTACTTTGTCATATCAATACAACAATTTTTTGTCTTGTCTTTAGTATTTCTGGAATGCCATCTTTTCTGGACTAGTATCAGAATGTCATATATCAATATTTCTTCATATGTACTTTGTCATATCAATACAACAATTTTTTGTCTTGTCTTTAGTATTTCTGGAATGCCATCTTTTATGAACTAGTATCAGAATGTCATATATCAATCTTCATATGTACTTTGTCATATCAATACAACAATTTCTTGTCTTGTCTTTAGTCATTCTGGAATGCCATCTTTTCTGGACTAGTATCAGAATGTCATATATCAGTATTTCTTCATATGTACTTTGTCATATCAATACAACACTTTTTTATCTTGTCTTGAGTCATTCTGGAATGCCATCTTTTCTGGACTAGTATCAGAATGTCATATATCAACATTTCTTCATATGTACTTTGTCATATCAATACAACAATTTGTATGTCTCGTCTTTCTGGAATGCCATATTTACTGGACTAGTATCAGAATGTCATATATCAACAATTCTTTGTATCTACTTTGTCACATCAATGCTTCATCTTTTTCATCTTGTCTTAAGTATTTCCAAACTCAGCATTGATGTAAGAAACAACAGGGGCCAAATGCATCGCATAGTAGACGTCCAAAGGTGCATGAATATGAACATATTACAAGCATATTTGTACTGGGAGACATCTTGTAAGTCCTCAGAAAGAAACAACATCCCCATAACTAGTATCAATATTGCAGTACTTCTTACAATGCTTGTCCGAGTCTGAGCAACATAACATACATCCAAAGATGATAATTGTGTACCAGCCAAGGAAGATCACCATGAATGTAATCCCACTCATCCCATTTCCAAGACTTTGTGAGTCTTCAGAACTTGTAATGTTGACATAAAACTCCTGGATGAAATCCTTCAGTTTAGTTACGTCTTCTTTTGATAAGTTTCCCAATGAGAACTGATCTTGATCTTTCAAGTGCTTATGATCATGCATCCATTGCAAGGTAATATTCAGGACAGTTTCCAAAAGTGCATCATTTGACACTGTTGCATTTGTGTTTTGCTCATTGGAGTAAATGACATCATTTACTAATGCTGTAAAGTTATCTTTGTCCACAATTGAAGATACATATGCAGGTTTATCAGTAGGTGCAGTTGATATAAGCCCCACTGTCGATACCACAAAGAACACATGCAGACATATCTTATTCTTCATTTTCTTATGCCACCCAGGGACTTCAAATTCAAATGTCATATTTCAATTTCCGTTTAAAACTCTTCAAGGCTATAAAGTGTGTTTTTCTGTATATTGAAACTTGAGAGACTAATCCTTACATAAAATTCCTTGAACAAATAACATTTCTTTGAGGGCTCGTTTAGTCCTTGTTATAACACATTTAAGTTCAATGAATTCAATCACTTACAAAAACGGGTGCTATTAAGTCAACAAAACATATTTTATTAATATATAAATACCATATTAAGAGTGGAATAAACAATACAAATGCAAGTGCTGACCAGATTTAAAAGTTCTTTGTGTACTGATCACTCCATTTTGACAGCTTCATTTGGAGTCTAAAAATAGTACCATGAGTACTGGGCTCAAATGGTGTTTTGATTTCAGTCTAAATGACAGCCATATTGACTCCAAAACCTCAATGGAATTACATATGAGAGCATACCTGTACATTTTAACACATAACAAAGCAATAATTTCTGAACCTGCTTCAAAATTGTTTTTCTGCAACAAATATGTACATGTTGGTCATTTTGATTTTCCAGACTTTGAAACCTCAATGGTATCACATATGTTAACATATTTGGACATTTTAATGCAAATCAATGCAAATATTCGTAAGTTATGGCTATAACCAGGGCTCTGATCATGATGTGACCATTACGTGTTAAAAGTGACGGTCATTTCCAGCCGCCACATGATTTACTCTTGATAAAATGTTTACAGGGCATATTGTTCTTTTTAGTGATACCTGGGGGGAAACATCATTAAAACATTACGCAATTCACTAGCACCGCGGGCATACAAAAATACAGTGCTATTGTATAGAGGGGCATACATACGAATATTATCACATGTATTAACTGATTGGTACTTTCTACTCACACGATTATTCCCGTGTCTTAGCAACTATGTATTATAAAACATACCAAAGTCAACGATAATTTTTCAATATTTATGAGTTAGAGATCAAGGCTCATCTTCTCGAGAGATTCCCTGTATATCAGAAAAATGAAAGTTCGAGATTATCCAGTTACTATTTGACATGATAAAGTGCATGTCAAATTCCCCATTATTGCTATTAAAATATCTCACACCTGTCTAAAAATAATGAGTGTACCCGAACTATAAATATTTTAAAGAAATGGGCGCAGTGAAACTCGATAATAGTTATATGATGACACGCACTAATGCTTTTGTCGAAGATGAATTGATTCGAACTCAAAATTCAAATGTTAACATAGAAAAAGGAAAATTTTATGAAACTTTAAGGTGACATATTGAACACAATTCAATCTACGATTAGAAAGGTAGTGGTGTCAACTTTAAGAGGTTCACTGTCCACTACTTACAAAATTTGTAAGTACCTATTTCGTCATTTCAATTCAGTAAATTACAGATTTATTTAAAAAATAGATTTTAAAGAGTTTTAAAAATAACGATTTCGAACGGTTCAAACTATTTTATTTTTCTTCAGTAAGGTAGAAACTGACAATTATATTATTTTGCCGCAAGGGTATTTTAGGTTAAAGGTTGAAATAATTTTACTTCTTCAAAATTCACTTTATGGAAAAAAATAATTTCAAAAAATAATTTCCCCAGTTAAAATTTTTTGAACTAAACTTTTGCCCCCTTATATTATGTAAAAAGCACTTTACTTAGAGCTATTCTCTTGACCATGGGGGTTACTCAACTTTTCAGATAAATCAGGAATACTAACAGACTAAGCGATCCCAAAGTGTTTATTAAAACTCTAATCTGTCACTAGTTTCGGGCTAATGAATCCAAATCAGTATTGAATTTCGATGAAGACACAAATCCTCAACGATTCCCATCACACGTTCATTGACAATGAATTTGTCAAAATCAAAACAAAATATATTTTGTTGTGGAATAATATTCAGGTACAATATCAGCTTGCATTGACTTAAACAAAATTGCAAATTAATTATATATCTGTTCAGCGATGGCCTTATTTCTCGTCACCCCAAAATCATTTTTCTTGTCTCTTCAAGTCCTTCATTTCATCTGTCTTTTGCCATTTTAGGACAAACAAAAAATAAAACCTGGTCACTTGATCATTTGAACAAAGCAAACTTTGCTAAACAGAAAATTCAACGTTTCTACCACTGATTAGTAGGAAAATATAATAAAAATAAAGAAGATACACAGAATAAAGTCAATGTATAGATGGGGACAGTAATTCCTAATAGGACCATAATTTCTGCGACACAGTCCAGCCAAGAATGTTTATGATTACGTCTGTGTATGCTTATGTTGTATTGTACACTGACCGTTTCACATGGGTCGCCTTCTCCTAAAAAGTAAAAGCAAGACATAGAGTGAACAGTATCGCATTCTTGGGTAGAACAGATAACTTTCCGCCTTAACATTTACCCAGAATGCCCCAAGACTAATCAGTTCATAAAGGAGTGCGAGTTATATGTACAGGGTGTGACAAAAATGAATAGGGGTTTTCATGCATTTTGCCAGAAGTAAAACCTATTCAAAACAGCTTTCTTTTTATTCAAAAGTTCCTGGCACAATGATTCTCTGCCCTCTGGGTGTTAATCCGTGGATAATCCTTGAAAACGAGACATATATTTTTGAATTAAAGGGTGTAATCTTGCGAGTTTTGATAATTTTTATAAGAAAAAGAGAAGCAAAACGCATGAAAAAACTGCCAAAATTCATTCTACATATAACTCGCGCTCCTTTATGAACTTTTGTATCAGGACAAAATTAAGGTTCAATTTAAACATTGATAGGCTTATCGCTATTACTATTTCAAAATTGTCATTTTTCACAAAATCCATGTTTACCTCTTTATTTGGATTTTCCAAGGATGTGGACACACTGAGCCCTTGTCTCCAACTCTGCTCATGCGGCATTTCGTAGTCGTCAGATTGATCAGACGGCTTGTGGTCACTTGCCCACACCTAAAAAAATGATGGTTGAATAGTTGGGTGGTATGGCGGATGACTCTAGGCAGATTTCTTTCGTCATTCAAGCGTTCAAATCTCCCCCTGTACAATGGCTTTAATACAAAATTCTGGTGTTGAATATGGTGGTGGAAATTGAATAGTGAAACTAAAGAGTCATAGAAAGGCAAATTGTGAGAGAAATGAAGTAATTGGTTAAAGATAACATGACATCTTTGAGAATATGATAGGGGTGATTCTGTTATGATCGGTTCAGGTTTGAACGTCAACCCTGCTGAAACTCGCTCTAAATGTTCCGCTCAGTATAGCTTCATTCCACCTCTCCAGCTATTAATACGATTAACATTTGGGAATGTTGCACAATTCCGGTTACTGACATCCTTGGTCCAAGGGTATTTCACTTCTTTCCATATCCTGAATTGAGTAGGAAATGAAGTCATTTGATTGATGGATGGTTACTGCCACTGAGGAGCTACACATACCAACGTACCTTGATTTTGCTATTTCCTTTGACCTTTGCTCCCTTTGGAAATGTATATTCGACTTTTTCGTTAGTGTTCTCAAGCAAACGTTTTATACTCCAACCAGTGAGGTCTTCGTCCTTCAATCAAAGAATAACTTTTTCAATAATCTCACATCGGAATAGCCTGACAACGGTAAAGTCCGATACAAATGGCTGACATAACCGTCGCTTCAACTCTTTAATCACTTGGTCCTCATTTCATGGGATTTTATCGTCGCTAATTCTGTGCATGTATTAAGCTCTTGTGATGATCTCGATGTGTCATATGAAATCCCAATTTCGATCAAATTGGGTCGTGAATCGCTACAACATAGCGTCTTCGATATCGTCAATGACAAGGAAATCTGAATTTGAAATAATCGACGAAGACAACGGCTTACAGTGTCCGCTGTCCCGTATATATCTCATTTTGATAGGTTAAATTAAAGAGTTTATTTCGGACGATGTTAGAACATTTGATTGTTGTTCCAAAGGAATTTAGTCTAGGTACTCTTTTAAACATACAGATCATGAAAATCTAATTGAAGCGACGGTTATGTCCGCCATTTGTGACAACGGTATCTGACTTTACCGTTGTCATGCTATTCCGGTGTGAATCTACTATATTGATCAGGCCCGTTGCCAGCTTTTGCTAAGGGGAGTTCGCTTTTCAAAAAATATCCAGGGGGTTCACATTTGGGCCTTTTGATAACTTTGGTTTTTTGACTATTTTTTGATATGTGATATAACGCAAAGTCGTATTCATTTTATGTTACCTTGCTCTGTGTATTTTCTAAGACAATATAGGTGGCATCTTCCGAACACTCACAGATTCCGATTGGACCATTGGCTTTCTTCTGATATCTAAATTTAGCCCACATCTCTCCCTTGCTAATGCGATCTGTCTCGTACAAACATATACTATGAAACACTGATTAGTCTATAATTGCTTTTGTTGGTTTCAACACTGTAAAAAGACTCAAGGACATTTTTATATCAAACTTTTATTTCACATAAATATTTCCAAAAACATTTAACCTATTCTATGTCATTATTTCTCAAAATTGTCCAAACATTCATAAAAATATGATATTGATCTACCTTAATTTTTTGAGTTATGAAAATTAGTATATTTAGTAAATTTCGCATAACAGCCTACCTCTTTCTTGTTCCATCAAATCCTGTTCTGGAATCATAGATATTTTCAAAATCATTTATCCTACTCTTTGTCATCATTTCTCAAAGTTGTTGTGTATTTATCAGTTTATAGTTACATTGGTTTAAGTGTGTCACTGATGCAATGCTAACGTTCTTTAAAACCTTGGTTTATTCGTTTGACAACCAAATGATTAATCAAGTTGGACTAAACTATCTTTTTAGATATTGTTTCTTTGTTTTACATGTTGTAGATATTTATACTCACAGGTGTGGGTTGAAATAAAAACTAAACTAAATATTCATAAAAATATGATAGTGATCAATCTTTATTTTTTAGCTTTAAAAAATCGTGTATTTAAAAAATATCGTATGGCAACCTACCAGTCTCTTGGATTTCCTGTTTCTTGCTGTACTGGCGAAGCAATGCCTCTATTGCCTGCTTTAAACCAACTCTATAGAGAGGAATATGTATCAAATAATATTATCCACGAGTTATAGATCGATTTAAAGATGGCATCAATGCTCGTACATAACTACGCACTCACGCCTAACCATCGACAACGTACAGTGACAAAACACGCCGTCGTACACTTTAGATGTACGGTGTCACTATCAACCGATTCAAAGCAAAGACAATGATGTAGGTTTGATGTAGGTTTTAAAAATATTATCTGAGCAATACATTAAGGATTTCAAGTTTGATTTCGTGTGTATTCATTTGGGAAGACATTTAACTTTCTAGATCCAATAACGTTATAAGATTTTCAAACAGTGCTAGATTTTTTCGTGGTTAATCTACCCATAAAGATAATTGGTCGGTTGAAAATGTTGTTTTTTACACATTTCCTTTGATCATTTCCTCGCCTGGCGTGTAAGAGTGTCGAATTCTATGAGAATGTGTTTTCTAAACTACACAAGTTAGGACGGTATTCAAGTATTTATTGTAATTTAAAAATATTAGAAATGTGCGTTGTCAACTCGAATGTACTCGTACTCGAACTCTTTGATTATTTGACTCTATACCTTAAGTTTTGTTAGTTACATTGATAGATAGATCTATACTTGAATATGACTTTTTAAAATCCCGTTTATAATATAACTGGAAAGTGCTCAATAGTTTCAATAATTCAATCAAATTGAAGTAATTCTGTAATTGTTCTGCTTTATTGTAAATACATCTTACCCCCTGTCTGTTACTGTTATGAAAAATACGTTGCCTGCATTAGGGTTAACTGTGAATTGAGTAAGTTCAATGGGACAACGTACATTCGAATTGACAACGTACACTTATGATCTTTTAAATTATAGCCAAAACGTTAATACTTCTAAGACACTCTTAGACGACAGGGGATGAAATGATCAAAGGAATGTGTAAAAAAACATTTTCCAACCGACCACTTATATGGGTAGATTGACTACGAAAAGAATGGAGCACTGTTCGAAATTTTTTTAACGTTACTAGAAAGTTAAATGTCTTCCTAAATCGAATACACACAAAATCAAACATGAAATCCTTAATGTATTCCTCTGATTCTTTTTTTAAAACCTACATCAAACCTTACTCGAGCCTCTAGCCAATTCTTCATCCTAGCTTTGCCCCATTGGTTTTCGCTGCATTAACTTAGCTACTTACGAGTCGTGGGCCCCCTCTAGGAGCTTTCTATACGCCGCAATTTCAACATTCAATGAGAGATTGACATCCTTGGTCTCGTCAAACTTAATCTTCATTGCTCTCATCTCCTCTCTTAATTGCTTAATCTCCTGGTTTGGTTGATTGTTTTGCGATTCCCACTCAGTAACGCTCTCTTGGTAGCGTCGTTTGTACTGGTTGATGTCATTTTCTAACTGGGTGTTCTTAAATAAACAAATAATAGGACCTATTGTACAGGAAATTCAAGGTCATTTCTAATAAGTACTGTTCTCTGTAGATGTATTTTCATAATTTGCAATGACCATTTGCATAGGGGTGTATAGTGCATGATTTTTCCTTGTACGTTCTGATTACTAAAAAAATATGACCTGGAAGTTCCTGTACAATAAGTCATTCTTCGCATATTCATATATGTGATGATGATACCTAATTAATAAAAAAAGGAAATAAGTATATGAATGGTCAAATCACATACCAAAGGTCAGGTTACAAAGTTAGTTACTTAGCTGGATACAAGGTTGGTTCCTACGTCGGTTTTATGTCAGTTACTAAGTTAGTTAGTTTGTTAGTTCTTTTCAGACCTCATTTTGTCTTTAGTAACCCAATTGACCTAAATCTACATAACCGGTAAATAATCATCTTTTTGACCTTTTGAAGGTCACTGAAGGTCAAATAAAAGTAAAATCTCAAATTATTAAATTGAATTCATCGTTGTATCACACGATGTGTTGCGTTCAGCCTACCCTCGTATAAGTTGTATTTTCTGATTTTGCCTTGAATTGACCTTACCTTTAAACTATATGCCGTCTTGGTGATTTCAATCTGTTCATCGTAGGACTCCTGAATCTTCTTGAGGCCTTGCTCCATCTTCTTGCTCCATATATCCTCTTCCTTTTGGCGGTCCCTTGTCAGAAGATCTTCCAAGTCGTTGAGTCGCTGAAAAAATGCAATACACATGTAAGCCGGGAATAATGACATTTACCTTTGCAACTTTTCTAAAAAGGCATGCGTGTTGAAAATATTTTTGCACGAGATACAGGAATCAATTATGCAAAGAACTGATCATGCAGAAAGTGTCATAAATATAGTGAAGAATATATAGTACTATGAATTAAAATGATCATTGGAATCTAAGTGTTTTACAGTAACATTATGAATTGAAATTAAAATATTGAGAGGCTCAACCATACACGTCTGTTTATAGATTGTCTACAATACAAGGGGTGATCCAAAAGTCATGGACGCCCTGCTCTAATTTTGTTTGTTTTTAATAAAATTACTACAACATTTCAAATAATGAAGATCAACAACATAACTACTTTGTGTATTGATTTCATGAAGACATAATCTATTTTATGTATTTTTCTAGGTAGCTCTTAATAAAGGAACCCTGTCACTCGGATATTAATAGTTGTAACGCGGTTCGCGTGTTTTAGTTACAGGTGGCTAACTCCCTATATTAAAAAAAATTATCTAGAAAAGTACCCAAAATAATTTTTTAAAGTATTTAAGATGTTGATCTTCATCACTTGTAAGTTTCATGTAATTTCATCAAAAATTAGCTAAGTTATCTTGGGCCACCCTTCGTACAACCGTCTGGTTCTAATTAACTAAAATCACTGTAAAATAGTATCATCAACTTACAAATCAGATTTATAAGTTGTTTGATGATACAGTTTTACAATGATTATCTTACAACTTGAAATATGCATCCACAACCTATTTTTAGAATTTTTGTTACTCTGTGCGCAGAGTCTAGTTATAAACTACCGACGAAGCTCTCTTTTAGAAGTGAAGTCGAACGAATGCAAAGGGAAATTATTTGTTCACATTTTCATTTAAATCACTAAAAGTATACGTAAGCCATTTTAAAAAGAATTGTAGCAGAAATTGAAATGCATGCCTTATTCGAAAACATGGGTGTTTTGGCCCACCCTGTATATGTAAACAGTTTTCACCTTCAAGATTATATTAGTATAAGTTCCTGGGCCATACCAGTTTCATTTTAATGTTTATTGCAAATGTCACATCACGTAGAAATTAAACCAATCGATATTAAGGATACTTATACATAATTTACCATGTACTATATCTTTTGTATTCGATTTTTCGGTACTTGTGCCACGTTTCGTATACTGATTTTTCTAAAAATACCATTTATAGTTCAGAAGTGTTACGGCGTTTGTCAGCTCCCTGATCTAAATGACCTACCTATCAATTCCCCTTTTCAGTTTTTTGCAAAACCAATGAAATAGTCCAATAATTTAACCGAGGGGTAGCCTGAAATTGTAACAATTTGGAGGTCGTGCATTATACTGCAACGGAACTTACTTGTTCATGAAGATGTTTGAAGTACTCGAATTCCTCCTCGACTGTGTGGCGTTTATTCTCCGACTTAACCAGGTTGAGGTTCTCACGGTTGAGGGTCTGAAATGTGCATCGAAATATAAATGAAAATGCAAGTTAAGCAAGGAAGTTAAGACGTACGTATACAGTTGGTCGACAAGACCATCTGCAGTTATTTGATAGGTTGGGGAGTGGAAAACACAACAAATTAAAAAATCCATTCACTGAATTTCAGAATTTTTAATTATTAAAAGGTAGAAATACCATAAACATAAAGAGAGTGACAGATAAAACCGCATACACTTTTGACTTTTAGAATTCAAAACAAGGAGGATTGGCTCCCAGGATCGAAACTAAACGTCTAAATGTCGTTATTTTCTGAAATTATAACCGACTATAAATTCAAAATAAACAGTTCAAAAGATTCGAACCAATACCTCGATCATTCCTTGTGAGTTTTGGAATTTTCGTTGGGAAATAAGACCAAAATTCACGATTCAAATGTTGAAGTGAACAAAATGGCGGCTGTTTGAATTCGAATTGTGTATCACGACATGCTCATATGTCGGACAGAATATCGATGTTGCACTCTGGGAGCAAATCCTCATTGAATTCAATACGTGTAATTTTCCCTGGAATTCCTTCCATTAAAATGTGATCTTATTGCATATTCACATTTCAATGTTTTAAGAAGAACATATCGAGGCAATTGAAAAACTGTTTGTTTCAGTCTGAAAAGTTCAATATCCAAGGGAGTGAGCGTTAATGGTATAACCAAATTTGAATGGCCAAACCGGATCATTTTACTTACATCTCCCCTTTCCTTCAGTTTCTCCTGGAGACGTTTGATTTCAGCCTTGTCTTTCTTGCTCTCGGCGTCTTTCGCATTGCCATTCTTGCGAAGGAGATTATTCTCGGCCTCAAAGTCGCTTACAACTTGCATTTGACGATCAATGTCTTGTTTTGAGTTTTGGTAAGCAGTTTCCAATTTGCCATTCCTATAATATGAGTTGACATTTTTGAAGCCCTAACCCATATAAGGGTTATAGCTATGTTATGTGTGAAGTCTTGATATCGAACCATATGATACAAGAATTTGTTTGAAAACTTAAATATAATATTCTAAAGCTTGCCGTGGTAAAATTGTTAACATATGAGAGGTTTCGCACAAGGGGTTATAGCCGAACGTATCAGCAACCGCATCTCGTTTTAATTGAACTACAACGCATAAATGTGGTACACGTAACGGATTTTAGAAACGTTGGGCAAAAAACTGTAAATCTCAAAATTAATTTGATTTAAACACGTTACTTGTATTTAAAGTGGCAACAAGGCATGTAGAGAGAACACAGACCTTCTACATTTTAACAGCAGGAATTTCAGCTGAAATAACGTCCATTTGGGGGATTTCTTTAGAGATAACGAAAACAGATGTTAGCCTTGATGGAATATCCAAACTTCGATATATTTTGTCCATGATCTTTGGTAACATCTCTGCACTAATTGTTCAACCTTTAACCAAAATTACTATACCGGTAAACGATTTCTGGAAGTGTATTTTCCGATCAGCAGAACTTTTGATATCAATGAATACAATGTTTAGGCTTTGTCGGCCCCTGACCAAATAATCGTTCACAATCATGTAGTTTTTTCATGCAAAATTGTCATATGTGAACCCTTCTGGATTTTGTGACCCTCCCCCTTGGCAAACATTGACTGCGGACCTGACTTATAAGACCCTCTGTGCATGAGGATATACTTGAAACCCCGAGGACGGAAAACTTACTCTTCTTGAAGTTTGTCGATCTGTTCCTCTAGACTCCTTATTGTTATTTTCAATCTTCCATTTTCAACGTTGACATCATCATGGAGTATCCGAGCTTGTCTGAGTTCTGCCTCGATTTTCTGAATTACCGCATTCGTGCTCCAATCTTCTTTAAACTTCTTTAGGTCGAAATCAATCCGATCACTCAGAATTTTATTTTTAGCTTCAAGGAAAGCGATTTTATCAATGAAGCTCGCAAGTCGCGAGTTCAACTCTTGCATTTCCTTCTTTTCATGGTTTCTTGTGGTTTTAACCTCATCGATGTTAATTTCAACGTAGTTCAAACCGACGTCCCTTGATGTCTCGTCTCCGAAGTTGAGGTGTTCGAGGGATCCCAAGGATCTTGACCGTTCGCGGTTTATTACAATTTTCCGAGGCGACATCGATGGGACGTATAAGGAGTTGTAACCGAGGTCATCATCCGTCGCCGTTGTTTGAGATGAGTTTAAGAAAGAACTGCCCGATTTTGAAGCACTATTCGTTTGTCTTGTAATTGTTTCTGTTACAGTTTTCTCGGATGTAACAGTTTGTCCCTTCGTTGCGTATTTTACTGGGGATGACATTTTCTATCGGTTATCGCTCTTCCTTAAACCAACTGAGAAAGACCCAAACAACGCCTATCTAAATATATAATTAGTATGCGAGTCCAGGAGGGATTCAAGACACGTTTGCATTGATTGGCTGAACTTAGTATTTTGACGTTCGAAGTCATAAACTATCAACAATAGTAGAACACCGTGTAGAAGGGGTATTAAAACTAGTTGGGTGAAATTGAACAAAGTTCAATTCAAGACTCCAGACTTTTTAGTTAAAAACGATTTTGACATCTGATATTAATGAGAAAATGAGAAAGAAGATGTACCGTATATGTTATTACAAATTCTGATTCCCGTATACTATTGACATTAATACCAATGCAATTTCGATAGATTTGGAACACCTTTTTACCCTTTTAGGGAGTCTTTCTGAAAATTGGTAAACTTTCATCGAGACATATCTAAAGTAGGAATTGGTGGAAGTATATAGAAATTCATTTTTTCTGTTATGGATAAACCATGCGTCTTGGGTATTTGGAAAATAATGGTCAAGGGGCGATAGCCCTTAAACTACACACTGGGCACCGAGTCTTATTAAAGGTAAATGGTCCATGATCCAATCTTAGGAAAAATCTATTTCTTTTGTATTGTCTATGAGGTAAGTGTATGGAGAAGTGAGTGGGTGTAATTAGTTCAGCTTCAGTGCACTTTACGTAACAGGGTTACTTGTGTCTACTTTCAACTACTGAAAGAGTGAATAGGGCATAATTAGTTCAGCTTTAGTGCACTACATGTGACAGTCAATCTTTTTTGTGATACACTGGGTTTAGATAGCTTGCCAACAATAGAAAAATAATGCACACCTCTTTGTTATAGCTGTACATTCTTAAACATAAAACACAGTTCATTCTATTGTGTAGCTACCTAAGTGGGGTTTAACAAAAAATATTGAATGATGCAAAAGAAAATTTGTGAAAACGAAAAGTTTGACCTAGATTTTTACCTTTGACCTAAATTAATATTTGAACTAATATCCCAGCAAGGCAGTCACATGCCCTGACTGACGATTTAATCAAAAATACCCAGAGACTTCTAGTTGCCGAGAAAACGTGTCAGGAATAATTATAAATCAAGATTGCAACCAATCTTACGGAGGCCCCGAAGACCCTTTTACTTAACGGCGATGGCATCGATGACGAGGTAGGTGACGACGACGTAAACGATGATGACGATGACGTGGTAGAATTTAAGTTTACGCCGATATTTCGAATGCAGATTGGTGAGCGTATAACTAACTGGTTTATTTTTTGTTTGTCATTTGGAAATTTAGTAATTTGGTTTCTCATGATTAACTGATCTCCCCTTATCCTCCATCTTGATAAAGGACTGTATCAGGCAAACACTTAAATCATTCATATTACTTATGGTATAAAAGTATATTATGTAAGAGAAATGGATATGGCACTACTTCTACTTAATAATCTCTCTCATGTCTCTATTATCGTGGACGGATGGTCATTTCGAATCGCCATCTTTCTTTCTCCGGAGCATTTCCCTATTTGTATTCAGTAAGAGGGGGAAACCCAAGCGCGTAAAGGGTTTAAAAATACAATTACGTCTCTTGCTTACCACCTTCTTTTGTCCAAATTCTTACCAGCTAGTTTTCGAATATAACACGTTGTTGTGATGTTTAAACTATTTAACCTATGGCTAACATATGGATATAAGCATATCCCTAATACACCTATTTCTGAAACTAAGCCGTTTTGGGACTTCAAATATACCAAGATATGTGTATTTGACACCAAATATCAATACAATTGTGAAAATAGTAGCGCAATTCATTCTATAGCGACGCAGTGTGCCTTAAACCTTTCCCAGACCTATATATTTTGAAATTATCCTTTTAATACTGAGTCCCCAGCATTCATAAAAAATGGTGTTCAAGGTACACTATCTATACAAATTATTTTTGCATCTTGGAAGCCAGGCAGTATCTGTGTGATTTTATAAAAATTCGGAAATGTTTTTCAGATATGAGCCCCCTCTAAATATTGGGTGCGGAGGAGCTGCATAAACGTACCTCCGCACCCAATATTTAGAGGGGGCTCATATCTGAAGAACATTTCCGAATTTTTATAAAATCACACAGATACTGCCTGGCTTCCAAGATGCAAAAATAATTTGCATGGGTAGTGTATCTTGAACACCATTTTTTATGAATGCTGGGGACGCAGTATTAAAAGGATAGTCTCAAAATATATAGGTCTGGGAAATGTTTAAGGCATACTGCGTCGCTATAAAATGAATTGCACTACTATTTTCACAATTTTATTGATATTTGGTGTCAAATACACATATCTTGGTATATTTGAAGTCCCAAAACGGCTTAGTTTCAGAAATATCCCAATTTTAAATTCAAAAATGACCGTTAGCTCCGCACCCTCCGCTCATTTGCGCCGCACCCAATATTTCCCACAGGCTCTGTCTGCATAGGGTGATATTTTCTTTGATAAAATATAGGGTCGAATTATTTATGGTATAAAACAATTTTATTGGATAAATCGTATCATTTAGAAGTTCACCCGTAGCACAAAAAATTATTTATTACTTGTTTTTGTCTTGTCGATTATTTAACACTATTCTAATTCATCAAACTCGAGACTGGCAATTAGCTGTCTTCAAAGAGCATTGGCTTTGATTTTGCTCCTTCATAACCCTATATTTTTAAACTTACAAAGTCAATATATTTAAAACTTTGACACAAACTTTTTCTTAAAATTCAAAAGCAATAGAAACGTGACATTAATCATGTTGACTTTTCCCAACAATAGTTTAAATAGTTTAGTGGATATAAATTTTTAATTATATTCTTAAATACCGACAGGATGCCTACTTTTGAATTTTGATGTTACATTGCCATCACTTGAGCAAATTTAAGACACAACACTTATTAGGGGCAAAGTATTTTTTATTTCTTCAGTATTATTGATATTTTTATTTTTGTACATGACAAACATAGAAATAACCTTAAGCAATCATTTTAAGAAAGATCAGTGCTATAGCTCATGTGAAACTTGACTGTTAGCAAAAAGTAGGTACTTCAGGTGGCAGAATTATGAGCAGTTTTCATATAATTTTTGATATAACTTTTTGAAAAGCAATGAAAGGTGCTTATAAAATTTATGTAAAAACCTGGGAGTGGACCTAGTGATCCCAGCATCTTTGCTGCACTAAGCTTGGAGTCAATGTAAAATGACACTCGACTTTTTGGTGATTTTGAAGTCATGTCTGAACTTCACAGTTCAAAATCAACTTCTGTAGTAATTTGACACCACCTTCTAATGACCTTTTATTGTTTCTCAAAACATATTCTCTCAAAATCAGGAAATAGGGTGATAAGCAGGGAAATTGGAGTATGGAACAAATTCTTACAACTTCCAATAACTCAACAAATACTGTTTAGACTGACTTCAGTTTTTATAAAATCATCATCAGAAGTTAAAATCTGACTTTAAATTTAAGATTTGACTTTCAATGACCTTTTCAAGGTCAAAAACAATCCAATGACACTGGTGTATTGGTAGAGTGATCTGAAAATATAATGCGGGAAGTATCATAACTGAAACCATGGTTTAAATACTACCTGAAATTTGCAATAAAAGTAATGCACTATAATATTGCAAAGCCTCACTCTGATTTGACTGATAAAAATGGGGGAGTCCATGGCAAACAAGCGACAAACTTATCAATCTTTTTCCCACGGTTTCTTAGGTCTAGAAGCTGCTGACTGGGTAGGAGCTGCTCCAGTTGCCTCAATGTTCAAATTTTCCAATCCTGGTATGGTTTGCCCTGACTCTACTAAATCTAACAATTGGCTTAATGACAGGGTCCCATCCTTGTCCATTTTATTGTCAGGTTTCTTTGGTTTGGCACCTTTGTCATCAGTTATTTCATCATGTTTTGCATCAAGCACTGTTAGGTCATTTTCTGATTGAGCAATATGTCTTTCATCTCTGTTATTGGATGCATGAGCAGTTACTTGTTCAGAGACATCATTTGTAATTGTCACTTGGTTGCCAGGTGCACTAATTGCTAATGCTTGATTGTCATCTTCATTTTTATCATTGACAATATCTTCATCCTCTGATAGGTCAGTGTTGATGTTTTTACTGTTGTCACTCTTCATGGCATCAACTCCTGCTGTTGGTTTCTTTGACATTCCATTGGTGTATTCTTCTTTAGTTATTTTTTCAAAAAACCTGTAAACAGGAATATTTGGTTAGTTTAGCTGTCTTAACTTATTCAGGCTTTATCAATATAAAAATGGTCAATGAACCATAAGATGAATATAATGACAAGAACATAATAACATTCTTGCCATAGCTTTGTAATGATAAAGGTCTGGATGGATTGTGACCGTGAGCTGCATATAATATTTAATATGGGCAATGGGCATACCACTAATGTGTCACAATTGAACAAGCAGGTGACCATAAAATACCATACCTTGAGTAATAAAACAGCTGGGCATCTAAGAGTTTCATTTGTACATCTTCCTTAGCCGTATCACCATTGAAGGGTTGAGATTTTTCAAGGGATTTCAAGCCTTCTTGAAACCTAGCATCATTTTCAAAGTCATATTGTAAAAACCTGTTAAGTTTTTCTTCTGCAGCATCTGGTTTCATTGAGACTTCCATAGCATTGTTGTATCTCTATCTGGAAAAAGAAAAACATTAGTCTATAGTACAGTTAAACGTGTGATCAGATTAGACTGTACTTTAGATAAGGGGAGATAAAGCAAATGCTATGGGAGAGACTAAGCAAATGGCATGGGAGTGACTAAGCAAATGACAATGAGTAGACTAAGCAAATAACATGGGGGAGAATATGCAAATGAAATAGGGTAGACAGTGCTTGTATTAGGTTTAAAATTTGTGAGTCCCAAGGAAGCATTTTTTTAAAAAAGTGTGTCCTTTCAAAAAAAAGTGTATCCCCATTTTAAGCCAGTTTTGAGGTACACTGTATAACTTTATTTTAAAACGCATTTATCACCGAAACACTACCTGAAGGTTAATTTTGTCAGCTGATTTTCTTTGTATAAATGGAATAATAGGTCAGTAAAACATCATTCCAATGTTACATATATCACTAGTTACGAAATGACATAATGTTTTTAGTTCAAACCCTCAAACTTAATTTCAAGCTGACTCTCTCAAACTTAAACGCAAATGACATGGGGGAGACTAAGTAAATAATATGGTGGAGAATACGCAAATGACATGGGGATTGGGGGATACAAAGCAAATGACACAGGCAGACTAAGTGAATGACATGAGGGAGACTTAGCAAATAATATAGGGGAGACTAAGTAAATGACACGGGTAGACTAAGCAAATGACATGGGGGAGACTAAACAAATGAAAATATGCAAAAAACAAGATAAAGCAAATGACATGGGGGATTATCAAATGACATGGCGTAGACAAAGCAAATAATACGGGGGAGAATACGCAAATGAGATGGGGGAGACTAAGCAAATAACATGGGGGAGAACACGCAAATGACATGGGAGAAAATATGCAAAATACAAGATAAAGCAAATGACATGGGGGATTATCAAATGACATGACGTAGACAAAGCAAATAATATGGGGGAGAATACGCAAATGACATGGGGGAGACTAAGCAAATAACATGGGGGAGGTTACGCAAGATACAAGATTGGCAAATGACATGGGGAGACTAAGCAAATGACAATTGGGAGACTAAGCAAATGACGTGGGGAGACTAAGCAAATGACACGGGGACTAAACACTCATGAATGCTGACATGGGCTTTCAAGTGTGCGTGTGTGTGTGATGAAGTTTGAGGATTGTATGAATGAAAGGCAAAACAGTTAAGTCAGATTGTGATAAATCTACTTCATTAGGCTAGTAAGAGGATTTGCATTTAGACTTGTATAGACTACAGTGCAAAGTTTGATTTCTTATCTGAAAAATTGGTCTGGAGAATTTACTAAAAATCATAAATCCACTCTAGAATATTGTCATATCTAACTAATTTCTATGTCATTGGAAGGGCGAATATCTTACCTAGCTCGTTCCTTTCCAAGGAAATGATAATATTCATAAATTATCTGGTTCTTAAGCTTTTATGTCAACAATACATCACACTTTATTTTTCATAACATTCTCCATTTTCATGATCATGTGACCATGTCATGTGACTGAAGGATGAAATCAACTTTTATAGTTAGAATGTAACTCGATATAGCGTAAACACCACGGAAGCAATGGACTTTATTTAGGCACCTTCCAGTTGAGATACAGTACAATACTAATTAGACCAGGTATCACTCTGGTATGTTGAAATTCTACTCAATATTAATTAAAGGCCCCAATGGCTTTTATTGTAGTCATGAACAATAATAGTAAATGAATGATAAAAGCATATTTTCTAACTTTAACAGTGCGGCCTTTAAATGTATGAAAGATGTCCGCTTTGTTAACAGGCAGTACAGACATTGCAACAATTATCATTTCATTGTCAAAAACCTGTATAATCCAAATGCAACTGGGAGCAGCCAAGAATATTTCAGTCATATACATGTACAATGTTTTTTATATATGTGATTCATGGGGAGAAAAGAAATCGAAAACCAAAAAAACGTGTTCACATTGAGAGATATTTGAATTTAGAGAGATTTTCAGATATACAGGTTTCACTGAATATGAATGGGATTGATGTAGAAAAGATAAGACAAGACTTTTCCTACTTGTTCAAAAAATGAAACATTATTATTTTTGAACACAAAATAACAAGCGATACAGACTAATACATCTTTTTAAACAAATTCTCAACATGACAAGAGATGAATCATGCATAATGATAAGACAACAAATTATCATTTATAGAATTCTACATAACAATTTATTACATTCTAATCTATACATATACAATGTATTATGTACAATAGGTCATGTTAATAATATGAACTGATAACAGTTAAGATCAAATAAATATACAAGTAATAATTAAAACTGAGTTTGAAAATAAATAAATATGCTAAACAATACATGAATGTACAATAAGCAACAACATTATTGTGATGGTCTACAACAATAATCGTGCGACTTTGTGGTCCATTTATTCTCAGATTTTTTGGCTCAGTGAGTTCAGAGCATTCCCTTTTTAAAGGGTGCAGATGAACCTATCTTTTAAGAACTTGAAGCCAAGTCAAACAAATGCAAAAGGTACCATTCATTGATTTTCAACATTAATTATGATAATTTTCAATCAATTTATATTCCTCACAATGATTGATCCATATCCTACATGTGACTGAAAAATAATAAGCGATATTCAACCGAAGTCACATGATTTCTGCTGAACATCAAATGATATTCACCAGTCACAACTTCAAGATTTAGACCAGATTAATTTTAATTTAATATATAGTACATTGTAATGATTTTATTCCATTAAAGTGAGTGAGGAAAATAATAGTGAATAATAAAACAAATATTTAATTCTATTTTCGGTGAGTACAGTTTCAGTGAGTAGATGATATTCCACTAGCCCTGCTGGCTTCATGGAATTTCACTTGTGAAAAGAAGGTATTCACCGAAAATACAATATCATTATCTATCAGGCCCGTAGCCAGTTTTTGCCAAAGGGGTTCACTTTTCAAATTATTCAAAATCACGTGGAAAGTGCTAAGGATGGTGAAAAACTGCATAATTGTGGAAGAACTTTTGGTTTAATTTGAGATTTTCATTTTTTGCATTACACACAGCCAGTTTTTGCCAAAGGGGTTCACTTTTCAAATTATTCAAAATCACGTGGAAAGTGCTAAGGATGGTGAAAAACTGCATAATTGTGGAAGAACTTTTTGTTTAATTTGAGATTTTCATTTTTTGCATTACACACAGCCATTTGCATGTTGTCCATTTTGAGATCCATTTAAACCATTTGTTATAGATGTCTTTCTTATTCCTGTTTGTTTGGCCACACTGTCCAGATCAATTTCAATGCTTTTGTCATCAATACGGTCTTCATCTAGAAGTTGTGTAGGTTCAAAGCCCATTGGCAGAAGCTCACCCACTGTGCTCTGTGTATAGGTCAGGTCTGGCTTAGACATGTACACATCAATATCAAACCCAAACTGAAAAATGTAAGCGCAACATTGATATTATATTTTGTTATATATAAAGATTACACAAACGTATACACCAGCTTACATGAGAAAGCATGTAAAAGGTAGATTGGTGATTAATTTGTAACATTCATTTGTAAAGTATTTAATTGTCATGATTTTCTATATACCCATATTATAACTGTGAGGCCAAAATATATCACATTTATTCCACAATAACATGTTTTCCCTCGGAAATAAACAGGGAATAGAATTGATATTCTAAAATTCCCTCATGAGCTATGCACATCCACCTTCGGTCCCTACAGTCCCTCAGGTAGATATGCATTTATCCCTCTGGATAAACCCCATATCCAAAACCTCCCAGCACATAACTCTTATTTATGTTTAGAGAATAAAGAATTTTTTAGTGTAATGTCTTGAATAAGGTATGAACTTTTAAATCTTTACAAAAGAGGCATTACAAGGAACAAGGAAAAAGTGGAATAAAAAATACAAGATCAAACAAACCTCTGCCATAAACTGCCTGCAGTTGCCACATGGAACGATGAATCTATCCTTCAGATTACTGAAAACATAAAACAACATAGACTTCTAGAAGTGAAATCTTAAATCCTTAAGAACATGAGTTGGAAAGTCTGACAGAATCACTAAATATTTTGCTTCAATCAGTTGGGTCGACATTATTTGCTTGTCATTTTTTTATTCAGTGATATATGACAAACTATTAAATATATATATATCTTTTATTGACTCTCTGATGTCATTGCAATGACATATTAGTCACTACAAACTACAATATACAAAATTAAACTAAGACTAAACTAACTACTTCATAGGAAATATACAAAGTTGTAAAATACAATTACAGCATCACAAAATGTAAAATACAAAAATGAGATAATTGTAAAATACAGATACAACATGACAGAATTTAAAACATCAGTGTGATGTATCATTGTTACAATATTAATCAAGTTTTTTGAATGAATGATAAATGAACTTTGCTAGATGTAAAATTACATAAGAATTTTTATGAGACAAAAGCTTTTTGAAAATAAAGTTAGGACTTCCTACAAAATTAAATTGCGTAAGGGTGTCAAACAAAAGTTTTCTTTCTGTTGTATTTTTCTTACACACCATGATAAAGTGTTGTTCATCTTCTAAAATACCACACATATTACATAAACGTTCATCCACAGGTCTTGGCTTAGGCTTCAAATGACGACCAGTTTCTATATGTAATTTGTGTGAACTAAGCCTAAATCTACTTATTGCTTGTCTGTAATTTCTATTTTGTATATTTAAATAACCCTCTCTTTCAAAGACATTTTTGAATGTTATGTAAGTTCTTAAAACAGGATATTTCAAAATATCTTTCTGCCACTGAGACTTATAATTCTGATACAGTTTTTTTGTTATCATCTTGATAAAAATATTATCATCATCGATCTTTTGAGTTTCCCAATATGAGAATAAATCACATTTTTTCAAAATATCAGTGATTTTGTTTGACCAAGTGCCTTTAAAACCCAGTTGGCTCATTTCACGGTCATGCGTATATGTTTTATGAAGAATGTTTCCAGGTGATAGATGAATTAAACGGAGCCAATATTTAATTAACTTAATTTCAAAACGTATTTTTAATGGGTAACGTCCTAATTCTCCATAGACTGCTGGTGTTGCTGTTGATTTTTTAACACCTAATAAACTTTTAAGAAAAGATAAATGCATTGTCTCTATTGTCTTAAGATGTTTTTCATTAATCCACACCTCTGAAGCATAAGTTAGGATAGGTTCAACTAAAGAGTCAAAAAGGTGCAATGCAAGATTAACTGGAATGTCATTAAATTTTTTATATTGCTGTTTAACTTTAAACAAAGCTTTTCTTGCCTGCTCTTTTAGATAACATACATGCTGGTCAAAATTCTTAGTTTTGCTGAATACACATCCTAGATATTTATATTGCTCAACACTTTCTATTGCACTATCATTGAATGTGAAAACTATATCAAATTTTGAGTTAAAAACAATTGATTTTGTCTTCATTGTGTTAACTATAAGATGATATCTCTTACAAAAATCAAAAAGACAATTGAGCAAAGTTTGGGCGCCATCTTTACTATTTGACATCAAAATAAGATCGTCAGCCCAAAGTAAGTGGTTTAACATATTTCCATCAAATTGAATACCATTTTCTTTTGGTAGATTATCTTTTAAATCATCAAGGAAATGGTTGAATAAATAAGTACTAAGTACAGAGCCCTGCATTACTCCGACATTTGTTTCGAAAGCAGGGGTGACACCTTCTTTTAATTTCAGGCATGCTTTTGACTTTTCATACATACTTGTTATAACCTTGAACATATTAGAATCAGGTGATATTCCCGATTTACATAGTTTATACATAAGTGCCACTCTATTTACATAGTCAAATGCTTTTCGAAAATCTATCATAATACAGAATAATGGCTTTTTCATGAGCTTATAACGGGTTATGATTGTGTTTAAAATATATAAATTATCTGTTGTTTGATGTCCAGATTTATAAGCACCTTGAAGTGGATCCTGAATATCTAACATTTCGGCATTAAAAACAAGTCTGTTTTGTATTACTCTATCAAAGATATTTCCTATACATGCTAAGACATTTATTCCCCTATAGTTATCAGGATTAAATCTACAACCTTGTTTAAAGAGAGTTGTTAACATACCTATACTCCATTAATTGGGGTAATCACCATGAAAAAAGATGTGATTAAAAAGGGATGTAAAATAAAAATAAACCAAGCTACAATGTAATCAATTAAGCTACAATATAGCAAAATTATCATGTACAATTGTATTGATAAGAATTTAATAACTAAACAGGTTATATTTACCCAAAATCATTAATTACATGAGTATCAAAATAAACTTTATCAGTACAGTGTATTACTTATTTAGCAGTTTAGGGTGGTCTGTAAAGAATAATGAAAATCTGATATTTTGCACCTGTTCAAAGAGCATTATCAACGTTTAAGCATCTCATTGTCTTTGAAATGACATTGAATTCTGACATATTAATGTATCTGCAAGTATGATAACATACTTTAGACTATCCGTAGCCAGGGGGTGCGATGGTTGCCATCGCTCCCCCCATAACCAATGAAAATGAAACCATGAGAAAGAAGAAAGGAGGTTTAAAATGCTTTTTATTTGAAGATTCTCGCTCAATTTTGAAGGAGGTTGCATCAATTTTTGTAAAATTCAAAATAAATCTTATTTTTGGATTGTTTATGCCACAATTGCACCCCCTGACTGAGAACAGAAATTGTTTGGGCAATCGCACCCCCCCCCGACTGAAAGCTGGCTAAGCCCCTGCTATAGTCTTGCTTCACTGCTCTCTGGGGGGAGGGTAACCAGTGTTGGACAGGCCTTAATTTTCCAAAAGATTCTAAATATTCGATCAAAAACATTTCAAGAAAGTAATTGTAAGTTAGAGGGTTGCGCTTTTTGTGTTACCCTGTACTATGATATTTTGAACATGTTTACTGTTGGGCAGGAACAATTGATAAGTGATATTATATAAGTCTGAAATGGTAAACAGGAGGACCACTTCAGGTCATAACACATTTAGGTAACATATTGTATAACTGATATCTTATCTCAAATACAAAATTTAGAGGATTGGTGATTGGAACTTGGATGGCAAAATCATAACAAAACACATAACGATAAATATCACAAGTTTTCTTGAACAGAACCAAACCAAAATCAGAAATATAATGAACGAAAAGCAATATCAATGTTAAGAATATGTATGGTTCAAATGCATACCTTGAGATTGCAATTGCCTTAAATTTTCTGTAACCCTCTGATACAGCCTTTGAAATGGCAGTCTTCTCTGCACACACACCAACTGGATAGGCTGAATTTTCCACATTGCATCCTGTTTAGAAATGAAAATTAATGTAATGATGGTATACTGTCTATAGCTTGCAAGGAATATATACAATAACATCATTTCGAAGGGCAATATAGTGAAATATTGGACCTTGGGCCCGCAGAAATGACGTTATTAGTATTATAACCACCGTTAATGACCAGGACTGAAACAGCAAGAAAATCTTACACACTGAACGATATTTAATTTCCCGGGGAAAATTGCCGGTCATTAATTGCATTCTTGACTGGCAATATGGACCGCCACTATGACGTCACATATTGCTCAGGTTGATATAGTAAAATGAATGCCTTTTACTAGCACTAAAACCCCTAGAACTGGCCCGGCAAGGTGGTAATAATGCCAAGAAATGTAAACAATCATTCATGGTTAACTTAAAGTGTGCGCCTGACCCGGCTACGTATAGCACAGAGTTTATACTGGCGGATTAGACTAGTTCATTTTTTATATGTGTATGAAAGCTTTCTCTTATTTGCGTTTTTTCGTTTAGTACGGTTTTGTTATAATTGCCGAGGTCATATAACCGGGATAAAACAATGATTATCGTTGACTGCCCACACACAAAACATACGTTGAGTGAACAGTGTTATTACAAACAACAGGCTTTAGAATACAAAGCGTAGTGTGATAATAAGCTGCACACTACCACTGCTGCATGTACATATTACTAATTTACTAGGGCTCCCAAAGAGTGGATAGGGAGGTTGTGTTTGTCACTTTTAAATTTTACATTTCAAAATTGTCATTTTACATGTCATAATTTGTTGGTTTCATTCGTTTAGCCAATCAAAACATTGTAAAACAATAAATTGTCTGTTACGTACAATCAATTTTGTTCAGTTTTGATTAGTTGTCAGAATAAAGTTACATTCATCTGAATCCATGTATGAAAACAAAAATCCTATTTTCACTTCAAAATACTTCAGTGAGATGAAGGCTCGGAATTGTCACATGCAATAACTTATTGTCGTATTCGTTATTTTATCTTCTCGATAGTAGCATTTAGTCGCACATTTGATGCCAGGTCACCTTGTCGCGTACCTCTTGGGGAACCCCACATTTATGTGTGTACTCATGGAAGTAAATTCCCCGGTGTAGCCGAGAGCCACAAACTTTTCAACAGGTTCGAAATGACCAATTTCTCTCATATATACTCTAAATATTTTATTATTTAGCACCTACAAAGTATTGCTAATAACCATATGTAATTTCAATAAGGAAACTTATCTGGCTACATATAAATTCAATATCAACACTAGCTGTTCTCTCAACACGTCCTGGCGTACCTTGTGGTGACAAACCCTGGGTTTTCGCTATTTATAGTTTATCAACACCTGGACGCATGCGCATTTTATACTTTATCGGGCACTTTAAACATTTGACCATCACAAAAATATTAAACAAGGCATCAACATGCAAAATGTCAGCACCTGCCATTTGTTACAGACGTTGACTACTGAAAACAAATCACCAAATATTTTAATAATTCATCTGCAAAGTTTATTCACCAGTATATGTCATTTTTTCATGAGATTAATCAATATATAAAAGATACACATAACTATCTCTAAATATATCTATAAACTAAACTATCTATAGCATTTCTACCATCAACTAGTCAGTGATGGAGCATACATCAGTCACCAATTAAACATGTGTCAAAAATGACCTTGGTTCATGATATACATGTATGTATATAAATAAAACAGAAGTGTTTTAAATGACATCACATTTTCAAAATCAGTACATGTTTTAGTCTATTCAAGGGCAAACAAAAAGATAATGAAAACCGGAGATGTATACATTGTTTTTATTGGCTTAAAGTGACACAACCTTTGACTGATCGCAAAATATTTAATACAAAAATCTTAACAATTAGAATTGTATCATCATTTGATATTATCAATAAGTATCATGTCTTAAATAAATTTTTTTAATAATTTTAAAAGAGTATTTCATAGATTTTCATTTCTCATGCTGCTTGTTAAGGATTTTGATAAAAATTGATATTTTAAGAAAATATTTTTTTAGTTTTTTTTTTTTGGGGAGGTAATAAAGGTTGTGCCCCTTTAAGTGCATTTCTCCAGGTGAAGTGCCAATTCATACAAACATCTACATTTAGAAACACAATACTTGAATGTGTCTGACTGCAACTACATTTCTATCCATTGAGCTATTAATTTGACATTTTTGGCAGCCTGTTTTCTGAATATCCAGTAAAACTTGTGTGTATTGAACATATTTTTGCCAAGAAAAGCTGTGTTCTGTGTTAGTAGGTGTTCAATACAGACAGAGGGTAATATACAGTAGTCAAAAGAGTATGTACGGAGGAAGGCTGTTCACTAAATACATGTGTTCACTAGAGAGAGATGTTCACTAAGACAGGTTTTACTGTACCTGTAAATATAGTTCCATCTTCACAGAGTAATGCTGCACCAACTGGGAACATACTATAAGGGCAGTGGGCGTTGTCTTTCATCTTTGAACTCAGGGCAACCAACAGTCGAACTGTCTTCTCAGAAACTGTAAATAATACAAGCAACACTAGAACAGTTTGTTTTGGCCTAAAGTCTACATGTAATCAGTTTTCTTTTATAATTATATATAACTTCTTGATCATAACACGAAAATAGGTATTTTGCTTAGAATTGAATGCAATGTACTAGTATTCTAGATAAATCTAGATATACTATATGTATCTAAAGCACACGGAATACCCTAACAACAGTAAAGTCAGATACCATTGTCACAAATGGTGGACATAACCGTCGCTTCAACTCTTTATTCACTTGGTCCTCATTTCATGGGACTTTATCGTCGCTAATTCTGTGTGTGTATTAAGCTCTTTTGATGATGTTTTATATGAAATCCCAATTTCTATCAAATGGGGATGTGAATTGCTACAATATAGCGCCTTCAATATGATCAATGACAACGGAATCTGGATTTGAAATAATTTACAGAGACAACGGCATATGGTAATATGTGACAATGAACTATGGTGGATGTATTGCATTGGGACATAGGAAAATGACAACAGTAAATAGACACTTTATCTTTGTCTTTACATATAATATACCGTTGTCACCCCAGTTTTACATCACATTTGACCCACACCTACAGTTGTCATTTATACAGTATCCGCTGCCTGTGTCATATTTCAATCGGTAAAATTAAAGCCTTTATTTCGATGGTAGAACATATTTAACTAATGGTAAGTAGAAAAACACTTTGAATGATTGCTTTACCAATGGAATTTAATCTAGTCGCTCTATCAAACATACAGTTCATGAAAATCTAATTGAAGCGACGGTTACGTCCGCCATTTGTGACAACGGTATCTGACTTTACCGTTTTGAGGGTATCTGGTGTGTAAAGGACTCTGCCACATTTTATTAACATACCATAATCACTATTACATAATACTGGTGTAGGATGTATGTTGTAATAGAATATAAACATCTGCAACTTAATTAAAATTATTAAGTTATATAAGTATATAGATCAATAACATGCCATCAGTTGAGATACTTAACGAGAAATTTAATTAAATCATACTCAGAGATATATTCACCTCAAAAATATTTTAACAATATGATTATATCAGTTTATCATTTTTACTCATGTATAACATGGAAAATATCGGACCTGTTTGCCCTTGAAACCAGCTTTAAACATTTCTCATTTTATCTGGCCTTGTTCAAAAACTGGATACACCCTTATGTTTTGACTTGACATAAAGTTGAAACTTATTGCTTTTTTACCTAAATACCAACTCCACAGTACATTCACCTTACTGTAAAAGTGGATAGTGTACAGAATAGAACATCTTAAATAAAATTCCTTGACTCTAATTTGAAGGTTTATTTGATAATTGGGAATAGAATGTTTCAAAATATTTCAAAATATATATTATTAAAGTGGCCCCAGGTGAGCTTTTAAGGTTATCATATAAGTATTTATGTTGACATTTAATGTTTATTAATAAACTGTACCTTTGGCTTTAAGCCTTCAAATGTTTTTGTTTATGGTGAATTTGCTAAAAATAATGCTTCTTTTTGTATCTGTATATAAGCCTAGATGAAATTGTATATAAAATTTTTACTCACTTTTTTTCTCTTCCATATTTTTGTATAATGTATTAGGTACTGGTATTTATCAATATTTGCCTGCAGATGTTTTCCTAATAGAATGTCTGACCTTAAATGTAAGCAACTGACCTTTAAGTCAAAATGTTTCAATACAGGCACAGGGATCAATCATTTTGTTAAACACAGTTTATAGGGACCTGTTATTTTGCATTGATGAGATCTTTAAGCCCTCCTTTTGACTAATATATGATAATGAATATGTAGCCATTTATTCCCCTCCACTTGAGATTGATCAGTTGATTTATGAGGGGCATGATCAAGTTGTAAATAATGAGATTAGATACCTATAAAATAATTTGAGGTAAAACATTAACTAAAGCACGTCTTACAGTACACTTATCCAGTAAACAAGAGTAATACAATACTATAATACTATTTCCTTTCACGTCAGAATAATGGACCAGCCATTCACACAGCATTAAAACAAACACACCCCTTCTTCTCAGCCAATCAAGTGCAACGAGAACCAAAACGGGAACTCGGAATATTCTAAGAATACTGGAAATATGTTGTCATTTTCCATATTTTAGCATGATTGAAACAAATATGACATCAATGGATGTCATGTTTTTATGACTAATCAGTCATTTTAAAGTTTCCATATTGCCAAGAATTATAGACCCATCCATGGAATAAATAAGTACATGTATCAAACAGAGCTGTTTAGTTGCCAAAGTAGGTACATTTGTGAATGAATAAAGTTTGCACTTAGACCAATCAACAACTTAAACCTTGAGTTTCATATCCAAGTTGAGTTATGTATGTTATTTACTTGATAGTTTTACTACCTGTACTATTGAGAACGAGTTATCTCAATTATGGGCACGGCCAGACATCAGTCAGGCGAGGCAACAGCCTCACCAAAAAATTAAAGGGGCAACAAGGCCTGAGCTATCAAAAAAAATTAAAGGGGCAACAAAGCCTGAGCTATCAGGGCAACATTTGGCTTAACATCTTCTTTGACATACATATTTTCTTCAAATGTATGGATAATATCATTTTCAGAATTAAGAAGTGTAAATTCAGTTCAAAGGTTCTATAAAGGGAGTTCCATTTATAGATTTTTAAGACCCATATCAGCTTAAATAAAATCATCAAGGCGGTTTCTTTGTAGATAATAAAAAATATATGTTAGTCTTAGTCTTGATGAAATACCCAAACTTAAATATATTTTGACACTGGTTGATGAATGTTGAATGGCCCCTCTGCACTAATCGTTGCACCTTTAAATAAATACATGTATAGTTATTCAGGCATTTTCTTGACTATAACTGGAAATGAATTCCAAAGATAATAATTTACCTCCTATTCTGATTAGACTAATTTTGCCTCACCTATTCACATTTGCTGACAAATTTTTGATCCTGGCTACTCCCCTTTTTATACTCACAGAAATAACTTAATATAAATATAAAATAACTCACACAAAGCAAAGCAAAAACCCCAATCTTCAAAACTTATGTTGTTTGTAGTAATTATGTCTTATTTGCAAAATATTCAAAATTGTGTATTAATTGTAATATTTCCCTGCTGGCCTGATTATAAGGGTGCATGGATTTGCAGAAAACAAGGTTTATTATTAATTTCAATAAAAAAAACTCTTCCAGGGCCATACTGACCTAGACAATGTTTACAACAAAATATATTGAATAAGAAGTTAAAGATCACCAGCTTCAGACACTTAACTATGAATATATATTGAAGGTAGGCAACTAGACATAGTCATGCTTCAAAGTCAAATTGACAGGAACTTTGCAACAATATCTGTGTCAGAACTAAATATAAAATTGCACTCTATTACCCTATGCTGCCAGCATTGTAAGCCAATCTCGTTTATATAAAGATTTAATAATATAATCTCATTTTTATGGGGCGGCTAAGGTGTTTCTTTACATTCTCTGCCACCACTGAGGATCTCTCCTCCCCTTAACCTTCACTTACCTACCAAGATATATAGAGTCAAGTCTCAATATAATTTCTATTTTTGGAAGAGGTTATTTAGTGAGGCGGCTAGTGTCAAGCATTCTAGATAAAAGTAAAATTTTAATTGATTTTACATCATTAGACAACTCTGGTATATCTCCAAGCGATCATTCCGTGTTTTCACCAAAGTCTAACAAGGCCCCTGCAAGTGTCTTGATTGATATTACAGAGATAAACACATAGGCTTAACATTTCCTTTGTAACTTGTTATAATTTTGCTTTTATCCGGATGTGTAGAAATCATGGTTTATTTGACACTTTACAGAAAAAAAAGAAATCATCAAAGAAAGCTAAGCATAAGTGACATCTATACATAAGTTCCAGAGTTATATTTAGAAAATTAATTACAAATAGATGTTTTTTCAATTTTCTAAATGCCCCAGGCTCTAATTACAGAGAATACAGAATATTCATTTTATTAATCAAGCTAATAATGTATAAGTTTTAATAACATGTGGATCTGTCCATAATCCTATTTCCAAGGATGATACAGAAGCTAGTACTAAATTCAACCTCTGGTCACAATAAAAATATAACAGTTTTGAAACTGATAAGGTCTTGATGACACTCAAAAATAGCTGATTTGGGCTTTAATGGGAGTTGGAATATGAAATTAATCGCAACTTCTTACCAAGGCATAAAGACTGTATTTTGGACAACCTTACTCTGATTGGGTAGGCTCTATCAAAGGATTGTGTCTAACTCAAAAGAGTCATCTCTAACTCAGCGTGGAGATAAAGCAATCTTTGAGAAGTGAAATCATGCTATTGCAAATGATATCATGGAAGCAGTAGAACAATAGAATGAAATACTGAATTAATTCTTCTTCACTAGATCATAACCAGGATTAAATATTTGGTGAGGCAAATGTATCAGGTGAGGCAAATGTATCAGGCGAGGCAAAATTAGCTTAAGGGGGTACTTTTCTACTTTTGGACTTCATTTCCAGTTTAAGTTGATAAAAAAATCTGAATAAATATATTTCCATACAATTTTGGCAAAAAAAAGCATGTTACTGTGAATTCGGTCAATTTCAAATTTTGGGTGTCTGCCTTATACCCTGGGGTCAAATAACTGCGAGAGAATATACTAGAGAATACACTTCACAATTCTGATATGGAAACCTAAAAAATTGTGGTTGGCTTCAAATTCGTAAGACCTTCAAATCGAAAATAACAGAACACTGAATGTTAAATTACAAATAATGTATCAAAATAAAAATATATACAAAAATATCTCTTTGGCACGTCAAGTATACTGCATTACTCTTGGAATGTTTTAACAAGGCGTTAACATGCAAAATGTCACCACCTGCCATGTGTTAGACGCTGATCACCAAAGATCAAACACCATCCACATAAATGTTGGACACTATAATACAATGTCACCACTTGTGGTGGTGACATAAAAAGCTGTTTATCTCTATGCATTGCTCATTTTCTACAGCCAATCTTGACAGTCAACTGATTAACAGTCAGATAATTTTCAAAAAATCCTCCCGGATAACATGGCTGCATGTTGCCTTAATGACATGATGTAATCCTTTGCTATGTTCATGATGTAGCTATACTAGTAGCTGTAATTGTGACTGGTTGTATTGCATCAGAGGTTGCTATGCTGTGTCCACAAACAGGGCAGTTGTAAGCAGGGTCAGCCAGATAGTTACTCTACAATGAAATGTCATAATTTTTGCGACTTTGTCAACACACATAAATTTTCACATAAAAATTCAAATACCCTTTTATTCTGTATGTAAAAATCAGCACTCCACTTCAAGGGACCAGGAGGGACAGACACAAGTTGAGAAGCTACAATATATTTTACTCTTGCTCATCATTCCATGTCACGCGAAGGGATCATCCTTTTATTCAATTCTAATTAACATTTCTGCATCTCAAAATTTGAGCAGATATCTCGATTCTTCTTTCAGAAGTAAAATTATGATGTAAGGGAAATATCAATTGGCATGAATTTTGAAAAGATTGTTTCCAACATTTTACAATATGTGTCTCTACTAATTCCTTTAATCCGAGTAAGTTTGGAATGATGCAGGAAGAATTGTTTTACCTTGATGCACATGTAACAGAAGACATGCTGACATCCTATCTCATGTGGTATGGTTGGCCAATCCCCACATATAGCACATTCCTTGTAGTCAGCATTGCACCGTGATGAAGCAGAGCTCTTCATTTGGGAGGGTATTAAATGCTTCATAGCAAAATTCTTCAATTTTTGGAAGTTGATCAGAGGCAATATGAAGAAAAGAAATTCCTGAAAAAGATAAAAGATAATTTAATCATTCTCCAATACATATCATGTCAACAGTAGGAACACAATTTATAGTATAGGATGAAATAAAATTCTGTACAGAATGACTTGAGAATTCTGTACACACATAAAATTGTAACGTATGTTATGGGAAGTTGAACATTGTTGGTTCATCAGAATGTCAAGAATGAAAAGGCAAATTCTGGTAGAAATCTTGATGTCACCCAATTAAACCATCAAGATGATGTGAAGTACTACTCAGAGAACAGATTGTCAAAAGGTTGCATGCAATGAAAGAGGTAATTATGAGTTCAACCCTGACTTATCTTCTCTTGAATATACTTATTTGCGACATCTATATAGCTGTAAGTTAACAGTTTCGAAAAACGCTGTATTATAACAATTTCTACTTACAGCAAAGCCATGCCAGAGCAACTCCCTTGTAAGGAACTCAAAGCTAACCTGCAATAAAATCATATCATCTATTATTCTATTATTGTTCCAAATGGTGAATTCTTACGTTCAAATTTGACACCATTCTTCTGTTCAAGTCTACTGGTTGTGTAAGATACATATCATCATGATTTGAATATATTTTTGGTTTATGTTCAAGTCTATTGATTGTGTAAGTTTCACATAATTATGATTTGAAAATATTTTAGTGTTATTTAGGATGAGACTTACAGCCCTTAATTAATTAATTAATTGATTAAATATTGTCACATTGAAAATATATTGCTCCAGTACCTGTCTGTAGCTTTGATATCTTGGATACACACTTCTGATCCCAAGTAGTCTTTCAATAAGAAACTGGTAGGCACCATTTTGTAAGAACACCAGAAAATTGAGCAATGTTGCCACCTTCCATCCCTTTTCTAAATAGTCCAATATATGGGTAGCCTAAAAGTTGGACTTTATAATGTAGAAAAGTACAAGTAGATTTACTCAGACATAGATCTTTTACATACATGTATGCATTTATGCTGGACCTGGGAAAACAATGAATATTCTTCAGCAGGTCACATTCCTTTGTGTCTTTGTTTGTACTACAAAATTTTCTTAATACAGTAAAACCTGTCTATGTGGAACATCTTTGGTACCTCTAACGAAAAGTGTTTCATTCGGGATATGTTCTACTTATAGAATTTTCCACTAACAGAGGTGTTCCACTTTACAGGTTTCACAGTAAATCAATAATATTACAGATTCAGGTGGATGTTATATTACTATGAAGGCAAACAAATATATTGCAGAGGTATCATTGTATTTTGTTATATTTTATAGATGTCTCCACATGCTCGCTAGTAGAAGTAGGATTTCGTGGGTGTTTGACAAGGGGACAGCATCTTTTCCATTCAATCGAGGTTGGGCCATGCAGCCAAGGGAAGCCATACAACCGAAGGTTAGCCATACAACCGAATTTTGCCGATTCAATCTGACGGAGAATGCTGAGCCTCTCTTTTTGACAAATTAGAGACGTCTTCTTCACATTCGTGGTACCCTCGGATAACTTTGTTTGCAAAGAAAATCTTTTCTTGAGGTATCTTCGGTTGCAAGCCAAAAGTCGACACCCGTTTGACATGACAAATGACTGAGAAAATGGGAAATGATTCTCAGGATACACTCTCTTCTTTAAAATTGTCGTTTTAATTGAGCTCAAGAAACTAAACAGAAAAGTAACAGCGAACCTAACCCATTGTAAAATGCTAGAGCCTTCTGAATGCTTTGTGAACTTATATTCATGATTATTCACATATTGATGTAATTACCTTATCTGGCAGTTTAAGCCAATCAAATCGCTGGCCTATATCATGTGATCTGTCTTTCAGCCACTGTCCACCAATAAGAATCAAGGCAAGGAGGTATCTTTGGCGTTTAGAGATCCATGGCTTTGCAACATCAGATGACAGGACATTTTTATACTTTAGTTCAAGTATGCTTTGCCCAACTGTGGACCCCAATGCATCCACACTGAACTGAAAACACAAATTCAAATTTTGAAGGTATTTTTAATTGAGGGATGATTGGATATGGTTGATGTGGCTATTTTACGAGAAGCACATGGTTTCACCAACACTGACAATAATACTATACAAGCCATGAACATACAAATGTCACCACAGGCCATTTGTTAAAGATGCCGAATGCCAACTAACAACTGCCTAATGCAATATATGTGACACAGATAATATCCATTTTATATCTGAAAGAACTATTTTTCTTTCTTTTTTTGGATTATAATGAATTTTCAATGTTTGCATATTTTTGGTCATACTTGTATCATTTGATTTAGTCAAAGATTAAGGCGTTATGTTAACATCAAATAAACTTTTTAATCCCTCATTGGGCCAATACAATATAGACCTTCAAAATATTTTTAATACTGTATTATTTTGCAATATTATGTTTTCATCTCCTTTCTAACGGATAAATACGTATTGAAATGAACGTCATGGGCAGCTTTTCAATGGTAAACAAATGGATAATATCAACAATTTGAATGTTATGATTTATAAGATTAAAGTGATCTTATTTCACATGTTAGCTTTTGTAGATGATTAAACGGCATTTATTCATTTTCAAAGTGCCAAGAATCGGTGATCTTGTAACAAAGGAACAGTTGAAAATCTGTTTGATCCACATAATAAGGGGAGGCATCAAAAGTTCAATGTCTGATAGGAAACTAAATAAATCTAGTTTTGAGTTGGACCCCCCCCCCTCCCCCTCAAAACTAAATACAATGAAAGTTGATCGCATACTTTTCACATGTTTTAGCGACTCAATTTGGACTTTCATGGGGCCAGTACTATAACTTATTCATGATTCTTAAAACATGTGCCAACAACAATAGGCATAATATTCCATGTTGTATGCATCTTGGTGAAGAAGGCATCTGGTAAAGTCTTTATTTTTAAACCATTCCAAGGCATTTCGAGTCGAAATTGCGAAAAATTTAAATGTTGAAATTTGTCGGATAGCAAACTGAAATAGCTTTGACCCCCTCCCCCCAAACTAGATTTATTTAGTTTTCTATCAGACATTGATCTTTTGATGCCTCCCCTAAGGATAATGTGTTATTCTTCAAATTTAAACACCTAGACCAGATTATGTGAGAGAACTAATTCTCTATTTTATTTAACAAGATATTTTTTGCTCAACTCGTTATTGTTTCTCCTCTACATGGTCTCATGGGGGGAGCATTTGTTCAAGTAATTTTGGGCCAAATTTGTCAAATGTGAACCCCTGGAATTTCTTGAAAAGTGACCCACCACTGGCAATAGCTGGCTAGGGACCTGGGTCAACCTGGCTGATATCCATATTTTAGGCTCCATTAGTGAAACATCAACTGGATAAAGATGCTTCAATGGAATGTCCCAAAGGAGATTTACAAACACATGTTAAGGGAGTTATAAAATCTCAATTATATCACAAAATGGTGTTAAAGCTGTTTTAAATTCCCTAAGGCAATTGACTGAGTTGTTATTTCAAATATCACTTGTAATTATGGATTATATCTGAACTATACATTCTGTAATGAAAAGTTTGTTGATAATAGCCTCTTAATTTTGTATGCTACAATGTACATGCATAATGCTAAGCAAGGGAGTGAAAATTGTTGCAATGAAAATTATGTCAATGATTTAAAGACATCATGATCCGAAGTGACCAAGCAGATAATAATTTTTTAAACTAATTTATAGAACCATACATATGTCTAGACAATTCATATATTTTTGTTATGTATTACAAATTAATATTGCTTGATTTTATGTTGCACAAATTTTAGACAAATAATGACTATGAACCAGAAAATACAATGAAAGGCCATGCTTCAAATATGAACATTATACCATTCGCAATTGTTTGACTTTGCTTCAGGCGCAACATTTCCCACATATCCAACCTACAGCTAATAGTCACAGAGCTCAAAATTTTAAGATGGAATAACAAAAAATTACTTTTCTATAGATGATCTCAAGAATTTTGCGATCAATATATAATGGGAAACTAAAAGGTGTTAAACTATTTTAAATTGTGGTTCAGTAAATTGTATAAACAACTTAAGCTGGTTCTATAGTTAATCCAACACTGGTCTATTGATGAAATATAAAAATTGGGCAATAATCGTCTTGCCTAATCTAAAAACAGATTTTCTACACCATTTAACCCTGAACTCTTTAACCACAGGATAAAATCATAACCACCATAATTTCGATTTAATTAGGTGAAAATGCTTCCCTTCTTCTAATACAATATTCTTTTCCAAATTCTGTTTTTTAATTCTAAGCAGTGTGCTACAAATATTCAAGAGCTTTCAAGAATGTTAATGGTCTGATATAGATGGATTAACATCACACCAGTGGTCCATGATTTCTCCTCGTTGGACTCCAATATAAACATATACAATAAATAGATTGAAATTGATTCCTTTATTACCTTACGGGTCTTTATTGATAGTTGATACTTTCATACAATTATGTATGAGTTTAAATGTCTAAGTACCCTCTGAACTCCTTTCACTATTGATGTAATTTATAGATTATTAAACTAATAGCCATTTTCAAACTTGAATTCATTCAGAAAATCAGCTTATAAATACCCTTTGCAAAAATGTTTGACTTCAAAACTCTTAAAGAGGGCTTCATCTTTACTGTTCAATGAGAAATAAGCCTTTGATCTACCCCTTCGAATCAGATGACTTAGAATGTGTCGCATCTGACTGGTTAATCACTAAACAAACTGTCATCTTTTTATTAAAATATTGACTTCTTTTCATATTTTAACTCATTCAACTGTCAAGTCAGATCTAAAGCTACGAAGTATGAGAACAAGATTCGAGAGGGTAGTTTATTTATGTTAGCCCATGGGTCTCAGGGTAGCTTTTCAACTGTTCTCCTGATTGAGGCTCCCAAAGGTTTATTTGGACTTCATTACAAATACATCATTAGGTCCCTAAATATTAAAACAATTTTCAATTAAAAAAGAAAAGAAAAATTATGCTCTCAGTTTATATTAGAAAAAGTATAGCTTTATAGATAAATCTAAATTCTAAGATCAATAAATAATATTTGAAATATGTCAACCTAAACTTAATCCTGAAAATCACTCCCCACCATTTGTGACTTTTGGAGCCCCAAGGCTTAATGCGATTGTTACATGTGATTTCTGTGTGTAGAGCCGTGGCAAGTTGAGCTAAGGCTGTGTGGAGTATGGACAACACAGGCGAAGGTGGATTTTCTGATCTCTCTGCATTAAACAACTATCAGGTAAGAATAATTACTTGTTTTATTTAGTTTTGCAATACATTTTGTGTGGTTCTTTAAGAAACAAAAAAATTGTGTAAAATTTACTTCAGAAACAAGTTTTGCCAATAAAAACAGGAAATCGCAAGTCTGAAGTCAGAAAAGGAGCCTGGAAGATCACATTGGGTGAATTACTTGATCCTTAGCATTTTTGTGCAATTGTAGCTGAGTTAAAGAGAGTTTTAAAAGAAAATGAAGTTCATTTTGTGTGGCTTTCTACCTTGCGGCTCACAAAAAAACTCAAAATAAGACACATCTTTTACATTTTGAGAAAATAACACCAAAGCAACAACATGGAATGCAGAGGTTTTGCAAAATATTTTTCCACACAGATTCAAGCATTCTGCTATGTATAAAATGAACATGTTTCAACTTTAGCATGTTTTCATGAGGACTTTGCAGGACTTCGTTTCAGTCATTTTTTTATTTAAAACATGAACATGGCATATAAAATGCTAGAGGAAAATACTCAACTGTATGACCCCTGTGTAGATTACCTTTTCAAAGGGTCAGATAAGTTCCAGGGCATTATTTTTCTACAAGTAATTACATGATTAAATAAGATGGTTCTGTTGATATGTTGAACTGCCATTATTGTACTCTATTTGATGAGGGTGAAAAACCATACAATCTGATATAATGTTGCTTAATATTAACAATTGGCCTATTCAGTCCAAAGCATTCAGTGTATAATATGTACAATTTTACTTTACAATGAAGTTTTGTACTCTTTTGAAAATAATGTCAACAATGCTTTTTTATAAGCAAACAACTAAAATTTCATATATGGTAAAACTGAAACCATGGGCACTGGGCACATACATGTGATTGCGGTGACCTCAAAAGGCTAAACACGTTTTACATGTGGCCAAATGGAGCAATCAATAGTCCAGCCTTTATTTTTGAAATGCTGATAAAAAGACCCTTGAATTTAGTTGAAGGATAGATGGACTGATACTTTGTGAGTGATTATAATATCGTATCAGAATTACAAAATTTCACAACTAGCTTTTACTAGGGGCAACACTATCTTTGAATTAACAACGGAAATAATAAGTTACCTTCCAAATAGCTAGTCTCAATGCTGCATTAAGTTCTGGTTCAATCTTGGTAAGGACACCCGGCTGAAAATGAAATCACAGAAGAATTAAAAGATACGACCAGATATCCAGAAGTTGATACCTTCTTACATCTATTATAATTGAAATTAATCCGATTGATTAGCACTTTTGCTAAAATCACAATGATGAGGAATTTGAAAAAATAAAAAATGGCTGCCAAAACTCAAAAAGTTCATCAACTCGAGAACATGATATAAATGTATCATCTAACATCTATACAGAAAGACATTAATAACAGATATTTCTTGAATTGCAATAATATATTCAACAAGATGCTGAAAAGGTGAGATAAAAGGATTCTAAATGGCCAACAGCCACACTAAAACTCTAATCAGCTCTAGAAGCTGATATGCATCAAACATCTGCAAGATTTCGAATAAGGGAAAAGTTACATGTTCCAAGAATCACATTATTGTATAAGACATGCAATGTATATCAGGTAATGCAATGTATTCCAGTATCTCAGTTGCAGAAATTATCAAAATAAAGCTACATATATGTATATGCATATTTGAAACAAACAAATGGTAATTACATACCTTGAAATACTTAAATATGTTATTCAATTGTGATTTCATTAAGCTAAGAACTTCATGGTCCAGCTCTGAGGCATCTAACTGAAAACAGATGGGAATGTTTCAAAACAAAAATTGACATCAAGTACAATACTCCATCATGAGATATCATGGCCTTCTAATACCCTTTGCATTCGTTTGACTTCACTTCTTAAAAGAGAGCTTCGTCTTCACTCTTTCAAACTAAAATAAACCTGTGAACTCACCGCGCCAATCAGTGTTCGTCGGCCAAATTTGACCGACGTTCTTTATATGGTCATTCCTTCTGACGTCATCGTTGAGCCCGGAATTAACCAATGACATGCGCATATTTAATTAGAACGCATTTGGCGTATGTTTTCAAGCTCGCTGATTGGTGTAAGGTCAGCGCGTAGGTCAAAAGTGATTTACCTAAACTGTCACCGGTACAAGGCGGTACCCGTCGTGGGGGCGGGGCTACTAAACTGTAATATGGTCTCTACTAGGCAGAGTGTAGTTTAACTAGACTCTGCACGCAGGGTAGCCTTCTAATAGCTTCACACTAGTATTTCTGGTTGAAGACAGAAAAATGTGATGAGTATCAGAATGACAATACTCTCTCTCTTCAATCATTGAACAGATATCTTTATACTGGGAATAGTCTTGTAACTAAAAGTTCCCTCTTCTCAACGACCAACAAGCTTCAAAACATTGGTTTAGGTTACCTAGCCATTTATAATTTTTTTTAGCAACCCCCTCTCCCTATGGCCCTGCACTCCTAAGCACTTATTATAAAAACCGAACAACAATTGATGGAGAATACCCCTACGGATAACTCAGTAATCAAAATTTGAACTCAAATTCATGAGAAATGTGTCATTCATACTCTAAAATGAAGCTGCATACAATGAAATACAAGTGAGTATATATCACGGCATATCTTTCTTAACGATATTGGAAACTAAGGGCTTTCAAACCACCATAATTTGGAAATTGTAATAGAAAATCGACTACTCATTTATTTATCGTATAAACTGAAAGTATAACGTTATGCATTTAGAAACATCTGCAACATTTCATTAGATATGATAAATCAAAGTAGACCATTTTATCCAGTGTTTGAGAAGTGTTGGTTCGGTATTTCGACAGGAAATCTTCTGCGCGACAGTTTACGCAAATTAAATAAGTTGCATGAGCTTTCAACGGTAATTGAAAGCCCATGGTTTAGGGATGAGACATCCTGGGGATGAAATGTCTAAGGGTTGAAAAGTATTGGCATGAAATGTCCAAAAATTAAAAAATGACAAATGAGAAAGATGGTGGTAGAGCCCATGGTCACCCCTAGGTTAACGTTGTTAGAGTCAGTACGTCTATTTCCAAACACCCCCATCAAAAAATGTAGTTAGCTTGGCTGTACTGCACATCTATGCTATGATTCTATATATATTATATGTATTATCCACTGTAGAATGCATTTGCAGTAAAAATTACGAAAAATTGTAAAAAATTGTAAAAAATATCTGGGTTGTTCAATTTTTACTACAAGGTATTTTAGGGGGGTAATTCCGAACAGGAGCTTTTTTGGGGGGTAAATCCGAACACTTGCATGGGGGTAATTCCAAACACTTAACTTAAACTTAATTGTTTTAATTATTAGATTGATGGTATATCATTATATGATACCCTTAACTTATGATACTGGATCCTGTCACCCCTGCATATCAAGAAACCCAAATTTAAATCATTTATTACTGACATCTATTTATTTAAACGCACAGAGTTTGTGGGGGTAATTCCAAACACTAGCATGGGGGTAATTCCGAACACCTAAATCATCATAATTGATTATTTTATTGTAAGATTGTTGGTATACATCATTATATTGTATCTTTGAGGCTATAAATATTATGTAGAGGTAGTAGAAGTACTATTATTCAATTCAATGATCTGCTTGCCATTATTTGGAACCCGTTCGTGTTTACCCCCTGTTTGGATTTGGACGTATTGACTCTTAACTCAATAACGCCGTTCTTTACTATTAGGAATTTTCTTGGCCGTTATTTCTTGCTGGGGCCATAAGACATGTCAGATAAGAAACGAGGGCCAGGCTAAGTCTAATGTTGTAGGACTAAGTCACCCCCTACCAGGCCTATTCCAAATAAGCAATGCACTTTTGATTGAGGCTTTACTTTTTCGAGACCCTATCTGTTGCAAGACTAACGCCTGGCGTAACCGTCACCATGTTATTCAGTGTTTTTTAAGTAGCGCAAGGATCCTGCCATGACCGTGGTTATGTTATCGTGAAAGCCTGGTATAACCGCGACAATGCTGTATTCACGCGGTAGTATCTCTTCGGGACGTATCGAAACCACTCCGTCCCGAAAAACCGTTAATTTGAATTTAAAACCTACCCCAGTGTTTGAAAATCAAGGATTGTGAGTCTCACACTTCACCGTTTTTCTTCAAACTTGTTCCGTACAAAGCTTCACAGAAATACCTTTCAGTCGATACATTGTTTTCGTGTACAAAGTACCTCGTTTTAGCGGCGTTTTGGTCCCCAGCTGCGAGATAAAGCAAATTTTCATAACTTTCAACTGTAAGTCAAGTTATCTCGCCAGTCTTTTACCCATTCTCGCTCATAATTTCAGAATGGACTCCCATTACAACCTTCCATCGCTACGTTTTGATTTTTGGGCATCAAACGCAGCAGTTTCTAAATCATCCACACATCTCTTAGAATTTGACTAATACGTCCCGTCACCTTCCACTACGCCCCGCCGAGTCTATGACTACAAACGTAGAGTTGTATTCTAAAACATTTTGTTCATTGTTGTGTAATTTTACATAGGTTTGCCTTGGTCGATTCTTAACACCAGTCTTAAGTTTAGCATACATACGGAGTATAACTATAACTGATTGCATGAAATTGATAATTTAAATGTTTGTGAAGATGTTGCTTTTTAACTTTAATTATATGCAATTGTCCTGTATTTGATTTTGTGAGGTATTCCCAATACCTCCAAATTTTCTTGATGTTTTTCCTCAATTACAATAGATCGGAAATGGATGATAAATCTGATGAATTTTTGAAAATCGAAATTCCCATGTAAACCCATGAGAATTGATATGTTTGTCGCATGTCATACGACAGAATATCCATCAATCTGAGTACTAGCAAAAAGTACAAGTTAGGTACAGTAGACAGCTGAATTTGCTATCTTTATTTAACAAAAAGTTGATACGTTTCTTCAGGTTCAACAAAGTTATAGGTTAGGGTTGTCCAAATCTGCAAAATTTTCCAAAAATCTGTCATCTGATAGATTCTAGTTACAAATTGACTCTTGGTACAAATATTTCCACTCTAGACCCCTGGGAAATTTTGCCACGCGTCTCACTTGAAGTTTTGGTAATTTGACAAATATGCCGTTTTCATAAATGGTTTATAACTCAAAATTAAACTGTTGTATTTCAGGAATATGTATTTTTTCTTCATCATGTATGATTTTCAATAACCCTACAGGCACCTTTTTTTTAGCTAAATCCATCGGGAAACTTTGCCACGCTTAATTTCAAAATAACGGAGATGTTATCAAAATTGAGCAATATTGGCACAAAAACGTTTCTAGATTCATATAAAGAATGCATCATCATACAACACTAATTGGTATATAAACAACATCTACTGACTTGGTCTGATAATGTAATATAAAGATTTTAACTGTTGTATGTCAACCTTTCTTCTGTATGATTCCATTGGATTACATTATGAAACGTGCACCATATAAAATGATACATGTTTCTAACGTTATGCTGAAAATAATATAATTGAAGTCACCCATTCTTTCGCATTTTAACATTTTTTCAAGGATATGGCACTTTAAACGTTTCTTAAAAATATTTTCAATTGTTCAGTAATTAAAATCTTTAAATTGCAATATCGGGAAATCTAAATTTTAGGGAGATTTTGGACCACCCTATTATAGGTATATTGAAAATGGACAAGAAAGGGTAAATCTTAAAACACAATCCGATTGGTATTTAGAATCGACAATGGCAACCTACAAACGGACACATCAATGGACAAATTGTTTTAGAATGCAACTCTACGTGTATAGTAATAGACTCGGCGGGGCGTAGTGGAAGATGACGGGACGTATTGGTCAAATTTGAAGAGATGTGTGGATGATTTAGAAACTGCTGCGTTTGATGCCCAAAAATCAAGACGTAGCGATGGAAGGTTGTAATGGGAGTCCATTCTGAAATTATGGGCGAGAATGGGTAAAAGACTGGCGAGATAACTTGACTTACAGTTGAAAGTTATGAAAATTTGCTTTATCTCAAAGCTGGGGACCAAAACACCGCTAAAACGAGGTACTTTGTATACGAAAACAATGTATCGACTGAAAGGTATTTCTGTAAAGCTTTGTACGGAACAAGTTTGAAGAAAAACGGTGAAGTGTGAGACTCACAATCCTTTATTTTCAAACACTGGGGTAGGTTTTAAATTCAAACTAACGGTTTTTCGGGACGGAGTGGTTTCGATACGTCCCGAAGAGATACTACCGCGTGGTATTATATTGCAATGCCTGCCATGACCGTGACAATGTAATATAGTTCTGCAAGGCTTGATATGACCGTAACAATGTAATATAGTACTGCAAGGCCTGGCATGACCGTGACAATGTAAAATAGTATTGCAAGTTCAGGTTTTGAGAGTGGTAATGTAGAAATTTACGATTAGTATTGCAAGGCTTGGTATGACCGCCATGGCAATGTGATATAGTATTCCAAGTTCGGGTATGAGAGTGGTAATGTAGAAATTTATGATTGCTATAATTGGCCGTGACAATGTGTATTTGAAAACCTGGCATGACCATGACAATGTATTATGGGATCGCAAAGCCTGGTATGACCCCCGGGGTATGACCGTGACAATGTAATGTAGTATTGCAAGGCCAGGTATGAGGGTGGTTAGTAGAGATTTAGGCTAGCTTAGTTCTACTATGACCGTTATAATGTATTGCAATGACAAGTAAATATGTATGACATTAATGCCAGGAATATCCTTAACAATTTTAAGTGATCCTCATTACATTTAAACAGTTTAATACTATGATCATGGTGTTTAACTACCTTAATCATGTCAAAATCAAAATTACTACTTTATGTTTCCCATTATGGTGTCTAACAACCTCTAGAACTACCTTTATGCGCCATAGAGGAGTCGCTCTTTCACTTCTAGGACTCTAGGGAGGCAAACAGCTCTGAATATCTTAATTAACCACAGATGGCAGAATCTTTCCCCAGAAATACTTTTCTTTAGGATGTATCCTAAGAAAAACTCCGCCATCTGTGTCATGAACCCACCTAGGATTTTACCTTTCCTGCTTTTTAAGTTTGTTTCATGTAGTCTGACACAAAGAGCTGTTAGACCTACTCAAAACTGAATACCTCCCCCTAACCTATGTTGGATTAGTATCATTCTCTTGAACGGACTTGTTCTATTTGTGGGAGGCAAATGATGCCCCCTCCCTAAACCCTAATAATAACCAATGGATGGCGGTGGGGGTGGTGGTGGTAATTTTTCATCTAATTCCAAACTAAAACAACCCAAAACAATTAACATCAGGTCCAACTGACCCTTAACTTAACTAATCGCTTACCTTCTTGTTGTTTGTATCTAATATTTTATTTACCTTAATGTATTGTACATTATTGTAATTGTTAATCGTTGTAATTTTTTATTTCTTTCTTTCTTTCTTTTAAACCTATTATCACTTCATGATAGTATGTAGTTAAACTGTGTATGTACTGAAAACTTTTATCATTTGACCTATTTATTTATTTTTATGTATTAATTTATTATTATTATTTTACTTATTTATTGATTTTATTTTATTTTATTTTTACCGCTAACCTTTAATGCTGTAATACAAAGAATTGGTAACTAAATACCCAGTAATAACTGATTACATAAGCATACCTTCTTACTTCGCTACCAATCTACCTCAAAACCAGCCGTCTTATGGGTATTTACCCGTGACTTAGGCACGTCTACTTCCCTTCCTTGCTTTGCTTGATACACCATATTGTTATAGGTGAAATAAAATGATGTTATTAATATTTATTACTTACTTGTCTAACTATGCATGGCCCGTCCTATGCCTAGAAACAGGCCATCCATGACACTGTCTCTGTAAACTCTCATGAAAGAGTGTTTGAAATGCACCCCGTCCGCGAGTTTCTCGGCAATGGACTGCTCCACTCCTCTTGTTCGATAATATATTATGTTGTCAGTTGATTTTGAATTCAATAAAACGTTTACCCTATCAGTAACTAGGTTATGTCTTCTGGCATGTTGTTCTGTTTGGATCCCTTTCGGGTATTTCATAGAGGGTGTGCGGTGAATGAGTTTTCCTACTAGCACCTTACCATTTGGTCCCATATGTTTGGCGCATTCTGTAGCAAGGGACCATAGCCTCTCCGCTATCTCCTGGCTGATATCTTCCAGGTTGCCCTGCATATCAGCCGTTTTATTGCTAATGTCATTTCCGCCACCCTGGATGAAACAACTTACAAATCCTTGACCTACTACTGGTTCCCTGGCTTTAACCTTTGATTTTAAATGTTCTATGGTCCCTCCGCTGCGCTCAGTGTAAACTTCATCAAATCCCGGGGAATTTTTAAAGTCCCAAGGGTTGTCATCCACGTAGCTCCTCAATCTTGTGATGTGGGAGGTACCCACAATCCACACACGCACAGCCATACAACTGAAAGGAGAATATCCTTGATCAGTATATTCTCACCAGGACTAAATGGGTCTTACTAACCTTATCAATAAACTTTCCCAGTTGCCAAGTGCTTTTTCGTTCATTGACTGCAGATTAATCCAAAAATTCTTACCTACTAATGTTGTTTGCAATAATCTCCATCTACCTCTGTACAAAATCCTTTATTTATTTATTCTCATAATATATTTTTATTTTAATTTGATACCTATTTGTTTATTTCAATTTTATTTATGTACTTTCATGTATTTAAGCATTTTTACTTTATTTTTATTTTATTTATTTTTTATTTTTAGGTTTTCTGCTTCTACTTACTTCTGGGGCCACTATGCCCAGGCCTTGTTGACCCTTTTTTGGCGCCTTAACACCATCATATTGAAGTGGCTACTGCCAACTTCCCTAACTAACTTCCTATTATCAATAACCGTTTCCATACTGGCCCCCTTAAACTGTGCCCTACCTACTACCTAGAGCCGGCATGGGAACGTCATTGAATATCTTAAAGTTACATGAATATCACATTGAATCTCCATGACTTACTTCCTAGCTTCCTATTAACAATGACACCAACCACACTGGCCCCTTTATGTTTTTTCAGTTGTCAGTATGTTGATGTCACTGAATTTTTTATTGTTTTTTCCATGAATGTCACTTTGAATCTTCATGAATTTTCCTACCTAGCCTCCTTTTTAAAATGGCATCACCCCTACTGGTCGCCTGTATGATGCTGAAGAAGGGAAAGCCTAAACACTACCCACGTGTAAATTTCTAATTCCTGCAGGTCTAGGCCAAAATGCCTGATGATGCCACTGGATTTTTTCCATGAATATTTCTCCATGAATTTTTCATCTAATTCCAAACTAAAACAACCCAAAACAATTAACATCAGGTCCAACTGACCCTTAACTTAACTAATCGCTTACCTTCTTGTTGTTTGTATCTAATAAAACAACATAAAAACCTAAACTCTGCTGATAAAATATGGATAACCACTCTTAGATTTGGCGGGCTGTCAGAAAGGAAGTCCAACATCAAGCGCCATCTGGTGTCACTACGTCACTTCCGTAATGGAACCAAACACTGCAACGAATCTAAGAAAATCGCTTATTAACAAAGTCTTCAGACCCGCAAAGCATATGTTTCTACTTTCAGGTGAGCTCAGCTTCTCTACGTTTCTTATTGGATCAGAACGACCCCATCAATGACACATAAAGCATTCTATTACATAGAATTAATATACATATTAATATTCACATTCGCTTATAAACCACAATAAAGGCTACGGTCGCGCCAGGCTTCCACGATAACACTTCCAGGGTCATGACAGGCCTTGCAATAGAATACAGCATTGTCACGGTTATACCAGCCTGTCACGGTTATACCAGGCTTACACGATAACACTACCACGGTCATGGCAGGATCCTTGCGCTACTTAAAAAACACTGATTAACATGGTGACGGTTGTGGCAGGCGTAAGTCTTGCAATAGATAGCATGTGACTTTTTCTTGAGTCCCCGGGATTTTGTATTGATGGAGGTTTACTAATAGGATTTAGATACATATTTACAGCTTAGGATAGGGTAGATAACACAATAATACTCTCTGAACAATATTCGTAACATATGAAACAAACGGGTGGTATTAATTACCTGACTGACTCGAAGAGCTACCTGATGTCTTTCCATGGACATTTTTCTAAATTTTACTGAGTCTGTTTGAAAGAGGAAGTTTGATTGGTCAAAGTTCAATTAGTAGCGTTTGGACCAATCAAATTCTTTCTCTTATAACACCGCGGAAATTTGAATCGAAAGTCAAAATATTGGTAAGTTATTAAGTTTTTTGCTATATTAGAAGAAGGTAAATGTCATTTCCAGCATTAATATTTTTTCGATAGATATTATATTAGTTTTAATGCCAAATCTATGTTAGAATAGCTCTTATTCAATTGAAAATAGACGGTATACTCTATTATCGCCCAAATTGAAATTTTTTTTCAAAGAAAATAATTTGTAGAGTCTCATGGAGGATTGGTATCCAGGATTCCAACTCGATATTTTTAATCTCCAAGCATTGTGTTCACTGCGTTCGTGCCTACATATATTACGCATGCAAGGGGAATGGCTGATTCTAGCAAACTGAGCGACCGACGAAGAAGGGGGGAGGGGGGGCAATGAAAATAAAATGTTGTATGTGACTGTCTGACATTTTAACATATTAACAGCAATTCCAAAATATTTGAACTAATATCCTGATCACTTCGTGTTAGTTTTGAATTTTTTTGTTTGGAAATGAGACTAAAACCTTGCTATTCAAATTTTACAGTGATAAAATGGCGGCTTTTTGATTTTAAATTTTGTAATTACGACATGACTCCATATAAGGTCCTAATTATTGCATGGTCCTAATTATCGCACGATTTCCTATATAGATAAAATATGTACCTGCTCTTTTAATCTTGTGTTACGAACACCAGCTAACATCATTCCCCCAGGCATCATTCCTTCCAAATATTTCTTCAATTTATAGAAATTGTTTCCTTCTACTATTGTCATAAATGCAATTGCGCAAGAAGTTAAATTCGTCTGACAAAGTTTGACCCCCTCCAATTAAAGACAGAAAAGTAAGAGAATCATATGTATATTTTGTTGATATTTAACACTTAAAGTAACTGATAGAAAAATTATTTTAGTGTAATGCATGTATCCATTTTAAACAGTGAAATGGTACCATGAAATGACAATTGAAACACAACTGTGCGAACATATGGACAACTAGTGTGATACCTGTCTAAGGGATGTTATTGTTTGAAGATTGAAAATTGTAGAAGAAAGGTTGATCTTTCATGTTATACCCTCGGAGTAAGTTGAAGTTTATCATATTTTAAATTGTCTGTAGTTTACCAGAGTACCCATGCAATGATTTCTTGTATGGCAGAATATCGAAATTGCACTCAAGGCATTTGTCAGGGTAAGATTTGCAAGGCAAGCGATGGATTTTCGAGGTACAAATAGGGCAATCAAGATCTACATAGAATGTACCAAATATTGCTTTTACAATTAAATTCAAATTAATAGGAAGGACACGCTTTACACAAACTCAACATACCAAATAACTTGAAATAATGATTCAACACTTTCTTCTAACAATTGCAACTGTCATCCATGGGATGTTCATTTACTCAAATTATTAATATTATAGGCTTGGTTGTACCAAGGTACATCTTAAAATAATTCTGCTGTGCTTTCTGAGAAGCATTTAATACCTCAAAATTATTTCATTGAACCAAATATGATTAAAACATAAATACAATTGTATAACAGGCACAAGTGAACAAGACAAGGAGGCAACAACAGCTTTCTTAAAAATCCATTTATGTTGGAAAGTCAAACAAAAATTTGAATTATTTTTGAAAGAGGTAAATTTTTTATTCTTTAATTGTCTAAATTGAATCTGGGATTGCCTGCTCATCCCCCACTCACATCCACCAGAAATTTGACCAATTTTTATGCAGGCCTGCCAGTGGCCTGGGTGTGAGGGGTTTGAGCCCGCAGGGGGGGGGGAGGTATTCCCATATATTGGCTATATGGGGATGTGATGCTTAAGTGGGTCACCTTTTCACTGAAAAATCCCTAAATGTGGATCCCATTTTGAAGAAAAAAAACCAAAAATTGGTCCCTATTTGAAATTCCTAAAACTGGATATTGTTAGAACTGTAGAAATGGGACTGTTTTTAAAAATTACCTTGATATGGGTCTGTTTTTTTAATAAAAACACTAAATATTGGTGTGGATAAATACTTTGAATCTCAGCGGCAACACTCTGTACAAAAAGTTGACCTGTGCCCCCCCCAACCCCTCAGGGGTTTGAGCCCCCCCCCCTTGCCAAAAGTTATTTTAAAACATGCAGTTTTTCACCATTCTGAGCACTTTGTCTCATGTGGAGCCTCCTGGATTTTTTTGAAAGTGAACCCCTTTGGCAAAAGCTGGCTATGGGCCTGATCTGTTAAATCAAAACCAGGATCCCTCTCTATTGAAAAGTCCCTTACAAATGCAATTAATCAATCACTCATGCAATATGATCATTGAATAAATACAAACACTCTCTGTCAATGCAAATGTTAATTTTGAAATGTGTAACTTGACAGTTTTGCAACTCACAGCTGCTTGACTGCCAATATTGCAACAACCACTTTATACTTATGGGCTTATGGCAATTATCTCAGAAAATTGGTTAGAATATTTGGGAATGATCTGCACAAGTAAAGGGATGTCTGTGAAACTGATTTACTTCCAGAAAATACCAAAAGATGTCTCTTGATTTGTGAATTAAACACTGGACTCTTGGACTCTAGCACTTTCAATTTATTTTTACTATGATATTTACTATTGGAAGGTAACTAGGCAACTTAGACGCTTATCTCTGCTGGTGGTCGCGTGGGTCCGCCTCCTGGCCTACTTAATATGCACACAGTGACCTGAAAGGGTTTACCTGAAATATCATTTACGACTCTATTATTTGCCATTCATCCTGGTTCATGAGTAGAACAACGTATTTGAAACTATTGGTTGAATTAAATGCTTATTGTTGATTGCACTCAACTGACACGAACTTATTCCTATGTTGTAATATTTACAATTAATATTTTTGTAACTGAGTTTTCGCACCTGTCCGGAAACAGAAGGTGTATCACTGCCATCTTGGATTTTGCTCAGTTGAAGTGTGAAAACTGCTCCTAAGTACTGCCAAGTTTGTGCAAGTAGCAGGGCATATCACACCTTGAACTTTTGTACAGAGCAACTCGAATGTTTCATACACCTCTTGGCAAAGATCAGATGGTTATGCAGTTTTAGGCCTGGAGAAATCTTAGTTAGAAATTGAGAAAGAAATTCTCAGTTCTAAATGTCTTATATGGATGATTACCCTAAAGATCAAAGGCTAGAAAAAGTAATACAGGTAAGCAGAACTCATGACATTTTAGGGTTTATACTCAGAGGCAATTTTGCTGAATAACTTGATAAAGGAATTGCATATGAATTCTGTTGAGATATATAGTTTATAAGTGATCTGAAAAAATGAGGAAGTACAGTTTAGTTGTCAACAATAGAGTAGAACTTGAATGATCAACTGGTCTTCAATTACTACCTGCGAAAGCTAGTTGGATTTTGATATAATAGCTTTCCCACGGAGCATTTGGACAGCTCAATGATCGTGACCTTTGAAATCGAATTAAGTCGATCCGCGGCTTACTTTTGGTCTCTAACTGTGTCTTACATCAGTATCATCAATCCGTGTAAGTATTGGAGCGCTGGAGTACTTCTTTTTCGATCAAGACTTGTAATTGTTAGTCGAGTGAATCGTTTTACTGCCAAATTCCAATATGGCGGTTTCTGCTCGGACATCTCCGGAGGTTGTCCGAACCTAACTAATTCTCAAAATTCATTTCGTTCGTTGCGTATCTCGCACCTAGCAAACCGCCATATTGGAAATAGGTCTGTAAAACTTTAACTCGATGAACAATTTACAAGTCTTGATCGAAAAAGAAGTACTCCAGCGCTCCAATACTTACACGGATTGATAATACTGATGTAAGACACAGTTAGAGACCAAAAGTAAGCCGCGGATCGACTTAATTCGATTTCAAAGGTCACTATTGATCAGCTGTTCACTTCTCCGTTTGAGAGCCATAAGTTTCAAAATCTAACATGGCTCTCGAAGTGAGTAAGTCTTCAACATCTTGGTTTTGGGTAAGATTCTGAGATTAACAATATAATGTAAAATGCATTGTAACTTGTAAACTAGGTTAGAGACTCACGTAAGGTTTACGACTCTCAATGTAAGATTATATTCAGGAACTATTGAAAGCCCATGGTTTATTGAAAGCCCATGGTTTATGTCATCACAGTTTTACATGTCACAAACACTGAGACAGTGCTTCAAGTATAATACAACATGTAATTTGTATCGGGCAGCTGATGTATTAGATCATGGACATGAAGAAATTCTTTGGGACATCTACTGGGAACTCTCTTTAAATCTTATCCCACCATGGGGTTTCAAAAAAGCTCATGCTTGACACTGTCAGGCCATCCAACTGTCCCGCAATTTGCTTATTTGTCACACATTTGCTGAAGAAACTGAGTCACGCCAGCTTTTTTTTGCGTTATAGAATATGTCACGCAAAGATGCATTTGCTTCAGATCTAGATTTGTGCATATTTCACGCATTTGTTTCAAAATTTTTCGTACCTACCCCCATCTTCATGACTATTGCGCATGGGTGATGTAAATATATAAGGAATGTAAATATATTGCAAACCCTAAGTACCCAATAGGATACTTAAACTTGTGATGTAAAAATAATGTGTGTAATTTTGCAATACCACAGTTGGTATGTTGTTTTAGTTAATGTCATCTCCTTGCTATAATACTACATGTTCAGTGGGCACCTGGAATTGATACTGAACAATACCTTATACTGTTTCATTGTTTAGAAACATTTTCAATTACTGCATTGTCCTTACATTCACCCTGGGCACATTCCAGATTGAGCTCAGTTTCGGTGTCATTCTTCCATGACGTAAGATTTGTGCGAGCAGTTTGATTAGATATGGGCTCGTATTTCTGAAACATTGATGTTTTTGAGGCAAAGTTCTGACAATTAGCATATTATCAAAGATTTGTTATTGAATTACCCACAGGAAAACTTTCCTGCTTTTACACATCTGGAATATCAAAGATTGTCATAAGTTATCAACTTTTCCGTCTGAATTATTATTGTATTGCCTATTCCTTGTGTAAATTGAAGATGAATTGAAAAGTTGCTGCGTGGCCTTACCTCTAAAGCATTTCTTGAATGATTAGTTTATGTCATTCATATGCTTGGAATTTGATCTTTTATAATCAACATTACAAATATTTGATCGACCTGCATTATATTTTTTCTGCATGGGCTATTGTTCAGTTCTTGTTTTATTTATCTTGAGGATTGTTAGTTATAAACTCTTTTGCAATGTACAAAAGGTTCCTGATCAATTATGATAATGTTGATTCAGAAACCCCATGCAAAGATTTTTGTTCACTTGGATCTTTAAATGTTCTTTAAACTTAATGTGATAAGGGTCAAAACTTTCCTCCAAAACTAACACGGGTGTAAGGAGTTGGTATTATGCGTTTAATATTTATTAAAAAATCAGAAAGAAACTTGTTTCCTCTTTACTACACTGGGCCATCTAACCATTACTGTAATGGGGAAAAGTGTTTTGTTTCGCTTTCATTCTAAGAAGTAACAAAATATATTCCTGATTGACTCATAACTGAACATGACTTTTAGATTGCATTTGATAGTGTGATTCTGAGTCATTTAACACAAAATGATACAGTTAGCGTATTCATATATGCAATAATTATATCCCATTTGTCTTGCTTGTTTCAAAAACATGTCAACAGTTTGAATAGGTTTTCTCTTTTAGGTGTCAAAATGTCAACTCAACAGTTTGAAAAGTAATCAAATGTCAAAAGTATATTCAAATTAATTTTATTAACTCGACCAAACAATGTTCTTTCTTATACATATTGTTATAATTGCAGTGATTATCCCAACTGTTTGTTAATTCCCAGTAGGACATTGACTATAATTACCCAGACATTATAATTATCGGGATAAGGATAGAATTTCATAAAATAATCAGCTTATGATTCGGCAATTATATTTCCCTTGCAAAATTTGTATTTCTATCTGAAGAAAGTCTATGACAGTTATGGCAGGAATTATTGTTTAGATAATTTGCACTAATTTCCTAGTTGTCGCATAAAGTCTCTGATTTACCCCCTCCCTCTGTCTATACATGCCCTTACCTGGAGAAATTTGAGACATGGGCAATATAGATGCTTAACAGGGGCATAGCCAGCTTTCAGTCAGGGAGGTGCAATTGCCAAAATATTTTAGGTTTCAGTTAGGGGGGATGCGATAAGTCAAAAAAATAAAATTTTATTTTGAATTTAACAAAAATTGATGCAATTTCCTTGATGCAATTGAGCTTGAAGCTTCAAATAAAAAGCATTTAAAATCTATTTTCTTCTATGTATATTGGTTATGAGGGGATCGCACCCCCCTGACTGCGCCTATGCTAAACGCAAGAATATACCCTTTCATTCAATTATCAAAATAATGATTTGTAACTCAGTTACTTCTATTCCGCTCAATAGATGTTCTATAGCAGGCACCCAAAATGTGAGTAGCTATTTATAATGCATTAACAATCACTGGCATGTAGCGGCCCTGATATCGATAAATTCTACACGCAATATAACCCGATTTTAGATGCTTGGTTAAAACTTTACACGAAAAAGCCTTGATATCCGGGCATTTACTCTTACACTGAACTGAAAATAGCATCGTCTAAACGCGTATGTCTTGGCTTCCGGGTAAGTTTATCAACATTTATACTCAATTGAAAGAGCAGTCGTGCTTATATCGTGTACCAGTTTGATTGTTTTATATGTGTGTGTATTTATAATATGATAGCCTAGTAATACCGTGTCGTTAGAACAAGTGCTAGATATCGAACTGATGACCTGAAATTAGATTATTGGACTGATCGCGCATCTGATATTAGATGATTAATTTGCATTGAATCTGATATTAGCTTGCAACCCAATACCACAGTAAATACCATGACTTTATATTAGAATGATAACACGGCCTCATATTCTAATTTATTATACGTCCATTGCAGGCCAAAAATGTTTCAATGTGGATATTGTAATGCACACGAGAATACATTCGATTCGTATATATTGATCATACATCAATTGAACATGGAGATTTTCCTGTACACTTTTCCCAAATATGTGGAATAGACTAGATGCGAGTAGAAATTATTTTGATTTATCCTATGCCAAGTAGGGTTTTAGGGAGATAAGTTGGTAAGATATATCCCGTATCCTGATTTTGAGGTTTCCATATCAAGAACCTCCATATCTCCCGTCATATCTCCCGCTTCGGTGCATATCTTCCCGCTTCGGGGCGTATCTTCCCGCTTCCAAAAAAGTGGAAATGCAATAAAATGACTTTGCATATGAATGATTTGTTTATTTTTTACACCTTGTACTACTGAAAACTCTACTTGGTATAGAATAAAGCAGTTATGTACGGTCGGTTTGGATATTGGGTTCATCCCTCGTGAGATATGCACATCTACTTTCTGTCCCTACGGTCCCTCAGGTAGATATGCATATCTCCCTCCGGAAAAACCCCATATCCAAAACCCCCCAGTACATAACCCTTAATTATCCCATGGTTACAAGGATATAGATCGAATATCACGTGAAGATATAATTGATACGTGGATGAAGATCATATTTTAGCAAACAATTCCCAAATCATCGAATATCACTTTTGAAACCATCGAATGTCACTTTTTGAAAGGTGATATTCGATGGTTTCAAAAGTGATATTCGATGGTTTCAAAAGTGATATTCGATGGTTTTGATTTTTTCCATTTTTTTATTAATTCAGCAAAACGATTGTTTATATATTTATTATATATTTTTATTTTTTCGGATCTTGTTTTTACGGCGTTCGCATTAAATACAAACCACTCTGTTACGTCACGTATATGACGTTCGTTGAATTATCGCAATCAAAATGTCAGACCAAATGGAATTTCCATTGCAATTTATCTGACTATTCAATGTTCGCTGGATAATAATTCCCAATGGGATAAACGGACAATCCTATGTTTTTTCAAAAATATCATTTATATCCACTCATGGATATCAGTATCTTCACTCATTCGCTGCGCTCACTGGCGAAGATATCAATATCCACTCATGGATATAAGTGATATTTTTTCAGAGCCATAGGATATTCCTATATTATTCCATAGTTAGCATGATATCCATAGGATAACATGTCAAAATAAAAACGGTATTTTTGAAATCAGTGGTAAAATATGATATTTTTGGCAAATTTTCACTTAACCATAGCATACGGTGTTTTAGGGGGGGGGCTTTTAGCCATGACATACGGCGCCGTATGCCATGGTTTATGGATTTTTGCTACTTCAGACTCAAAACGAGGCTAAGTGTCAATATCGCCGTATCGTTTGGAAAATTCGTTTTAAATCACTTAATTCCCGACGATTCTGATGATGACTTTAACTATGGAATATAAAGAACATCCTATGATTTACTCGTGATATGATTTTAATCCACTTATGGATGTTGATATCTGCACTCTCTCGCTACGCTCACTCGTGCAGATATCATATCCATTCGTTGATAAAAATCATATCACTCATAAATCATAGGATATCCTCTATTTAAGATGTGATATTCGATAGTTTAAAAGTGATATTCGATGGTTTGTAAATTGTTTGCTAAAATATGATATCTTGATCCACATATCAAATATATCATCATGTGATATTCGATCTATATCCTCCTTGCAACCATGGGCTAAAGCTTTACGTCCCGCTCCAAGCGGGCAGATATAGTATATCTGCCCGCTACGTCATAATCGCCGCTTGCATGTTTGTTCATAATTTGTAACGTTCGCGGAATGACTGTAAACGGCAATGGAGAAAACACAGACAATCAGGGTCTGTTTGATAGTTAAAAAAGGGGAAAGAGCATCCTCTTAATCAATAAAAATTCGAGAAAATAAATATGGGAATATTTGAGAGAACATGAAAATCCGCCCACGGCCAAGAAAACAAAACTGGACATGAATATTCTAAAATGTTTCCACGATTTAACAATGTGAACCAGATGACCAAGATTGGTATGGGATAAACATATTATCCTATAGTCGCGGTTCAGGATATTAGGATTATCCCTTGGCCAATATGTAGGGGTTATGCAATTGGAGGTTTTGGATACAGGGAATATCCCGAGGGATATACAATATATCTTCCCGAGGGACCAAAGGGACCAAGGGAAGATGAATTATATATCCCTCGGGATATTCCCTGTATCCAAAACCTCCAACTGCATAACTGTTGTATATAGTTTAGCATGATATGTACTTCTTTCTGTAACTGGAATACGATTCTAATATACAAGCAGCACATACGTATTCCCGGGGAACCATAAATATTTTGTGTAGGGTGTGGACATTTTTCTTTTCATTTCTCTAAAATCAGATTATTCTCATAAAATTCATACAAAGTTGGGCCTAAGCCTCCATTTTCGTATTCTGCATGTTAAGATATTTATAATGTAAAACCTAAGAGATAAATTCAATGTCTTCAGTTGAGAATAAGTATAAGGTAAATGTGTGAATTCTGCTTGTTGTTGCACTATTTTTATAATAAACAAGGTTCGATACGCAACACTGAATAGACTGCAGTCATAGCTTAGTTGTAAAGAAAACAAAAGAAGTTGGGACGTGGTCATGCTTGAATACGATTTTAAATATATCGCCCTTTACATTTGTTGAAATCGGCCTGTATTAATTTCAACAGGTGATCGGTGTACAAGGGCATATATTTGAGTTATTGGTTTAACGATAAGTATGACCTATGAGTGGGTAATGTTTTACAAATGCATGAAACAAATACTCCAATGGCCTAATCTCAATTTTCCTGCATAAACTATTACATTGAAATGATGGTCATTTGCTCTCTAACTTCCGCACCGCATACGTAACTTCGTAACAATTCAATAAGCCAAGACAGGACCGCTATAATCGCTACATGCCAGTGAACAATATGTTGAATCTTTTAAATAACATTTTGACCCAGAATTTGCCCCTCTATGGATTAGATGAATGCAATTGAAGACTTTTTGAGAAACCATTTGTATGATCGCTTTGTCATTTCATGTTGAAAAGATACAGAATTGAAAGTAATAAAGTGTAGTATAATAGAATTCTATTCATACTCAATTGTTCGGTGTAACACAATCACTCACTTTCGAGTACATGAGTAGGAAAGCATGATATAAAAGTAGTGTGTCAAGTATCTATATCGGGTCTAAAAGTAGAGTTTACTCACATAATAATGTCCTTGATTGTTCTTCAAGTAACAATAAATGTTAATAAGAATATTTTAACCATGATACACTGGATTTTATATGGATTAACTCATCATATTCGTGTTATTTTTATGAAAATTGTGAAAAACATTTCACGACAATACAAATGAAAGATGCTAAGGCATAGGTCTGAAATGAAAAATTAAGTGTTTGATTCTGTTATACCATTGAAACTTGCATTTATTTTCTAGTCATTTCCTGTATCTCATTGCAGACTGAGTGACAATCCATTGATTTCATGTTTCTTGTGTTATCCGGTTATTAATTTTTTAACAGATCTCTTAATGTTCAGTGGTATCAAATGTTTCAGTATAGAATCTCCAAGCATATTTATGCAACTAACATACTTGTCAAGTTTCCTTTCCCTTCGGTGAATAGTACTATGTTATTTTAAGATTTCAGATTCGTTGTTATCGTGAGCTTACATATTGTTTGAGTTCTATTATTTTTGGAAAACTTTCAGGAAACTGTCAACTTAAGTAAACTTTTAGACCATTCTTGAGGTTTGCTTACTGTAGCAGAAGTCAATCAATATGCATGTACAAAATGCCAGTAGCTAAATTAGTTAGAAAATTGTTCAGTCATAATTTTATTGTATTAAATGGTATAACAAACCCGAGCCAAATATGTCAATCTAAAGGTTTTTTATCAAGGTAGTTCTTCACAAACCAAACCAACTAAAATGGATCACCAAATGACATTTATGAATCTACATTTAACTGGACCAAAGATAAGATTGATTTCTTCAAAAACAAAAATACTTTGACATCACATGTGTTTATCGTAATATTTTGTATTTTTTTTAGAAACTAGAGAGCAGTGTGCTTAAGAGCAGTGAAGAATATACCATCAAGGGAGAGGACGATCGCTCCTCAAAGGTGAGCGCCCGGATACGGGAAATCATCACCAAAAATTTATCAACAGAAGATTTAACACTACCAGAACCTGGCGCTATGACATCACCATCTGCGGGACACTTGACGGAGGAGAATCGCATGCTCCAGAATGAACTTAACAGAGTTGAAGATCTCCTTGCATCAAGCAGAGCTGAGCGTGATGAAATTGGGATCAAATATAATGCTCTAAGTGAAAGGGTGAGTATAGATGTGTTAGAATACATCAAAAGTAGATCATTCTTGTGTACCAGATCCTCTTGTTAGAGACGTTAAGTAAGTTACATGTTTTTAAGAGAACTTTCACATGAACTTGAACATGAAGTTTTGTCCTCTGGGAATTCTTCCCTTTCTAGTATTCGCTTGCCTGATTGAGTATAAAGGCATAAGAAAAATAGTTGCAATTAGGTCCCAAGAAAAAACAATTGAGAGGAAGACAGTGATCTAAGGCCAGGGGTCATACTCATAATGTTACATATTTACACACAACAGTTCTCTAAAAAGCATGTAGCTTAATCAACCAATCGTGTCATTAAAAGTGGTGACATATTATTCTAGCCACCATTTTTTGTGACTGCCATTCGTTGTCATCATTTGTTGTCTTAAAAATACTCCATATATTGTAATCATTATCAGGTTGTGAGACTGTCATGTGAATGCCTTGTACACATGTTTGTGAAGTAGAAGGGACATGGCTTATCATCATAACAGTAGAAATGGTGATGGTTGAATAATTGATAGGATCATATTGTATTTGTTTATTTTAGTCTTTGTACAGATATAGAACATGAAATTTCTGAAGATTAATGGCCTGATAATTAAAAATGATTGCACTTGTTTGAAAAATCATGAAATTCCCATCGTAATTTTATAGGTGACCCTTTGCAAAGCATGAACAAAATAAACTAGCTCAAGTGGTTGCCTCGTGGTGATGGTTCAAGAAAACATCTTTGAAATAATTGCTATACCTGCAAATATTATTTTCTAGTGCAAAATAATTTACGAAGGCATGTGTGTATTTCCTTGTTTTTTTTCTCGAAACTATCATTACATTGTCTTCTTGAAGTAAACCTGGTAAGAGCTCAATGGTAGCTCCAAAAAATGCTGATTTAATTTCAAGAAAATTGCTGCCCTTTACATTTACTTTAATAAACATGTAGTATATCAGTACTTGAATGATTGGTATCAGTAAAGCCTTGAATTTTGGTTCAATCATTGCGTGTCTGAAAATGTATTGTCTACTTTCTCTGCACAATCATTAAATGCTGGGGGCTGACAATCCCAAAAGAATTTAAAAAAAACAACAACTACAACTTCCAGATTGTTATTGTGTAAACCAATACTGTATTAATTAATCGGTATTTGCTGATGTAACAATGCATGAAATAATGGCATGCTGGGGTCTTGGGGTCTGAAAGTATGATCAAGTGAAGTCTTTGATAATTACATGTACTATTACAGTACTAAGAGGGATTGATGAAAAGCACCTGCACATTTGTAAGATGAAGGGTTTTTGGATTATTAGAATAATTAATGAACATGCGATTAAAATCTCATATTATTGTTGAAATGATTGAAGAATGTATACCTTAGGTTTGATCTGTTACGCCAATGAAGTTTTATTTGTCCAGGAAGTGAATATTTTCACTTGTTAGATTGGTAATGATGTAGTGTTTTCTGGTGGTGACATATTGTTATAGTCGGCAACTTTTTTGTGGTTGGTGTTTGGCGGTTGGTTGTTGGTGCTTGGTGGTCAGTGTCTGTAACAAATGGCGCTTGGTGTCTGTAAATGGCAGATGGTGACATTTTGCATGTTATTGTCTTGTTACCTCTCAGTGGCCCTCAAATTTCCAAAAATGTGAGTCCCAATGAAAAGGCATTTTTTCAAGAACAATTTTGAAAGTGACTCCTCACCCAAAAAATAATGTTTGTGTCCTGGAGTTTGCATGTTTGCTTCCTTGAATCGAACACTGCCGATTTGTATTATTTGATTGCATGTATTTCCAAAATGAAGCCTTTTGTGTGCTATGATTGAAACATTGTACTTATTCAATTCACTCATATATCGTGATTGATCTTTATACTTACTGGTTGGTCTGATCACAGCTTAAAAAGTAAAAACATTGTTTTGGTATGAGTTTTCTAGCGTTCAGAACTTTGGTGCATCAAGTGCATTTCATCAATGAACTTTCACATGTTCAAAATTCTCTGATTTATGTCATGAATAAGAGACCATATTTTGACATTATTTTCCATTATGTTCTTTATTTGTACAATGGAATACCTTAATTGACGGTATCGTATCAGGCCTAAAATGCGAAGTGCAAACCTATCATCGTCCATCTCAAAATAGATCATTTTTCTGTATTCTCAGGTAATGAAAAAATGATAAATTACTGAAATACTGCTTAAAATTAAGTTAATATTTGGGGGTTTGCATAATTGCTTGAAAGGGTGGGTTCGAATTTTTTTAGGCAAGATTTGGGGTGGGTTCACACAAACCCTCCGAACCCCCTCTCCCTACGGCCCTGCTTCTTATGATGTACATACATCCAAGTAATATGAAATCATTCCACCATTCTTACAACATGTATGATTGCTCATATCCTGACAGTTTGTAATATATATGAATTGTACCAGGATTGTTGAGATAGTGGAACATACAGTTACACTCTTGTCTTCCCATATTATATAGCTCAGTAAGTAGAACAATTCACCTATAACATATTTGCCTGGGCATCTTCTTTTTAAGTGATTCAGGGGTTTTGAGTGGTCCACAACTCTACAAGTGATCTCCATGTGCTCATATGTTTATATATTAGAGTACAAAACAGTACACAGGATACCTTTGATGAGAAGTTTCTGGGTCTGTTTTCTAGAGGTTCAGAATAGTAAAAAGCCAATTCATTGTGAAATAAATAAAAAAAACACAAGTAGCTCATGAGTCTTGAACTCACAACCTCATGGTTACGGCGACAGCGCCTAGCTCAGCATGTTCAGTGCTCTATTTGTACAAATAAGAAATTCAGTGAAAGTTCTTGTCAGTTTTCTGTATATGTAGATATATGACCCAATTTTCCATATCTGATACAATCTTGTCCACATGTTGCCGGCTGGTAGCAGTAGGTTCACACAAGTTATCACTTTGATATAACTGTATGTCATATTACCTATGCTTTATGAAAAACTTGGTAAATATATTATATAGTACTGTGTGAGACCATTTACTTCCAATCACAATTTCATACTATGGATTATGAGCTAATCATAATGGTGTATTATTTGTAAATTGTGTGTATAAGAAGGCAACAATTAGTTTACATATATGATTGCCAAAAGTGTCACCAGATTGGGGCTAACCGGTGTATTAAATTACAAGATTTCTTTTGCCGGCCTTACATATGAGCTAATCCTGCAGTGTCTCAGGTATACATTTCTATTGATTTGAATAACGGGAATTGACTAATAGAACATTGTGTAATATTGAATATTTCGAACAATTTTCTTTTCTATTGAAAGTTAATCTGGTCCATTGACAGAGGGTTTAGCTAAGCTTTTGTGCTATATTGGATTGTCCCGGGTAATCTCTAGCATGTGCTATACAGTAGCTTTAATTCAATCATTAGCGTGGCGTCCCCTGCTACCTGTTGACTGTTTGAACTGCTGCCTGGAACAATCTTGACATTAACTGGACATCTTTAGCTGTATGTACATAACAGATTATATACATTAGGATTGGTGATCAAGCACACCGCGAGGATTTACCACGCCGTGATGTCATCATTTCCCGATTTGGATCAGGTAGGATGGTATAAGAGGGCTATATCAATGCAGAAATCATGTATTTAGCTCTTTAAGTAACAAAAGCCGAAGTAACGATAATCTATAAGAGTCATTTTGCAACAAGCTGTCAACTTTAAAATTCCTAGGGGCAAGCATATAAAACATGTTATTTCAAAGCATTTCAAAGCTGTTATCAGGAAACCTCTACCATTTTGTTTGCTCAACATGCTGAACTACTACTAAGATTTCTGATTTGTAGACATGTGTAACCTATGGCCTTCTGGCAAATTTACCAAGAGTCAGATTTCTTACTCTTCGAATTAAAATACATTTTGAATCAAAAAGAAATGACCTGAAATGTCAGGTACTACTATGGGGTCAAGTATGATACAAGATATTTGATACAATTTGGCTTGTACATTTTGTTAAACTATTGACAGTTATGCACACCATCAAGCTAATGTTGATTTGAAAACATGTTAACTTAGATAGCACTTTTATGTGTTCAATTTTGTCTCCAATGGTTAGTAAAATGGGTAGTAAAACATCAAACCCAGACCCTCCCTGTCTATTAGGTAGGGGAGCCGTTAATATAAGAATATGCATGTTGATGGTAGAGACATCTTCTGAGGCAAGACATAACTCAGTGTCCTAACTATGGATGGTTCCACCTTCATAAATCTGTCATCTTCGACCTCCAAGGTCTTATAACATTGAAGCTAGAGCAACTGAAAGTCTGAAACCCATGAGAATCACTTCAGAATCAAGATGGAAATCTGCACCAAGTTGCTTGTCTACTTAACTCCTAGCAATTATACTTCAGTAGCAAAACAACCAATTGCTTTCGTTAGAATTAAAGTACAGACAATATAAAGATATTAGAAAGTTAGATAGATTATTATTAGACACGTTAACTAATCTTTGCATTCAAGTCCCATGGATTAGCCTGATATTCACCATGGAAGCATAGATAATACACATACAGTATACAGTAATACATGTATAATTCAAATTGTTGTTGATAAAACTTCTCCTGCTTTGAAATATTTCACATCTTGCAGTCACATAGTCCAGGCCCTGTAAACGCTGTATTAATACCAGCAATTAAAAATGCTTACAGATGCAATCAGATTTCAATGCTTTATGAGATGTTGGGATTATAAATAAAGACCATTAACCATTTCCTTATGTTCAATTATTGGGACACTCCATTGTACTTTAAAGTGAGGAGAGCTAGTATTGCACATATAAGAGCCAACACCACTTAAGGGTCACCCGGCAGTGGTGAATATTTGTCGTTAAGATTTAGACTCAAGTAGATTTATTAGTGAATGCTTGTATGCGCTCGGTCATAATGATGAAAGTAACAGTGAAATATCTACTTGAAACAATGTTAAATAACAGATTATATAAGAGCCATAATAACAGTACACGCATTGAATTGTGCGCACACTTCCACTTTCATCAGTTACATGTACAATGAAACGTTCTAAATATGGATTGTGCACCAGAATGTTGAAGTACTTAAGAACCTGTGCGTATAAAAGTAGTAAATTGAATACACATATAAGTAAAACCAATTTATTCTTACATTAATGCTGGTGCAAGAAGAATTGAAAATGGTTCACAAATACATGGATCATATGCTACATTAACTGTTTCTATATGATTTGATCAAAATTGAAGCATTGGCTCAGATTAGCTCATTTTCATTTGACTTTGTTTACAATGGTCTGTACATTCTACATATATTTATTTATAGTTTTACAATTTTTGATTCTTTGAGTTCAGGAATTGCATTTTGATAATGAAATAACAACATAACTTTTTGTATAGTCTTTGTATTCGAACAACTCGTGCAAAAATCACTCAAAGTTAACCCAAAAGATATTAATGACGTTTGACTGAGAATTAATAAAAGACCGTTTAAATTCTTTGAGTTTGATATTGACTATCAAGAACTCCAGAGCCTATTGGCTATTGTTAAGATATCAATCAGTATGTTTGTTCAAATTATTGACACAGGGGTAAAGTTTACGCTTCACAATAGGTTTGTAGTACCTGTAGTAGAAGTTTGCGTTTGCCAGCCAATTTCAAATCTCACAAGTTCCAACTGTCACTTTTGACCCTGGACAGAATCGGTGCAAACACTTCAAGGCTTAGTCGAACTTATCACCAGACTGGACGCTGAGTTGGATAAGATTTTATAAGATGCAGGTGGTAGTCTGATGTCCTTAAAAACATCCTTTGGTATCATAATATCATCAAGTGGTGTTTTTGTATTGGATTTATCAAGATATATAGCCAAATTGAGTGATCATGTCGCAATATAGGAGCCCATTTCAGGTAACAACTTCTAATCTGGAAATATTTGTAGTTGGGTCGAGACTAGTGGCTGTGACCTCTTTCGGCTTAGTGTTTCCTATTTAACTCCAGAATAAACTTTACCAGGCTTGTTTTCACAATTCTTGTGTAAGATGAAAGTTTGATAAACATAATACTCTTTGAGTAAAGCAGTTATGAAAATACTACATATCAAAGCTTCTATGTGTTATGTTGGCCTTTGGCATCTGAGTTAGTTCTGGTACTTATTTTTACTAAATACATGATCAAGGCTCAGTCCGTTATGAGCAAATGGCGTCTAAAGAGACCAAAGTGGTCAAGGCAATAGATGATGTTGAAACTTTGAACCATAACCAACAAGAAGCTAGTAGGAAACTAGTGGATGCATCAGAGGATAAAAAATACTGGATTGAGTCATGGTTTGATGAACTATGTAGTGGTGATGTTAGTAAAATTGTTGATTTTATAATTTTACACGGAAAGTCATTAACATCCATAAGGGAAATATTATTCTTTTATAGATCATTGTTATAGTCTCTCAACTTTTTTGTGGAGATTGTTTGCAGTCGGCGCTCATCATCTGTGACTAATGGCACATTGTGACATTTTGCATGTTAATGCCTGGTATCATAATAGTTCGATAGGTGTTAGAATATATGGGGATATAAAGGGTGTTGTTTGTCATATATGAATATATTATATACATATACAAGTATTACAAAGTCAATGCTTTTGAACTTACTGCTCTGCTTGGGGCATGTTTAATATTTTGTTTTATATATTTTCATATTGTAGTACTTGCTGACAAAGTTCTGACTCAAGAATATGTAATATAAATCAAATTTTAAACTCAATTGGGTCGTTATATTTGATTTCATTCATTCATTGTTAAATATTGGTGTATGGATTAATATTAATACCAATAATCTCATTAAATGCCATTTAAAGCATTTAAAGAAAATTATTTTGAATGCTCAAAATTGGCCAAAAGCAACATTTCTATCCTGATAAGAGGCTTTGCAAGGGGCCATCATAATATATCACCACACAAGCTTATTGTATATGTAGGAGTTATATACATTATATGTACAGTAAAACCTGTCTAATCTGAATTCCCGGGATTGTCAGGTGTTCGTATTTTGAGGTTTTTAACATGGAATTCTATGGCAGATTAAAGATGGTTTAAAAAGTGTTCACATTGAGAGGGGTTCAGATTTGAGATTTGTTAAGTTATACAGGCTTTACTATACATATATCAAAACTACTTTTGAATAAGTATCAGTAAGATTACAAAATATTTAGAAATGAACTTATTACCAAAGTTATTCTTCAAGTGTATTAGAGTTGTACTTATGGGGTATGTTGAAGAGTCGTTCACTTCACAGTGCAATAAAATTGTCATAAATCGGTCTGAAGTTTCTCTAACTTGATAGAGTAGAGCAATTAAGTTCATAAATTGTAAGATTTGATTTGTGGCCACAACGACTTTTGTTCATTATACCGAATCATTGCAATATGGCTTTAAAGTAACTTTAAAAATTGCTAAATACAATAAAGACCAAAACATTTTAATATATCAGTACAGTATATACCACTAACATTGTTTTCAAGTTATTTCTCATTAAAAATGTTTCATTTTCAAGTTCACTCATTCTGAGATAGGCCGAGATCCTTGTTCACTCAACTCCCATCAGCTTTCTGAACCCAGTGAAGATTGAGTTACCAATATGATAGCGCACATGATTTATTCTAACAAGAACCTATTGGTGCCTAAATAATACACAATAACATCCTGGCATTAAGATTCCTTTGATACAATGTTTTTCAGTTGGAGACTGCGCTGAAGCTTGAAAGTGGCGATAGAAGCAATGACACCAGTAGCTCCGCTCTTCTGCAACAAAACATAGAGTTGCGTCGCAAAGTTGAAGATGAACACTCAAGTTACAAGCGTAAACTGCAAGCTTACCAAGATGGCCAGCAGAGACAAGCTCAACTTGTGCAAAAGTTGCAGGCGAAGGTGAGATTCTTGCACCCATTGAATGATATGTATGGATAAAATTAGATTGTGTAAAATGTTAAATTAACACTATTTATACAAAATACTTAAAACAGATTTTTCAAATGTACAATCCACATACACTTTGCAGAGTTTTGTATGTCTGAGTGTTAATGGTGCAAAGTTTCATTTGAACTGAAACGCATTAAATTTAAATATCCTGCTTGCATGTAATGCTCATTAACATCAAAGACTTTCCTAGATGTACATCATCATATTATTCATAATTATGAATCTTCATTTTGTCTACATCAATATCTCCCCCAGTAATATCATAAATATTTAACTGAATTAAGCCAATATTGTCTTGTGTTGTCAATCAAGTATTATAATCTAGGCTAGGAATGTTACATCATTACATTTTAAGTAGCAAATTGATAATACGATTATATGGAATTATCTATTTGTTATTTGGGCACATTAACTTATCTGAAGTATATAACAGCATCTTAATCATATAAAGTATTTACCATTGATGAAAGATGATTGATTTTACACCTTAAGACTTACAGTATATAATATGTACATGATCCAGAAGTTCTGATAGATATGGTGAACATTTTTATCAGAACTTCTGGATCAGCCCTTGTATATATTTCTTTTATTAAATCTTAATTCAATTACAATGCTTTGTTTTGTTTACATCAATAATTGATTCTGGTTATTACAAGTGTTTTATGCTGCAAATTCCTTTCACACCTGTGTACAAAAATCCATACACATGAAACAATGTCACTTAGATCTTTAATAATTCATATGAAGTCAATAATATACATATCGATAGTACAACTTCAGTCATTAAAAATCTAGAGTTTCATTTGTGTTATCTCTCACATTTGCTTAATAGATCTACTTCAATGAAATCAATATCTATTTTGTGGAACAATTGAATTCCTGAAGACCACTCAATAGTATATCTAAACTCAAAGAACTTGCACAGTATGAATAGCATAAACTTGAAGTAATCAGGGGCCTTTTGACAAAATGTGACACGGCAAATGTAATAATGGATAATGTTGAGTTTAACGTCATTAGCTCTTCATGTAAGTACACAAACAATAACACATACTCGGAAATTATTTTCATTTTTGGATTTTTTTTAATTAGTTGCATTTGAGCATTGTGGTCAAGTTTGAGGAAGATGCAATGAAAGGCACAATGATATTTGGGCTATTTTAGTATAAATTGTACTAGGCTATTTAAAATAATGCCAATATTTTTATATTATATTCCTCTATCTTACTTTGACTTAATCAATATAAACGTACACATACTTAATCTGGAATATATAAGTTTGATCTTTCATTGTGAATTGCATGAATTGAAGCCTTCCGTTCCATCAAGCGGTATTTGAACTTACCATGGAACTTAATCCAAAATCAATTCTGTTTCATTCACTTATATGAAGCATACAGAGTTTATGATAATTGACCACCATTATTCCAATAATTCCCAAATACCGTATACCTGGTGACTTATGTTATTATAATCGTGAAATTCAACCCACAGCCTTTCTATGTTATATGAAATATGTTAATAGTTCCATTGATTATTGGTTAAAATAAAGTTACACACTGCCTATTTGTAATGGCCCTCATATGTTTGAATTTAGCTACTTTAATGTTTAAGTAGTGTATCGACTTTGTAAAATGAGTTAAGAAATGTGTGAAATACCAATAGATAAATACCTGGAGTCCTGGGCTATTGGTTTTGTGGAGAATCCGTACAAATAAAGGACCATACTGTATGTCTTGATAAATGGATAAATAATTCAGCCCTTAACTAGCTATCTTCCCTTTACCCTCGATTACCAATCAGTATAACCTTAGGATCTGGCATATGAGTGGCTCAGTGATTCCGTAATAACCCCAGATTTCATAGAATATCTATAGTCTCTCCGTATCTTAGCAACAAGTTAGAGCATCTTTGACAGCAAGCCGGGGGTCCAAATATGATGGATTTACGCACTTATGTCAACATTCATAAGTTTCTTACGTGATTTGGATATTAAGTCATTTGAACTGACAGTTACAAGTGGATGTAGAGACTTAGAATGTATAAGCCATATTATTATGGGAGTAGCATGGGATGTACTACTTCACAAGGAGAAGAGGAGGAATACATATCTCCATCAAGAAATGCTATTGATGTACGAGAACTTGCACTATGATTGTACTTGGCTTAAGTCTGTTTTTGCTCTAGTTGACAGTTGAAGACATATTAACCTTCATTATTCACATTGAGATATATATTTCATTTGATTTCGAAATTCCACTTTCTATTCACTCAGTTCACTGTTAAGAGGGAAATATGAATGCTCATTGCAGATCAATTCTAGATTATTTCTCTGCATTCATTGGCATTTTGGTCTTTTTATGGCTTGAAAATCGCAAATTGTGGATGTAGAATTAATGTAAAGAAAACTGCTCCTGATATTGATTGTTTTGAACTCTATTTACATTTGAGAGAGGATCAAAGCTTATTATTTGAACACAAAAGCATATGTATAATTTTATCCGTAATAATAAACAATAATATATATTGATATAATTCCCTTAATATTGTACATGTTCATTGTATGTGTTATTATATACTGTGCTATATATGATGGCTTCAATGTTCTTGCTTATGCCTGCCAGGTCCTCCAGTACAAGAAGAAATGTGGAGAGCAAGAGACAGAGATTGATACTCTCAAATCTGAGACCACAAAATTAAAAAGATCGGTAAGATTTATGTGTATTGTGTACCTAACATTGTAAAGTGTGGCACTTAGTGTGAAACCTTGTTTAACACCTACCTTCAGGTTCTGCAATATAAACGTAAATGTGGCGAATTGGAAGAATCGATGAGAATCGTTCAAGCTGATGGTGACCGCATGCGTAGATCGGTAAGCCACATATCACTACACTCTTTCTCCATCTCACATCACTGTAACAAAGCTTCACTATATCACATTAAAATTAAATTTTGTTGCTTAAATTATTTTATATTCATTTTCTGATTTTTGGTTAAGCATTATAATTTTAGTTTCTTTTTTATTAAATCTTACCCTAACATTACATAACGCTCGTTTGCTTTGTAAAATTTACGATAAACTATGCACTTTATATTATTTGTTTAACCTCATTCTCTTCTTTGTAAACTGCTTTAACAACCAATATTTAATATAACTCTGTACATCTTGCATCTAGAAATATTGAATGTCAATACTGATGCAAGATTTTTAAAACTACCATATGTTCCATGTTAATATAGTTTCCCATATCAACCTAATAAAATAAGTAACAAATGGTTGTTGGTTGAGCTACATTAGCATTGGACTGTATTATATACTGTACTATACTGTAATTTTTCCTATTTGCAATTCATGTTTAGTTGTACCCTAGTATTTCATTGTTATGTATCAATTTTAGAATATAGTCAATTTTAATTAATCTTATGTTTATTTGTCATCACCCTATTTATTTTTAGCTTCCTGTAGCATGTTTCAATCAGACATAGATACTTCAGATGTAGCGTGCACATTTTCATTTAATTTGATTAATAATGTCACACTTACATACCACATTATAATATGGCCTCTATTCCAGGTGAATCTACCATTCATGTAGCATTAACCAGATAACTAGTATGATATTTCAAGTACTTTGTACTGAGTAAACCATTCTTGAATTCAAAAAATTGACTTGTATGTGAGCTTAAAGGGTAATATGTAGGAAAGAAAGACTTAGACAAATATGGACAAGAAATTTTCCATATTTGATTGACTTTTCTTACCTACCTATGTTTTGCCCTGTACATAGCACACATGGGAAATTTTTAAGGAGTAGAAATAAGTACAAAGACGACTCTTTCATACTTTCTTACCCAATATAGCTGAACCTAGATCTTTAACATATTTACTTAATTTTATTTGGACCTTTATTTATCTTTTCACTTTTACCATTTGTAGATGTGAGATTCCTTGTATCTGCTTTGTTATTTACTTAATACATGTAGAAAATTTCAAATATAAAAAGTTATAACCCTTAGTAAATAGAAATGTTTTAGAACCCTTCATATTTGGTAAAAATTCATTATTGTTCTCCACACCAGAGTTACATTTATTAAAATTTGATAAATCAAATCATTCTGAAACTTCACCTATTACATAAAAATAAGTGGGTAAAAGCAAAGTTTCTGTACTTTTGGCTACATATACATGGCGTGTTACAGCTAAACACAACTACAGAGAGCCTTTCAGCACGTTTAGAAACAACGGAAGCACGTCTACGTATGGCAGAGGATGACCATAGTATGGATCTAGAAACAGCTTTGATACGCCTTGAGGAAGAACAGCAGAGGTCTGTATAGTGTATAATAGTGATGCATGTTACAGATCCAGCCTTTGTAGATACCTCTATTGCAACTTTGAACATGCTTCTTATAAATGGTCAGTTTTACTGTCTTCAGTATGGAGTTAACATTCTCATAAAAAGCCTCAACTTGAGATGAATCATTTATTGGCTAGGATCATCATGGTTAGCCAACCCTTCTCTATCTCTGTCCTTCTGACGTTGCACAGTGAGAGATGCTATGAATATTAGAATGGGCTAGAATGCATTAATTTGTCATTAGGGTTGTGGTTAAAATTGGTTTAGACCTTTAGGGCATATGTGGTAAATTTACAATGAAACTTCTGTTTTTAAGAAGCATGGAGAATTTGCAACATATGTATTATTAATGTGTATTTCACATGGTTGCTTTAGAGGTTGCTTATGGTATGGTTCTTTCTGATATACAACCTTGTGTTTTGTAGGTTCTTGCATTAATGTTTGCTGCTTATGCATGAGCTAAGGTTTTATTTGCATGTGACTGTTTGTAAATGCTTTTTGATCATGCAAGTCATTCGAAACATCATTCCCATTTTATGTTGTGGATTTTGTCCAACTCAAATACCTTTTTAAATCAAGAAATTGGTACAATTGTATTATTTCATCCTTAGCTTATGCATTTAAAGTCAAGCATTGCTTATTGCAAGGAAGCTGGAATCTGGAAGCTGAATACCTGAATGTTAAAATTTGGATTGAAATATGAATAACATGGCCATAAAATAAAACATCACAAAAAGAGAAAACTTATTATAGACTACTGGGTTTTTGTACTCTGGGGTATTGTGACATGAGGTAGGTTGTATAAAAAAATTCAACAATCGTTCAATTTTGTTAATATAACTTTCTGGTTTATGGTCATAATTTCAACTTTCAATCCAAGTTAAGCAGCGAGTGAGCGATCAGAACAACTCACATACATGTATATGAGAGTTCTGTATTGAGAGTGGTACATAATGATGGCAAGTGGTATGTATTGTTATCTTACAGCAAGACCAGAATGGTTCCCAGACAAGCTTGAACATGGACCTGGAGAATGCATTGATTAAACTGGAGGAGGAACAGCAAAGGTAGAGAGAGTGTGACACGACAATGTAGTTAAACTCACCATGTGTGATGTGTGTATTATAATGCTACAGAACCTAAACCTCTACAGGGACTACACTATAGTTTCAGTTGTGTGTCACTCTGAGAGTGAAATTGGTTCTGAAGCTGTATTATAAGAGAATGCACAAAGTATTGTATTAAGATTGTGAAATGTGTGGTTTTACCCTATACTCCGAGTCCCTGCATGAAATGTTCCAGAAAACAATTACATGGAAAGTCTAATATACAGATTCAAAATGTTCCCAAATTGAGGCAAAGCTTCCTTCATCTATTAGTACATAACCCATTTGGCCATTGTTTCTTTTGGTTCTGCACTTTACTGGACAAAATTTACAAGAATTCACACAGTTATTATTTTGATTCGTATAGCACTGTTAAAAAGACTTGGGTGTTCTGTATTGAATAATTGATTCACACATTTTGTTAATACAAATCCCCAGGATCCCATCAATTCACTTATTTGATTACTCAACCCCCTACCACTGATAAGATTACACACACTTCAAATTAACATTGAAATTTGTATGTGTTTGACAATGTGCTGAACCTTATGAATGGTTATTGTGTAATTAATTGCAAGATTGATTTATCATCAGTTTATTGCATGGTTTGACTAATAAAACAATTTGCGTTAACTAATTTATTGTTTTCACTTGAAAAGACAGTTATTATCAAGGGTTTTGTATTTGAATATTTCATTGCAAACATAAAGGGTGATAATTGATTGCAAGGAGCTGTCATGATATATTCAAATCTAAGAAAAATGCCAATTTTTGCTTTTCACGAAAATTAGACATTGTATTTTCAAGTTATGTAACTTTGCAAAGATGAATATTTATTGTTTTGTCAAAATGTAAATTGATCAAATTGATGAAAATAAATTATTCCTAAATAGTTAAAAAAACACTTTTTGCAAATGTAATTTTATCGCCTTCAACAACCTTCAGTCCCCAGAAATGAAATTGTGCCAATATAAGCCCATAAATGACATATGGAGGGACCTGGCATATCCCTGATGCTTCAATTGCTCTTTGTAGGAGTGCCAGTCTGGCCCATGTTAACTCTATGTTACGTGAACAACTGGATCAGGCTACTGCCGCCAACCAGTCCCTCACAGCTGACATCCACAAGCTCACCCAGGATTGGCAGTATGCAAGGGAAGAATTGGAGGCCAAGGAGGCTGAATGGAGGGATGAAGAACAGGTGAGAATCTTAAAAATGAATGCTTCTCATCATCATCATTTAACAAAGCTCTATCACATTTGATAATACCAGGGGTGAGCTCTATTAAATAAAATTGCATTCACATGATGTCAAATGACTTCCAGTTCAAAGTTTACAACATTCTCCTTGAGGAGACTGATGCTCTATCAGTGGATTGTACAACCACAAATCAAAGAAATATTTGGATCATTGATTTTCAAGTTCACTGAAGTACCTTATATTAAAAATACCCCAATCTGAATATCTTTGCACCAGTTCACTTTTCTACATTGCCTGACATGTATATCATGTATTGATTTCCTGTCAGGAACGCTCATGTAACAATAGGTTGACAATCAATGAACTAAATGTTGTTTTAACAATGGTTAGCTAAATATGTTAATAGAGCAACCAGGTAAAACAAGGGTGAACTCACAGTCAACACTTCGCTGTTGATCTATGCCTAATAGGTATTGTCTTGACGTTTAAAGGTTACATCATAATATTGGAACAAGTGCAAATCAAACAATGTTCATCGATAATCTAGTGTTTGTATATGAAGTGCTTGTCGTTTATTAAAACATTATTTGTCAACGTCTGAAGCGTGGTCTGGAGTCATGTCCGACCTTGTTACTGCAAAATTGTTTTCCCAGTGTAAATATGTACACTCAGATGTCATAGTAGTATAATATCAAATACAAACAAGTCTTGTGATGTAATTCTAAATGTCACTTCATGTTTATTTAAATTTTGAATTTCAGTCCTTCAATGAATACTTCAGTGCTGAGCATGGCCGTCTGCTATCTCTGTGGCGCGCTGTCGTTGCTTTCCGTCGCCAATTTGGAGAGATGAAGAGTGCAACCGAGCGTGACATGGCTCACATGCGTGCTGACTTCACACGTTGTTCCCGCAGCATGCATTCCGCCTGTCTCAACCTTGGTGCCAATGCTCGCAACTCAGACACACAATCTCAGGTAAATTCAGCTCAATATATCAATAAATGTTGTGCAATGGAAATTCACTTAAAGGATTCAAAATGCAAAAAATGTATTCTTATATTCTCATGGTAAAATTCTGATGTGAATACTCTATAATGCAAGTATTTGAACTATTTGCCTTGCTTCTAGGTATCTCAAGATCGTGAGCGTGGTGAGCGTAACAGCATTGACAGCCAGCTTCGCGAGAAGGTACGAGAGGTGATTGAACTGCAGGCCAAGTTTGATGTACAAAGTGCTGAACTGAATTCTAGGTTAGTAATTGTAATCTTAGTAATTTAGTTGAATAAAACTAGTGTTTGAGAAGATTGAAATAAGATCACATTTTTATTTGAAAATAGTTTATTGGAGGTAATAGTTATTTTATTTCAGCATGAACAGCAAGATTTATATTAAAATGTATTGGCATAATGTCTGAACCAGCCTCTGTATATATAATTGTCTATGCCATCATGTTATATTTGCATTTCTGTTTCTGCCCTTGCAGAGTCAATGAGCTGACCATGAACAATGAGAAGCTAAAGATTCAGATTGCAGAGAAAGACAAGTCCATCTCCAACATGCAGGCCAATCTCAGCAAGCTTGAGGTGTCCAACATTGAGAGATCCCGCGAGAATGCTATTGAGGGTGAATCTCTGCAGAACCTGCGTGAGGAGACCGACTCCATGCACGCAGCACTCAGGGATATCGCTCAGGCTGTCATTATGGATGCTGATCAGTCAATGCAGGAGGAGACAGAAGTGGGTGGTGGTGATCTATCATTCCGATCCACATCCCCACTCCGCTCTACCTCCCCTCGTCCTAGATCTCGCACTCGCTCTATGTCTCCACGTCGCGCTCGCTCCCCAGCTTTTGCTGATTCCACATTCAGCGCTGTCCAGGCTGCATTAAACAAACGCCAACTCCAAGTACAAGAGTTCAAGGCTAAGCTTAATGCGACCAAAGACCAAAACAACAAACTCAAGAAATCTCTAGATGATGTTGAGGCTGAACGTAGAACACTGGAGAGCACTGTGATGGCCCACAGAGAGGAGTTGGAGTCGGCACGTCGTGATAGAGATGACTCATTCCGCGACAGAGACCGCTACAAGAACAACCTCAACCTGACATCTGGTGAGAAATCCAATCTAGAGAAGCTGAGATCAACAATGAATGAGCGTATTGATCAGATAAGTGGGGAGAACAGCAAGCTGCAGGCAGCTAATGCTGAGCTCCAGAGACAGAGAGACAACTTGGAAGATGAGAAGGATGATATTAACAAGGATAAGGACAGGCAGATCAACGAAAACCAGAGATGGTAAGTATACAAAGATGAATGAATGATTTGCTTCTTTAAATGTTATATACAGTGTTGGATATTTTTAAAAGAATCATATTTTTTACTTTCCTGTCGATCTTTCTCTGAAATATTGAAGGTTATCTTTCTTAACTATCTACATGCACTCTATAAGCTGGATGGTGGACATAGACCTGTCATAAATAATTAAATATTTGGTCTGTTCTTGCAGCCACAAGGTGATTGAGCAGTTGGAAGGCAAGAACTCTACTCTGAAAGAAGAGCTGGTCTCTGCTAAGGAGGCTCTCAACAGAGCTCTGTTGGAGAAAGAGGTTCTTGATCATGAGAAGGGAGAGCTCAGTAAGTTTTCCAATGAATTTATATTACAAATATAACAGAGCTGATGGAGAAAAAGCAAGCAATTTCAGATTTGTCTTAGTAATGAAAAAGTGCTGTCAAAGAACCTTTACTCTATGAGAATATAGTACTTAAAACTATATACAAACTGAGTACCTGTATAGTAAATTGGGCCAATTTAAAAAAAAAATTATCGTTTATTGATAAATCTTTTATTTTCATAGATGAGGCCCTATCCAGGAATGAACTACAGAAGGCTGAGCTTGAACTTGAGATCAACAAACTTAAGACTGAGGAGGCAAGTCTCAGGGATGCACTGCTCAAGATGCAGGCTCTCAATGAGGGATTGGGACAAGACAAAGTGGAGCTCAACAAGATCATCATGGCTGTAAGTGATTCTTTTAAACACAGAATATTTCACAGTGAGAAACCATTTTGTGAAGCTCTACCCTATAAATAAGCTCACATTTTAGCTCTCTTTTAGTTTTGTATGTAGGGTTTCATCATTTCGTGGATCCATTAAGAATTTTCTGATAATCTCTGTATTATGTGTGAAGAGTTAATCACATATCGTAGTTATTACTAAACACAGTAAGTATGAAAATTTCATGATTGTATCAATTTCCAGATGGAGGCCGACAGAGCTTCTATATCCAATGAGAAGCAGACATTAGAGCTCGAGAAGTCTGGCCTGAAGGAGGAGATCCTACGAGTTGAGACTGAAAAGATGGACCTTGACACAGAGAAGGCTGGACTCAACCAGACTCTTGAGTATGCAGAGATGAGTCGCGAGAAACTTGAACAAGAAATCATGGAGAATAACAGAGAACGTGCTGAAATCCAGGAACAGCTTAGCACTGTAAGTTGTACTTTTAAATGGCTTGGGACTGAGAAATTTCCAACATGGATCTAAAGATGGTTGTTGTACTTAATATACAAAGAAAGTAAAGATGAAGGGGAAATTAAACTCAATCATATATCTAAGGTGCAGTAACTCAGTTTATGAACAAGATTTTATGTTTTTTAGGTTACAAGACAGAAGACTTCACTGGCTGAGGAACTGGTTCAGGCCCGTAAAGAAGTTGAACGCCAAAATGAGACAGTTGTTCGTATTGCTAAGGAGAAAGAAGAGCTCACCAAGGATAAGGCTGAACTAGCTGTGCAACTGACAGCTTCTGAGCGTGAGAACCGTGTGCAGAGTGAGGTGATCGCTGGACTTAAGAGTGATAAGGACAGCTTAGAGACAGCTCTATATGAGTCTCAACAACTCACAGCACAGCTAGAGACCAGGAAAGAGCAGCTGGAGGGAGAGAACCAAGAGCTGATCCTCAAGAAGGAGACACTCCAAGGTAAGGATATGTTATTCAAGTTACCATAAGAAAAGTCTATATTAATACATATCTGATAGATTATAGGTGCATTAATGTTTGCTTCACGTTTAACTGAATTGTTTGGAGAAATCCAGATGGGTTATTAACCATACTGCATTTGTTCTTGTAGCTGATATTGTTCGTCTGCACAAAGAGATGGAAGTCGAGGTAGAGAAACTAGAGCGACAAAAAGAAAGCATCAGTCAGAAACTCTCTAATACCGAGCAAGACCTTCAGATGGCTCTCAAGCAAGAACAAACATCTCATGAGGAAGATATTGAACGTCTCTCCAGAGAAAAGGTAAACTCATTATAGAATTGCAGAGCTTAAATTTAATTTTTGATTTCAATTATTGTGATATATGCTGTTTGTTGTATTCACTATGATTAAGCATCTACATTTGTACAAAGAAGTTCATTAAAATCCAGTTCATGCATAATCGGCATTGAAATATCAACTTTGTTCTCCAGGAGAGCCAGAGACTTGACATGGAGGCCCAGCGTGAGGAGCTGATCCACAACTACACAATGGAGCGTGATGAGATTATCGCCAAGGCCCAGAGAGAAAAGGAAGAACTGGACAATGACATCATTAACCTCCAGCGTGAACGTGACGACTCTCTACTGCTGATGGAGAATGAGAAGCAACAGGCACTCTCATTGGCTGAACAGGAACGCAGCACCTTACAAGAGAAATTGGCTAACACTGCCTCTGATCTAAACAACTCGAGGGTAGAATATGAAGGCCTCAAGCGTGAGAGTAACACCCGCACAGAACAAGATCGAAGCACCATCAACAATGTACAAGCTGAGCTCAAGAAATTCAGGACACAGTTTGAAGAGGCAACGTAAGAGTTTGAAGCTTTCTTTTAATTAGAAATAAATAGTTTTTCAAGAAACCATGTTGCATTATTTTATATTTATTTCTTTTCTATATTTAAATGACATTGTACGTACCTTTTATGAGAATTTTACAAGAATTTAAAAACTTGAATAAATAATTTTCTGGGATACTTTCTGGGATGCTTTGGGAATAGTATACATGTACGCTCATCTATCACTTCTACGTAATAAAATTTTATGGAAAAATAATTTTTTGATTTCAGTGCTGCACATGACAATGAACTGAAAAACCTAAACATCCAGATCGTAGACCTGACACGCAGTCGTGACAGTGCCAACATGGAAGTTGCTGAACTGAAAGTACAACTCAAAATGGTGGAAGAAACAAGGGACTCCATCCGTCGTGATCTCATTGAGGCAAATCGCAAGATCCGTGAGAGTGATGAACACAAAGAACTGATGCGTAAAGAGATTAGCGAGTTGAAACGCAACCTGAATGATGAGATTCGTGAAAAAGATGCATCACAGAAGACTGGAGAAGAGCTTAGGTCCAAGGTTAAGAAAACTGAGAGTGAGAAAGTTGAACTTAACAGAGTTATCCAAGATGCTAGACAGAGAATTGCTAGTAAGTACAGAATAACACTTTAAAACATGGTCATTTTCAACTTAATTACATGTTGCTATTGAATTATTTCACCATTGATTTCAATGGGTATAACTCTGAAATATTTATTATGGCACAAAATATTAGAAATTCATAATTTGTGGAAATTGATTTGTGAATCAAAGGTGTTTTTAATGGTATTTCAAATTGTTAATTGTTGGTTTAAATTATCAACTAGTTTTGGTCTATCTATTACCTTGAACAAATTATATCTCTTAATCTCCTGTTATCTTCTTATATAGATAATTGTCAAGTTTATCATTGTTAAGTAGATCAACTACTATGGATTATTCTATAAACATTGATAGCATTACAGAATACAATCTTCCAATTGACAATCATATAAAGTTAATACACCTCAGTATTAAAAATCAAGTGGATTGGTGATGACAATAAACTGTGTAACACCAACAATACATTGAACATTTCAGTCCTTGAAGAGCAGAAGACTGGTGTACAAAAGGAGGCCTCAGATCTACGTGGAAGCCTCAGGGAAGTTGAGAAGGCACGTCTAGATGCACGCCGCGAGCTTCAAGAATTACGCCGTCAAGTCAAGATGCTTGATGGAGAGCGTAATAAGCTTGGCAAAGAGGTTGATGATCTCCAGAACAGAGTCAGTAGAGATGAAGAGAAGGAAGAGGAAGCAAGAAGAGAATCATTTGGCCTCAAACAGAGGGTAAATGTTTTTTCATGATTTCACTTATACTACGTAAAAACTATAGATATTTGCATATATTTCTTTAATTGAAGAAAATATATTCATATAGTATTTGAAGCACAAAGATATTTGATTTACAAAATATATATATGAGAAAATATTTTGACCGTGATTTGGTCACTTTTAACATCAGTTTACCTTATGAATTCTGTTGATGATTCCAGGTTGTAGAGACTGAAGCCAGTAGAGAGGCACTCCGTAAAGAGCTGGCCAACTTACAGCGCAAGTTTGGTGAGTTTGAAGATGAGGTCAGACTCAGGGAGAAGGACTTCACCATGGCTCTTGAGGACAAAATGCGCAATGAACGCAAACTTGAGGACAATAAGCGTAATCTTGAGATTGCACTGGACAATGCTAATACTGAACTAGCAGACTTGCGTCTGAAACTAAGTGGTGCTGAAGGCCGAATTAACGGCCTGGAAGCCCAGCTTGCCAGAATTGAGGGTGCCAAACGTGATGTTGAATTTAAACTTAACAGTATTCACTCAAGCCTGCGGCGTACTATTGGCTTCAGACAGGATATGCCAAGAGCTGCTAGTCCTCTGCGTACACGTAGCCCCAGTCCTAGGAGATCAAGATCTAGGCCCAGCTCACCAACTAAAGGTCAGTATCAGGAACTTGTTAAAACCTGTATTTCTTAATAATTTTTAGTAAGCAATACATTGCAATAGTTATTTGGTCAGTAAATCCTCAATGGTATATACATTACAGTACCAGAGAAATATTTTTGTTTTTCTATACACTGATAAATACATTTTATGCATATGAATGATTATTCCCATTTTTGATTGCAGGTTTTGAAAATACATTCAGTACAACAACTGATGGTCGTGGCAGCCCTATTCCCCGCACTGGCTCTCCAGATCGTGCACGAAGCCCCATGCGTAGCATGTCACCATCCAGAACCATGAACAACACACTCAATGAAACAAGTTCCGATTTCACCGACATTGACCCAGAATCTGTCCGTTTGGCCCTCCGTGACTTCGTCCAACAGCTTGCTGGTGCTGAACGTGAACGAGATGACGCAGTCTCTCAGGCACGCAGCCTAACCATGCAGCTTAGAGAGATGGAGGAAGACAGAGACAGAACAGAAGGACGTCTACAAAACCTACAGAAATCTCTGGGTGAGGTTGAGGAGGATAAGCGTGGTATTGATGGAAGGCTGGCCAGTGCCCAGACTGCCCTCATGCTCCAGGAAGAGACAATCAGAAGGAACGAAAGGGAACGAAAGGGAATGGCTGATAAGATCAGCACTCTAGAACGCAACATTGCAACTCAGGACTCAGAAAAGAGACAGATGGCTGTAAGTTCAATTGTATGAATGCTCTGTATATAAAAGTGAATATCAACTCAAATAACCATTAAGAAATGTGGTAATTCCCTACTACTACTTAGCATTTTTCTAATATTTTGATGAAACAAAAGGGTGAATCTTATGGCATAAGCAGGTGGTAAATTCAAATTCACTATACATGCTTGCTCACATCTGAGGTTGTACATTAATATAAGGTAATGAAACTCAATCCTAAAACATTTTCTTTCTTACTTCAGGAGAAGATGTCGAAGCAAAAACAGAATGAAGCCAGACTAGAGGAGGACAAGAAACAACTCCGCATTGCTTTAGAAGATGCTGAGAACAGATGCACCAAACTTGAATTAACCAGACGATCGCTAGAAGGTGACATGCAACGTATGAAGCTGGTCCTGACAGACAAGGAGACAGAGAACCAGGTGTTGGCAGACAGAGTAGATAACCTTGGCAAGCAGGTACAAGACTTAGAGGGCAAGAGCCAGTCTCTGCAACTGACCATTGACAGACTCAGCCTGGCATTGGCCAAGACTGAGGAGGAAGAAAGCCAACAGAAAGATAAGGTAAATATGAAAAAATATTGTTTATGATTTATCTAAATATGGTAATATTAACATAAATATATATTAGAATGAATAGCTTTATACGTATCATCAGTTACTATTTTGACAGGTGCTATATTAGCATCAGCTACCATTTAAATATACAGTACAAACAAAATAATCAGGTAAGGGGTACATTATGCAAGTGAATATTTATAAAATGACTGATATCATGAATTAAATATGTGTGTATTTCCACTTCTAGGTACAAGCATTAAACATCTCACTGACTGACCAGAGTTCCACAATCCATGAGCTCCAGGAGCGTCAGCAACAGCTACAACGTGCACTTACAAGCAGTGAACATGATCGTAGAGTACTCACTGAGAGACTGGATGCTGCAAGGTAAAACCCCAGTTCATTTAGTTTACTTACATTAACATAGCCACAAATGATATGTTATAATAGTTCATCATAAAATAAACAAGTGAAAATTGTTGTGGAAAATTATGAGAGATTCATGTCAAAGGAACTTATTTAAAGGTCCAATGGACAGAGTGTAACATTATAAGATAAGAGACATTCTAAGTCCCAAATTAGAATCGGGTTAATTTTTAGACAATTTTATTGTCAACTAATTTTTTGTGTTGATCTACAGGCAAGCATCCAACGAAGCTAAGAAACAGAACCATAATCTAATGGAGCGTGTCCAAGCTATGCAGAATGAGCTCGGAGATAGTGAAGTCAGGCGCAATGAGCTAGAAGGCCAAGTCAGGCAGTCACACAGTGTAAGTACATAAACAAGAACAGCCAAATGACAACATTATATTCATGAAAAGTAAATGTATAAGATATAGTATAAGCGAAATATATTACAGAAATTCAATGTGGTTCCACCTGTATACAAGGGGCGATCCATATATTCTGATAAAAATGCTCTCATTTTGTGATTTTTTTTTTACAAATCCCTCTCATTTTTTCAGAACATATAGATTATGTTATTACACATACCCACATTCTTTTAACTTTACCATGTAATTTAACATATCAAAATGTTCAATTTGTCCCCATGTGTTTAATATACACATTAGTCCAATGAGTTCCAATGTATTATATGTATACTATACTAACAGGTGATAGTACAGAGACAAGAGACTGAACAGGAATTACAACAGAAGTTGAACAAAATGCAAAGTAAGAACCAGTCCCTAACTGAACGCACAGCTGCTCTACAGAGGGCCCTGTCAGCGGCTGAGAATGAAAAGCGTGAACTAGAACATGGTATTGTTCGATTTGAGAAGGACAAGAGCGCTCTCAAGAAGACTTTGGATAAGGTAATAGTTGTTTGCAGTTTTGAATATATTAATTGCAGAGGTGACATTGTTGATAAATGAAAGCACAGATTGAATCATATACTGTGGGGATTGATGCAATGAAGAGTGTATCAATAACTTATAACTTAAATTAACAATTCTGCAAAGTTTTTGTTTAGTAAAGTGTCAGTGTTTATTCATAAAACATCAAAATTCATTGTATATTGTGCATGTTAAAATGATATACATGTACTATTATTTCAGGTTGAGCGTGAAAAACTAAGAACTGAGGAGATTGCCAGCCGCTCTGTCATGGAGAAATCATCCTTGGATACCAACCTGTCTCGCCTTGAGGAAGACAACATGGAACTGCAGCGTAGACTACAAAGTCTAGAGGCACAACTAGCAGAGACTGAGCAACAACATGCACAGAGGTATGTATCCCCATAGTCCTGGGCTATTTATATAGTGAGCACTTATTGCCTGTATGTATAATAAGTACTGTACCATGAAATACCAATGACAAAAAATCGCTTTTATTAGCATTGAAATATGAGAGAGCGAAGTTGGGAGGCCAGGAAGATGCTTGTACAGATACTCATGTAATGTGAGAGAATTACATGGATTCAGGTATCAAAGTTATCTAATAATTTTGTTTTCCCTTTAGACTCATTGACTTGACCACACGTCACAGAACAGAGACTGAAATGGAAACAGAGAGACTACGTACTGGTCAACTCCAAGCTGAGCGTACCTTAGAGGCTCGTGAACGTGCACACAGACAGAGAGTCAAAGGACTCGAAGAACAGGTAAAAACATAAATATCAAATACCATAACTACAATGTGACTTTACAATGAAAACTTGTACCTTCAGGTATTAAATAAATCAGTATTTACGTATAGTACTCAGTGATATAAAATTGACAGTAAAATGTCAAAAAAGTAAACATGGAATGGATGGTCCTCTGATATTTTTGAAATGAATAATCATTTGTGTATATTCCAGATCTCCACACTCAAAGACCAACTAAATCAGGAGATGCACAAACGTCAACAGTTTATCTCCCGCAGCGGCAGGACTGGGGAAGAAATCAAAAGCATTCGTGGAGCCCTGGATATGTCCTTGGGCAATGTCACCAGAGACCCAACTCTAGACCCCATTTTGATGGAACATGAGACCCGTAAACTTGACGATACAGTTGATTTCCATACCAGTATTCGAACCTCTCCCAGTCGCTTGTCTCCCAGGCGTCGTTCCCCTACCCGCAGCTCCTCCCCAATCAGATTGTCTCGAGTGACCTCTACTCCATCCAGAGGCAGCATGGCCTCATCATTCCGACCCAGTCCTAGCCCAATCAAGGGCCGCAAGAAGTAATGAGGACATCTATTGACCAAGCAGCATAATTACACTGCCATCTATTCTCCTAGTGTCAAGATATGGACTAGTGTTATAGAGATTGTGGTGGAGTCCATCAGATAACCACACATTGACCTAGGCTATATGAAATATCATACTCAATGTACTATATAGTATTGTAAGAGGGGATGAAGGATGCGTATGTAAATTATATATAGCAACAGATAGAGAACTAGATACAGGGTAGAAGGCTTCACTTCGCATCCTTTATCCTCACTGGATTGTAAATTATTTAAAGATATGATGTATATGAATTGATATTTAATATCTACACATTGGTTTAAGTATCAGCCAGCACTGCCATGGATACAAGCTCATCATGGTTTCTATGGATACAAGCTCAGTGTACAACCACAGTCAAGTTGGCAATTTTATATTTTAAAACTGTAAATATAAATATTGAAACAAGTCCGCCTCACAAAAACATTAATTGGTAAAATACTTGTGCTTTAAAGCATGAAATACTCAGCCTTGAAATGTGGTCTTGATTGAATGGCTAAATTGTTCTTGTACCACTTTAAAATGACAATTTTGTCATTCAGTCCCAGTCATTGAATGAATTGAAATGAATTCTACCCCTGTGAGGACTCCTATGCAAGTGGTTGTTACAGTCAGCATTCCTTATTTTACTACAGTGAAGAGATCATAGCAAACCTATAACCCTGTTAGGAGGGTGAATATTGACCATATTGTTTAATGGAGTCTGGCCCTCTGCCAATGAAATAAATCTTTGATTGTATTTCCAGATAATAATGTGTGCTAAAGAGATCAATATATATCAAAATGTATACATATTTAATAAGTATATTATATATAAATGAGTTTCACAATATTTTGTAACAATTTGGCCAGCATTGTATCGCCACAGAATTATTTAGAAGTGTGATCGTGATTGGGTCATGGAGCATCTTGTCACAAAGTGTTAGAATATAATTCTGAAAAATTATGTTTTTCACAGAATTCACCAGGCCACAAAACAATGCATACCAAAGTGATAGATTTTTACATAAGTTTGCTGATATTCTAACTCATATTTTACACGAATCACTTGTACTCTAAAGTAACTGATCTCAGATATAGATAGTCTGAACTGTATATTTGAACACTGTAGTTTAGTTGCCAATGCAAAACACTCCGTCCATAAGGCCTTTTGCCTTGAAATGTAAGCATTGGTCGTAGCGAGTTTGAATTTCATTCTTTTAAACATCAACCGTAAATCTTTACACAGTCACTTTTTTATCAACCTAACAAGTGTGTTAAATTGACTTCAATCATGTACATAACAATTTATTTATAGATTTTATTCATTAAATTTTATTCAGAAGGTTTCATAATGAATTTATTTGGTATGACTGATATTTGTTATGATGGATTCCAGTATTGTTTGTTAAGCCACCAGGGCTGAGATATTGTAATGGAAATATTGTAATGGAAATATTGTAATGGAGATTACAAGCTTGCTTGCATTGTAAGAAGGGATATCAATTTATTTATAGTCATTTTTTTCTTTAGTTTGTTAATGCTGTTTTATTGTTTACACCTCGTAGTGATCATGAATGTATAGTAGATTTTGAAATAAATGTGTGAACTTAAAATAATCTCATTTGTTTGTAATTTGTTTAAAGTGTATTTATGAATATTCCACGGTTTGAATGTACCATTTGAAAGGATAATGAGTCGGAAACAAATTCCTTGGAAGATGATAAATGCTGGATGGTTATATGACAGTTTATGTCTTTATTGTATATGTGTGTCTGATGGATTCAAATTGTTCAAAATTCTGAAATATTTAAGTTGTAATGTCATAGGGTCCAGAAGTATGAAGGGAACTTTTACCTCCAAATCCATTTTACAATAAAATACATGTCATTCAAAAATCCATGAGAGTATATTGTCTAACTTATAAGGTCCTTGTCAGCTTATTTCATCTGCCTTTCAAATGGTACATTTAAACCCTTGGATACATGATTTCATTCTTTTGACCCTAGATTGTTCAGCTCAACCAATAATGTTTCATAAATGAAAGATTAATAGCTAGGTCTACGTGTTCTTAGATATCAAACCAGACAATAGCTGACAGTTAATATTTGCTTGAATGCATAATTTAATTCTTAGATACAATTTAAAGCAGACGTGATTATGTATCTTATTGACGGGTTTGTATTAATTAGAGAAAGTTCATCCAGCAGGTTATGTTACACAGCATACATTACTGTCAAAAATGTCAAAGGCAAATACATAATCAATTAGTTAAATAATTAAACCACCTACATTGTACGCTTATGTTTGAATATATGAAGGATTAGTGTGGGAGGATATTACACTACCCCCCATAAGTTTGGTAACTAAAATCCCCTTTTAGACCATTTATTTATTTTTTATTTGGTGATTTAAAAAATCATCAAATTTTTCATATTTCCAAACTATTAGGAATTGAGGAATAAAAGTATGAAATAACTATTAGTAACTAAGGAATAAAATTAAGATTTAAACATTGTCAGGCTTTGATACATGCTATCCAATGAAAACTTCTGGTTTCCAAACCTATGGAGGGGAGTGTAAGACCGGTTAAATGTATCATGGAATAAGAAGTTTATACATTAACACAGTGAGTGATTAAAGGTTGAAAATGTGATTGTCCAACTTAATAGGCTAGAAATATAGAACAACATTACTGTATTCAGTGTATACGTTTAGGGACTGTCAGTCGAAATTAAACAATCAAATGTATACAATATGAATCTTAAACATTTTCCCCTTTCACAATTAGGAAAATTTAAAAATGGATTTTGATTTCAATTTTGCATTCGGCATAATTTTTAGCTATACATGTACAGTAATCAGATGATTGGAATATTAGAAATTAGGTTTTTCATGTTTATTGCCAGTGTAATACTAGTAAGTAGCAATAAGATGGCCATAAGTTTCAAACCTTGCAATATTTAATGATTTTATTATTATATCTCTTTATTTCCCATTTAGCATGGAGTACAAAAATTTAAACATTTAACACAACAGTGAAAATTAACCAAAAACAACGACATAAAAACACATCTAAAAATTTAAGACAATAACAAAAAACACACAAAACAACAAGAACAATCCACATCTAAAATGTCAATGACAAGTAGTAAAGTATATATTAAAAAATCACAAACAGTGGTGGAAAGTCACATTTCTAAAAAATATTTGCATCACTCTAAAATGGAGTGGTAAGATCAATATTTAAAAGTTCTACAACAGTACACAAGAAAGGTAGGAGAATTGCCAAGACTTTTGAATTGTCTGTAAAATATAAGCTGGAGAGGCCTTTCACTGACACACAAAAGGGGTTTTCTCGAAAATCCTTTTTGAACGACTCTATCTTAAGCCCAATTCTGTTAAGGTTCAAGACATCGCTTAAGTTGTGTAGCATTTCATTGCGAGCATCTTCAGTTTTGGAACAATCCAACAGTCCATGTGAAACCGAATCCGGAGTTAGCACGCCACAGTGCTCACACAGGTTTTCATCATTACTTAACGGGATTGTTAACAGTTTTGAGGCTACGGTGGCAAACTTTAGCAGACCAGGGACGACCTTTGAGTGTTTCCAAAGTGGACACGGTTCTATTGAATCTTGTATTTGTCTCAGTCGACTAAAACTAACATCATTAGAAGTTCTATCTTGCCATTCAGAGTTTTGTACTGAATTTATTGTATGTTTTACAATGTTTTTCCAAATTCTTTGTGGCGGAAAATACCCACTAGCTAAGTATTCGCGTAATGAATCTAGACTGTATTTATTTAATATTCTGTGAATATCAGGAATAAACCCCTTCTGGGAAGGGGACATCTCATTTAAATGTAGTCTGGTAAGAAACACACGTTTCGCCAAATGAGTGTGCTTCAGATGTATAAGGCGTCCTAAAAAGAGTAATTTTTTACTATCTATCATTGATTCAATGTTGTTTAGACCAAGCATTCCTAAAGTTAAGTCTGTTCTTGTCCATTTGGATTGATCTTGCAGCGTTTTAGCGATGAATCTGAGACCTTTCTCAAGCTGGAGTGTTTGTGTTTTTGTCATTTCATACCAAAGCTCGGCACCATATAAGGCTGTGGGAATACAAATGCAAATACAAATACAAATTTTTTTTAAGTATAATTTTTCCCGAAGCCATTATTGGCTGACAAAAAGAAGATTTTTTATAATACTGTACTATTTAAATTATAAAAGTTATGTATTTATAACCACAATGTGCAAAATTATTGCATACAGTCATCCTATGGTGAATCACATAATTCTGGGAATTTTTTAAAATTCATCCTTTATTGCATGTTTTATTTTACAATACATAGCATGTATATGTATATTGTTCATCTGCCTAGAATGCCATGATTTTGCTAATACATGTACCTAATTTCACATTTTGATTGTTTATTTACATACATGTAATTCAGGGAATCTTATTTGATTCATACCATAATTCTGGGAAATGATTATCTTCTACACACCTGTATTTTAATTACAAACATAGACATTTATTCAATCTGATGGCCACTATTACCATGGACACGTTCTCAGAAGTGATTAGGTAACAGCTTGGATAAACATTGAAAAGAATTATTTGACAGTTTTTATGAAATATACATTTTATTTCTTTGAACTAGTTAAGCTGTACTCTAACCTCAACACCAGCTGGAAGTTTCTCTTTCATTAAGATCAGAAAAATAAATCTTATTTCTGAACACAATTAAATTTAAATTAATCTGATCATTTTTAAATCAAGAATTAGTCTTTAAAGTCTTTTATCCTTGATATGTTTATTTTTGCTTTGATGAGACATTTTTTCAAGATACAACCTCAACCAAGTAAATGTAATATTTCTCATTCACATAATATCAAGGCACCAGAAATATGACGAAGAATTCGCAACACAAAATCAATCAAATAAAATTTGATATCTGCCAATGATTAATTAGAGAAGCAGATTCTCTATGAATTAGTTACCGGCAAGAACCTGTTGAATGATTCGCTCCTTAAATGAAATTAAAGTAATACATTCGTCTCTCAAAAAATGTATTCATTATGATTTTAGGCTGTAACTTGTTGAAATGACAGCTTCAATTGTTTTTGAGATTTTGCAAAAACATACTTGTGAATTAATTCAATAGTCAAGGTGATTCGAGTAACGTGAGCTGGGAGATCTGTTGAGTGAAACTTGGATCAATATATCAACTCGATAGAGACTTAAGATCAGTCAACACAATAGACTTACCTAGGATGTCATGAATAAGTTTATTGCAAAGATGTCAGGTGGTTTGAAACAGAAAAAAAGATTTACATCAAAGTAGAGGATGATTTAAAGAACAAACGTGCAGTGCAATACCATAAACAGTAAAGAGCTGGAAATATCATAGCATCTACAATCTACGACAAGAAAGGAAATTATTGATATTTGAATTCAGTTTCTGTAATTCTATTTCCTTGGAATATCCAGGTAATAAAATCAAAGCCTACTGAGAACAAAGGCATATGGTTCATGTAATTTTAATGGTCGATGAAGTGTTAGCCTAAGTAATACATTTGAATGAATTGACAACTAGCTATCATAACTGTACAGTTTTATAGTTTTGCAGATTTTCACAACAAGACCATCAATAGAAAAATGGACTTCAGGATTATGAGACCTCAAATAATAGGATTTAAAACAAGACATAACTGACCAGCTTACAAACATTAAAACAACAATAATGAAAAAGTACAAATCAGCTTCCCAGGAATGTCAAACTCAGGGAAGGTAACAATTCGAGTTAAAATCTGTTTTGCGATGCATTTAATCTCAATAACACTACACTCTATTGCTGTAGGGACAAATTATTGGGCCACACGCAAGAGTACCCTAAAGTTTGGAGGCTTCCATAATGTAGGACTGTGGTATTCTTGCAATGATATACGTGGATGTGTGTCATCATTTTCTCCCGATAACTTACTGGCCAATGAAGGAAAGGACGGTAAGAATTTTTGTTTCTTTTATACGACAAAATGTCATCACTTGGTAACTTATTGCAAATTGTAAAAAGCGTAAAATTTCATTTATGCTTGAATAATCCAATCAGAAATTCTTCAATAATCATACTTTGATGTGATTCAAAAAAACAATGTACCGGCATAAAAAATGTCACCATTTGTAAAACTAGAAATATTGTTATGAAGATGATGCTAAATCCCAATCTCAAAAAATGATGACTATATGTCACCATTTCTTTGTAATGACATAAAATCAGTCAGTATAATTTTTATTACATAATTTGAATAAAAATTGGGAATTAATTTTATAACTGGCCTCTGTCTAATGCAAACACACAGATCAATCAATTTCAAAGTTTTTTATCGGTAAACATTTAGTACAGTTCACTTACAATGTTTAAGGTGAATTATTCCATTCATTTCAACAAGTATAAATGTGTTCCGATCTGCCTCAGGGTTAATCAAAAGCTCTGGAATATGAAATTTAAATCAATTATTAATGGTCACACCTTTTGTACTATACACTGTACATGTATCTCCTAAGTCTTATTTCTAATTACAATGCATATTATGATTACCACTGGATGATCCTACCAAAAAGAAATCACATGTATTTATATACTTAAAAGAGTTTGTTTTCAATTTTGGGCCAAAATAGGTTAAATGTTTTGAAGAATAGGCCTAATTTTAAGTGAGCCTTTTCAAAAAGTTCCAATAAAAAAAAATCTCAATCATGTCAAAATCAAGGTGTGTCCCTGCAGTGATCATATAAGGTTTTCATCTTTTGATAATAAAAAAGACTCAATCCTTAGGCTGTTTAACCAATGCATTCAATCATTGATTTCAAATGATGATTTAACAGAGATCAACAATAATCCCCTAAAGGTTAATTAAATTTATATGAATTAATATTTGTTATTACAATCCTTTTTTATCTGACTTCAGATCAAGATTAGATTAATTTGGAAACCTGAACAAATATTTGATATTTGAATTCAATTCAACATATATTTTCAATGTCATTAAAATAAACAATACCAAATTAAAAGTACAGTAAAACTTGTCTTAGTGAACACCGCTGTCTAGTGAATAACTGTCCCTAGTAGAGACCCTTCCTCCACACATACTCTACTGACTTCTGTATAAATTACCATCTCAGTAGTTAACACCTATGAACACTGAATGTTTTTTTCCTGGCAAAAAAGTGCTCAAGGCAATATTATAAATTCTTTAGCCAATACTTAAGAATCAATTTTCCATTTTTCAAAGTCATTCCAATCAACAAATAAAAGACTGATTTGCATCAATTGACTGATTTCTAAGTAAAACTGTTACAAATCAATACACTTGGTACAAAGATACATTAATTAAAGTAGTTCAACGTGTGCATATATTAACTTTCTTTTCTATTTGGTTTTCAAAGTTTTACTTTGTATAGTTAAACCTGTGTATTAAAGTGGAAAACATTTAGCACCTCAAGAAAATGTTGCACTTGGGAGGTGTTCAACTTATAGAGGTTCATTCAACAATAAGACAGTTCATCTTGGGACTCCGAAGTATTCCACTAAAGGTGTTCCACTTCTAGAAGTATTCCGCTTTACACGTTCCACTATATGTCAAAGAGAGACCTTTGTTTCCCAGCTAGCCTCTTAACTTTCAGGCAATTGGCAAAGTAAAGTTTATGCAAATGTGAAAATCATGCACAAGTAAACTTAGAAGGAGCCAATCAGTTGAATGTAATATTTTTCATCCTGGAATATTTTTTCTGAAAAGATACATACAAGTATATAGATATATTATGTTAAAATTTGAAGAATTTAATGACAAAATATAGGAAAAAATATTTTTTGTGAAAATCATGCACAGGTAAACTTAGAAAGAGTCAATCAGTTGAATCTAATATTTATCATCCTGGAATATTTTTTCTGAATATATACATATATAGATAACTCAAAATATACATACATACATATATCAAAACTTGTAGAACTCAGTGACAAAATATAGAATTATTCCAGTTCAGTTCAAAATATTTAGAAATTATTTCAGAAAATATGTGGGTCAATTCTAAAATTACTAAACTTGTAATATCAAAAGGTAACTGGAAACTTGGAATTTGCCTTCACATACAAACCATTTTTGGCCCACCCTGTAAATGATTTACCCATCACATCAACCATAAGTGAGAATCTGGCAATATAAAAATATCAATAAGTATAAAATTATCCCTCAAACGTACCTATAATTTAATGAATGGACAGTAGCTTATTGATCGGTCTACTGGGCATAAACACTTCTAACGTCAATTCAGCACTTTTTAAATTCAAATCTCAAACATTTTATCATAGAATTAATATTAGCCACCTATTGTTCCTGACAGTGGTAAATGTCACTACATTGAGCAGGAAAGTCATTTATTTGTTACAAAAATGCTTAGAGTTCCAAGGTGATTTCTTTTGAACGAAGAACATTTATTTCCGCCAAGGAAGTGTAACAAAATTTTGATTTTAAATTTTTTGATTTAAGTGCTTCACAGTTGAGATTATTAAGATCTTTGATTGTAGTATCGATTAAAGCACTTTATTTGTACTTACAGAGGTGTTAGCAACTTTTTATTTTATCGAGTTCAGATTTGGTTAATGTTGATCGGGTAGTTTTACCAGTGACTATGGTTACGGTTGATCGAGAACTCTCGACTATCATTTTACAGAAATTATCACTTCCTGCTTTCAATTCGATCAAATCGAAGTGTAATTAGACTAGATAGCGATCATTTATGGTTATATTTATTGAGTTTATACTATAATCTTGTTGATTATGTACCAAACATGTATTGATATTGGGTGTAAAAGCCGAGATCGTGATTTGTAAGTGAAGCCAGTTATTTTTACGAAACTAATATCCTGATTCAGTGATTACATCCGGTGACGAGGTATTGCATCAGCCCACTAATCACTTGTTAGGTTCGTGTGCAAAACCTGTCTGGGGTATAAATACAGAGCCCGGATCGCTCCTATCAGACACGTAGGCAACTTTTGGTTGGAACACATCTCCCGTGCCAGTGTTTCATTTGAGGATTGATGAGAAACTTAGAAGATTTGCTGGATCGAGGAACTTTGTCATTTCCAGACATAGTTTAGAATATTCCAGCCTGTTTGAAGAAATACTGCTGGATCGAGGAACTTTGTCATTTCCAGACATAGTCTAGATAACTCCAGCCTGATTGAAGTAGTACTGCTGGACCGAGAAACTTTGTCATTTCCAGGCATAGTTTAGAATATTCCAGCCCGTTTGATGAAATACTACTGAACTGAGAAACTTTGTCATTACCAGGCAAAGTTTTAGAATATTTTAGCCCGATTGAAGAATTACTGCTGGACCGAGAAACTTTGTCATTTCCAGGCATAGTTTAGAATATTCCAGCCCGTTTGATGAAATACTGCTGAACTGAGAAACTTTGTCATTTCCAGGCAAGGTTTTAGAATATTTCAACCCGACTGAAGAATTACTGCTGGATCGAGAAACTTTGTCAATACCAGACTTAGTTTGCATTATTCCAGCCTGATTGAGAAGGAGTGCCAGAAACTTGTATTTTCAGGCGTTATTAAGCAACTTATGTTTTTCTATTGTTAACTTGAGAAACTTTGATATTTTTGAGATTGAGAAACTTACATTATTCTTTCCATAATTTAGCTAACTTGAGAAACTTTGATATTTTTTTGAGATTGAGAAACTTACATTATTCTTTTCATAATTTAGCTAACTTGAGAAACTTAGCTATTTTTAGATCGATTATTTTTCATCAATTTGCTGACTGAAGAAGTACAGCTGGATTGAGAAACTCTGTCATTTCCCGACATAGTTTATACAATATTCCAGCCTGACTGAAGAGATACAGCTGGACTGAGAAACTCTGTCATTTCCCGACATAGTTGATACAACTCCAGCCTGTTTGAAGGACTCTGCTGGATTGAGGAATATTCCAGCCTGATTGAGGAACTTTGCTGGATTGAGGAATATTCCAGCCTACTGAAGAAATACGGCTGGATTGAGGAACGTTGTCACTTCCAGGCTAGGCATAGTTCATAATATTCCAGCCTGACTGAAGAAATACAGCTGGACTGAGAAACTCTGTCATTTCCCGACATAGTTTATACAATATTCCAGCCTGATTGAGGAATTTTGCTGGATTGAGAAACTTTGTCATTTCCCGACATAGTTTATACAATATTCCAGCCTGACTGAAGTAATACTGCTGGACTGAGGAACTTTGCCATTTCCAGACAAAGTTCATACTGTTCCAGCCTGATTGAGGAACTTTGCTGGATTGAGAAACTCTGTCACTTCCCGACATAGTTTATACAATATTCCAGCCTGACTGAAGTAATACCGCTGGGCTGAGGAACTTTGCCATTTCCAGACAAAGTTCATACTGTTCCAGCCTGATTGAGGAACTTTGCTGGATTGAGAAACTCTGTCACTTCCTGACATAGTTTATACAATATTCCAGCCTAACTGAAGAAATACTGCTGGACTGAGGAACTTTGCCATTTCCAGACAAAGTTCATAATATTCCAGCCTGATTGAGAAACTTTGCTGGATTGAGAAACTCTGTCATTTCCCGACATAGTTTATACAATATTCCAGCCTGACTGAAGTAATACTGCTGAACTGAGGAACTTTGCCATTCCCAGACAAAGTTCATACTATTCCAGCCTGATTGAGGAACTTTGCTGGATTGAGAAACTCTGTCACTTCCCGACATAGTTTATACAATATTCCAGCCTGACTGAAGAAATACAGCTGGACTGAGAAACTCTGTCATTTCCCGACATAGTTGATACAACTCCAGCCTGTTCGAAGGACTCTGCTGGATTGAGGAATATTACAGCCTGATTGAGGAAATACAGCTGGACTGAGAAACTCTGTCATTTCCCGACATAGTTGATGCAACTCCAGCCTGTTTGAAGGACTCTGCTGGATT